CCCCCCGTAAGCGTTCAGTCAGGTCAGGCCACCTTGCTCCTAAAGCTTAGGCCCCATAGGATGTAGTTGTGTGGTTTAAGTGATTTGTGGGTTTTCGTGGCCGTTTTGCTCCATTTGGTAGTTTTTCCAGACCACCATCAATACATCACTTTTTTCTTCTGGCCTGGGTGCCTGAAAAAAGGGAAACCCTTGTGATTGCGCCCCGAGACCTGGGAGGGAATTAACTAAAGAGTGCATAGGTACGCTTGGACAGTTCACAAATATGCGACCCTCATTCTACAAATCACTATCATCTGACAATGTCCTCATGTTTCAAAGTTCACTAATAAAATCCCATTGCTGTCTATCAAAGAACAGGGAGCGTCTGAATCTCTAACCCCCCTGAGATACCCCCATGCCGCTGAGCTTCCATTTAAATGTGGCCCCCAAAGCTGGTAAAAAGGATGCACGCCATATTCCCGATTACCCACAAACCCCAAATCACCAACGTCCTCATCACAATAAGTGGTTGCTTAGCAGCTATATTCAATGAAGAGCCCAGCATCCGCCGTGTTCTTGAACTGAACCGAACCCAACTCGGCGGCCTCAAAATGGTAAGTCATCTTCTCCCTGCAGGCAAAACTGTTGATGGTGATCTTGACTGCCTCCTTAGTCGTCGGACCAGGCAAGGCAGAAGGGAAGCGAACGGTACCAACGAGGGAGTCGGGGTTAGGACCATCAACGTCGGTGACGTTGACAGCAATGGGGTTGTCGCCTTGCTCAACCGAGGAGTCTCTAATCGAATAGTCGGCCGGAAAGGCCGCAATAAGAGAGCAGGGACCACGGGCGTTGGCGGGGACGTTGAAAGAGGCATTGCTCGAGCGGTGGAGGTGGATCATATCGGGGCGGTAGGTAACGTTCATTCCCTGGAGATCGGACTGGATACGCTGGCAGGTGTCAAGGTTGGTGCCAGAAGTAGGGGCGGCAAGGGCGAGGCCGGCAGCAGCGGAGAGGGTCATGAAGAGGGTTGTTAACTGCATTTTGAAAGGTTGGTTGGTTGTTTAAGAGTGGAATAGTGTGTGATGTGTGAGCTGGTCTGGAGGTGATGTTGAGACTGTGGTGGTGATGATGGACAGAAAGGGGATTTGACCTGGGAGCTTCACACCTTATATACCTAGTGATCTTCTCAAGGCCTACCTGGCACGATGAAGAGTTCATCCAGAAATTGGACAACCGCATCGCCATCGCCTTTGTTTTGTCACCAGCCTCGTGGATCATTGAACGCTCCAAGTCCGAGGCCAGGAGCAATCAGAATAGGGGGGCATTGTTAGCTCTGCTCAACGAGCGGCCGATAGTAGTAAACGCATAGCCTACTCTGAGATTATCGGCCGTATGAGTGCTGCGTCCAGCAAGGGTTGCGGTGGCTGTGAGAGCTCCTCGCTCTGTGTGCTGTGACCATTGTGATGTCTCCGGCATGTCGACTGTCAATCCTTGCTGGACAGTTTGGTCAAATGTAAGGCCGAGGAGTAAGTTCCTTAGCCGTATCTCGAGCGACTTACCTGGGTGCTCCGTCTTCACCACTACGGGTAACAAGAATCGGGACCATATAATAGGTTGCTCTTCCGAGCTCACGAGGCGCGTCCCGGCCGAGTCATCCTGTTTGGGTTCTCTCTTGCACTGGATGACATTATCTTACTAGCAATCCTGAAAAGTCGATGAAAATGCAAATGTTCTTGTAGCCTTTCGCATCATCGTAGATACGCACTGGTGTGAAGTTCCAGAAGGAACCTCTCATCAAGCTAGAATCACAGACCGTGAAGCAAGAGAGATACACCGCAAAAGGCCTGCACAAAGCCTAAGCACTTCCACAAATAAATACTCAGCTAAGGATTCTTGACTTATTCAAGAGAGACGTTTTACTTGCGGTGCTTCGCCCTGTGACTGCTAATCTTGCCCAAGCAGTCGGGCTAAGCTGCTCCGGAACGGTGCGGGGTGTTGTCAGCCGAAAATCAAGCTCGCTCCGTTGCCTTCGGATTTGTTTGCTAACAAGATCGGATTCCGCTTATATGGATGAAGATGAAAATGTGATAAAAAAGATGGTTCAACAATAGGCTCATCATATGGCGAAACTCCATCACCGACATTCATCAATAACATGGCTCGATGGCCGAGCGGTCTAAGGCGCTAGACTCAAGATATCTCAATATCTTCCTATCAGCATGGCAGGTGCATTCTAGTCTCGAAAGAGGCGCGCGTTCGAATCGCGCTCGAGTCAATTTACTTTTGTATTTTTGTCCTCTTGTTCTTTCCTGTACTCGGGCGGTTGAAGGACAAGTTTTGCTTCGCTGGGGAGGACAAGTACGAACCCTTTTCTTTGAATCATCTCGAGAGCTTGAGCAGAATAAGACACCAACCAAGGCAATCTGAAGAAAGCCACTTGGGACCATGGACAATGTAATCCGGAATCTGGGTGGGCCAATGACGACCACGACATCTGCTCCACTTGCCTACATTGTCTTGCTTGCTTGCACATGTCCCGGAAACGGGATGCGAACTCAGGGCGTCATGACGTTGATTTATTGGGTGAAGACATGCGACGTGGCTTTTGATTGAACTTTAATCCGTGAACCTCTCCGGCCTCGATTGTTTACTTTCCCGCCTTTCTGCAACAGTTGACGTCTTGAATCCGTATCCCGATCTTTTGGTTCACCAATTGACTTACACAGCTTCACTGCGCCAAGCCATCACCATGAGTGCCGCTCCCGAAACCCAGAAGCCAACCAACATCACTGGTGAGGGAAAATCAAGTGAGCAGGAGACGACCCCTCTCAGCAAGCAATATGACACCCCTCTCGGACTTGCCCACACAACCATGCAGGAGCTCAAAGACCGTATCAAGCTTCACTACGACCTAGCAAGCGACTACTACTTGAACCTCTGGTACATCTCCAGCTTATAAATACCTTACTTACATTGTCACGACACTCACTAACAAACCCCCCCAGGGGCGAACACATCCACCACGGATACTGGCCCCCCTCCTCCCCCGACCTCCCAAAAGAAGAAGCCCAAATCAACCTCATCCGCCTCCTCCTAGAAACCTCACAAATCCACACCTCCCCCGCCCCAACCTCACCACCCCTCAAGATACTCGACGTAGGCTGCGGAATAGGCGGCACCTCCCGCTTCCTCGCCCGCGAGCTAGCCGCCCACGTGACGGGCATCACCATCTCCAGCAAGCAGGTCCAAAGCGCCAAAAAGCTCTCCGATAGCAGCAGCAAGCAGTACCCAGACGGGGAGTACATCCCCCTCGGCCCCGGAAAAGTCCGCTTCATCGAGCTCGACGCCGAAACCCTCGGGAGCTACTTCACCGGCCCGGACGACAAGTTCGACATTGTCTGGATCTCAGAAGCGCTCTCTCACTTCCCCAAGAAGGATCTCTTTTTCAGGAATGCGTTTGATGTGTTGAAACCAGGCGGGAAACTGGTGCTGGCGGATTGGTTCAAGGATGAGGGCTTGACGCAGGAGCAGTTTGATGCGGATATTAAGCCGATTGAGGATGGGATGCTGCTGCCGCCAATGTGCACGGTGAATGGATATGTGCAGTTTGCGAAGGAGGTCGGGCTGGAGTTTGTGGGGGGACCGAAGGATATCAGTCAGGAGGTGAAGAAGACATGGTAAGTTTCCTGAACAGAATAGTCTCGAGGAGGTTGGTTGCTAACACATTGGTGTAGGGATATTTCTTGGTCGTTGATCCAGAACCCGTCCTTGTGGGCGTTTGCTTTCAGCCAAGGCAGAGATGGCATTGCCTTTTTGCAAGCATTCCGTGCCATGAGGCGAGGGTATGCCAATGGCAGCTTCCGGTATGCTGTCATGGGGTTCGCGAAACCATGATAGATCCCTGTTTCGATCTTGCATTGAGAAACTTTTGTACAATTGCGCCCCTACATTGCATCCTTAGCTAGAGCAAAATCATTAATGACCAGAAAGGTTTTATTGAGTGTTTTGTTCCGCCGCCATCGCCCGCCGAAACACCTGATGAAATATGTATGGATATCTTTGCGCCCGCCCTGTCCCTATCTCGCATGTCCCCAATCATGTGTGGTATCATGACTGCTCCCGCCGTGAATGCATCGCGTCTTGATTACGTATCGTTGCACTGGACTCGATCCCGGTCCCCGGTGATTCGGTTTATTGGTATCTCGTCTCTGTCGTTCGTGTCCTTCCCTTCTCCCGGCCAATCATCTCCCGTTCGAAAAAGCAGATTTACGCGCCACCGACGAGGATGTTGTTAAGGGGAACGTGGATGAGCTTGACGAAGTAGCCGACGGCGCCCATGACTGCATAACTGTTAGTCAACTGTATTCGGTATTGGTAGCTGTAACTAGACCGGACGTACTGAGGAAACCGACGCCAACGGCTTGCGAGATCTTGAGGAACTCCTTCTGGTCGGCTGTTCAATAGTTAGCATGGTGACACCCCGGCTAAGAGACAAGGCATAGACAGACGCTTCTGGGCCTTGTGGATGAACTGGATGCCGTCCTTGAGGAACTCGCGAGGGACGTCGAGGATTTCTTGCACTTGGTCGGACATTGTGGCGGTTTGTGTGTGGGTGAAAAATGAATTAAAAAAGAGTTAAGATCAATTGATTGATGGTTGCGTGCGTGCCGGCGAGGAAAGGGAAAAAAATGTCGTTGGGCAATTCGGTCGTCTGCTGAATTGTCGCGTGGTGTACAGGCAATTTGGAGAACGGACTGCTGGAAGGCCACCTGGAGAGAGCTGCCAGCTTCGCCTTACCAAATCTGCCACATCGCCTTAAGATTTAGCGTAGGGGTGAGTTTGACAGGGGATGCCGGACCACAAGGTGGCCAGTGCGCCCCGTTCACTTACACTTTGATACGGGAAATCTTCGGTTGACTGTTGGATGGCTCTCCAGCCAGCAACTTCTCAACTCTGTGTTCCCTTCTCTCTCGAAGAAATATGGACCATTTCACGGAGTCTTCCACGCATATACCGCCAATCTCGCCTTACAAGGATCAGCCAGCTTTTGATACTTTGCGCTTGCGCATCGGACAGACCGACAAGGCCCCACTCATTTACCTCATCCGATATCGAACCCAGCCTCGGAGCGTTCCGTGAAGCTCTCACGGGCCGGAGGATTATGTTCGGAGGTCGGCGGAAGTACGCCGCTACCCTACACCCACACCATCTCGAGATCCTGCGAAAATCCAAGGACAGGAATGTGATATCGATATTTCAGACGCCTTCATGACCTTCATGGCCTTCTCGCAGTCTCAATACTTCATCAGTTAGATAAGCATCGCAGCAATCATCCCGCATCCGATCGCAATGTCTCGGTGTGCCAAGACAGCGGGGCAGCTAAAGTGCGGAGCACCGCCGATCGAACAGCCCGGATGACCTCCCGGAACGAATTACTTTACGGAACCACCCACCTTTGAGGTCCAGCTCTGAGACATGCAGACTTCACAGCTGTTGAGGCCATTCACAACATGCATGCTAGGCCGAACAGGACCAGGTCACGGCGGTGAACATCTTGCTGTATGGTACAGGTCTCGAGCTCGGTCGTCATCGGGCCCCAATGCGGCCTACGATCAACTTTTGTGTGACGTGCAGTTCCTCCCACACTGGTACGGCGCTTGGGGATTCATGACCGGCATGGCCGCTTGCAGGGCCGGGCGTTGACGGGCCTCGCTCTCGGAGTTGGGTGATGACACTGGCCTCAAACTGCTCACTGACTTCTTCCCCAACATTTCACAGCGTGGGGTATTTGAAAACACGAGCTCGCTGGCACTCCAGTATTGGCTAGTTGTTCCCAAGAAGCGAGGTAGTAGATGATATCTGTCACCATTCTAACTCAGAGGCTACAGAGTCCGGTCGTGCGTGTTGCATACTGCCGAGTATCCATCGCAGCCAATCGTCATGACTGCAGGTATTCCAGTCCCCTCTTTCGGGCATGGCATCCGCACCTCACGGTGATCCGTTCTAGCCGTGATGTGCCTGCTCGAGGCGAAATTCACTCTCCGCTGTCCGTGCCTGCCCTTCTCAGCAAGCAGGACTGCTGCCCAGTGGCTGACGCTTGATTGCCCCCGCAGAGTCATGGTCCGACTTGATGGGAATAGGCTTTCAAAAGCTGCATGTTCCCCCGGCATGATATCTCTCGCCTCCTGTTCCTTTCTTTCCATCCATGTGGTTTCTATCTTTACCTTGCACCCCTTTGTCATCCTCTCCGAATTCTCAAAGAAGAAGCCTTCGACCAATCACCAACCATTCCAGAACAAACGTCATCCGCCTATTGAGGCTGGCCTTTGTTTGGCCAAGATCGAAACAACAATCGATTGATCGCACTTGGCCGGCGTCTCTCGACCTGCCGCGCGCCTGTTCTGCTCACCTTCGCGGGGCTGCCCCACAAAATAACCTCAACCTAGGTGAGCCTAAGTGGCCTCATAACCACTCGTTGACTTTCGCTTCCTCTACCCGAGACCGAAAACCTTCCCAGAAGCACCAAATGTTGTCAGCCTTGACAATCTGTTGCTGGTCTGGACTGCGGGCCAAGTTAGGCTCAGTTCCGTCTTTTCCGTGGAAATCCGTACAAGGCAAGGCCTCGTCTGATTTCCCATGTCATATAACAATGCCATTCTCAACGGTCGTCAAGTGGCGGCCCTTTTATGTCGGTCAACGTTTCGCACCGCTTTCACTGCCCTATTCTTTGTGCTGGTCACTTGATAAACCCTCGACGGCCACATACTCGCACCTTCGCCCCCTCCCCTTTTGAGGATCTGCTCTCCTCGACCGAAGTCGTCTTTATTTTTCCTTTTCTCTACTCTCTGTCTCCGGGAATGCCTGGTGTATCCCCTCATTTGTCTCATATTTAATTTTTTATTTTCCCCTTCCTATTGCTTGTTGATCTTCATTGTTCAACACCCCTAGGGTCCTTCTTGGCCCATCAACTCATTCACTTCCGTCCGGCCCGCTATATCCGGACCTTCGCACCACACAGTAACACAGTCCCACAGTGGCGGCTAGGCATCGTCATCAGCACACTCTTTGCTTGAATACATAAACACCAACTAAGACGTTCTTCACGATGCGTAGACCAAGATTCAGAAAGTCTCCTTCGACGAGCTTCTCAACGATATCCGAAGATATGGCTACGCCTCCCAGAAGCCCATCACAAACCTCCACACGAATCAGGGACACGGGGTTCCCCGATACATTCTGTGGAAGTAAGTTATCAAATACCCAAGTCCTTGTATTGTTCAGACTCGCTAACAAGATGCCCACAGATAGGAACACCACCCTTCCTCACCCTGACGCCAAGATTGGTCCTGATGCATGCATAACGGAAGACGATGTGAATGTGGGCAGGGCACTCATCAGGCACAGGATGTCCTTCCAAGTTCAGACTGAGCGACCATATGGTCGATCTCTTAGCCTGTATGACCGCAAAGTCAGCGGCTCTTCTGACGAAGGAGCTCTGGCTACTCTAGGCCGCATGGCTCTTGGGTCTATTCGACCCAGTGCTGAGCAACCCGCTGGTATCCGACCGACGTCTCGGGATGGCCATAGTGTCACTACCTCCGACGGCACAGGCTCGCCTCCACACTCACCAACCCGCCAAGTGAAACAGGATCCAAGAGACGCAGCCAGGGATCCTAGAGACGGACGCCGACATCGTCGCAGGAGCAGTCTCATCAACAGGCTCTTGCACAGATAGAACAGCAGAAGCCGGGGAGTTCGACGGAAAATTCGCAATTGGTCTTTCGATATGGGGGGGAAGGCAAGGGATACCTCTTCGGGGGCAGCATTTCTTTTACGAGCGAGGAGTTCCGGTAACAATTATTTTGAGCATATGCATTTACATGGAAGGGAGCCGCATGAGCAGCACCACGGGAATCAACAAAACATGGGAAAAGCTGGGCGTAATTCGACAAAGAAGAAGCACACGCCGCAGAAGAAACAGACGAAGGGGAAGCGACAGCATGCAGACTGTATGTCGTGTTTCTAGTGGGTGATATGGGCAGATTATCACCTGGCCTTCTGCTCGAGGCAGAGACTTGCTGGGTGGTCTACTAATTACCTACCTAGTACCCATGGCTTTTCGCAATACTCCGTATTGGAGAATCATTAATTGAACATCATCTCAGTACTCATTGATTTGGAACCATACTTTGCCCGGTGCTTTTGCCCAGTGCTCATACGTGAAGCTTGATCGTTTATGTGGTGGCCAAAAGCACAACCCGGAAATATTTCGATCTCATCAGTGAGATGGCAAAATGCTTTCCTTGGAATTTCGCCCTACATAAACCCAGAGATATGCAACCACGAACGACGCTCTCACACTTTGCTGTTATGCCCCATATATGCCCAGACATAAAATGATGCTGCTGACAAAAAGATGCTTTCCCCCACAACCTTTACTCCCTCTCACTCATATCATTCCCCCTCCAACAAAGAGGGAATTTAGCTCCCCCGGTAAGTGGAATAGCTATACGGCGCCAGCAACAGCGGGACATGATACCTCTCCCCCTCGGCCACGTTGAACACGACGTTGACCTCGGGGAAGAAGGTCTTGTCGGGCCCGCCAAAGTAGGACTCGGTGTCGAACTTGAGGACCCAGCGGGAGGGGCCCCTGATGGAGCCGAAGACGTCTTCGAGGGTGTAGACGGGGACCTCGCCCGAGGAGGTGGCGGAGGAGTAGGGGAGCCAGGTCTTGATGCGGCCGTCCTCGTCGGTGGTGGACTCGAAGACTGGTGGAGGGTTCAGGGGGCCGGGGGAGGCGGTGGAGGTGGAGAGGAGGGAGAGGGAGACGCGGACGGAGCGGGCGGGTTGGCCGAGGGTTGTGTCGAGGATGTGGCAGGTTATGCGGTCTTTGGTAGTTGTTGATTCGGTCATTTTTGCGCTTTGAGGGGGGTGGTGGTTAGATTGGATGTGAGGAGAGGGAGGGGGGAGGGGGGAAAAGTGAGGGTATCACGAGGGGGTAGTAGGCAGGCAATGACTTACACTGAGAGGTGGGCTACAAGCTGAGTGAGTGGGTGGTGGGGTGGTGTAGCAGGGGGAATGGGCTTATCAGAAGCGATAAGAGGAGGGGTTGTTGTTGTGATGAGTGAGCTATGTATAGAGAGAGACAAAGAAACAATGGAGAGAGGATAGGTAGAGGATATTTATAAACTTGAAAGTCACCATATAGAAAAGGATCGACAAGAAGCATTACACTACTAATACCCCTGGAATGGATTTGCTTGCGCTTTCTTGGGGGCTGATGCGATGGCCACATGGGTGCACCAATGCTCAACATCCACTCCAGAGAGCTTCTCAGCCCCGCTGCCACCGGACACAAGCGTCGGTATCTGCCGCTGTCCGCCTGCTTGGATGCCACCAGTTGGATACCTACCTGGCTTGGATACTTTGCACGGGGCTATAAAGTGTTGCATTGTTTCCTTTATTGCCTCCAGGTGAGGACAGACAGGACGTTGTACACAACGGTGGTATCCTCGCCTCACCGTGAGCTCGAACCACAACACTGATGATAAATGCGGCTCAGGCGAAACAAAAAAGTCACCGCTCTTCTGTCCGTCAACTATTGATCTGCCTGAGGGCGGCGAGATGATCACGCTAATCAACAAAGGTGGTAGCTTTAGTAAACAAACAGATTCAGCTGTGTACCTGTTGTGGAAGTTCGTCAGCTTCAGCTTGGGGCCAAAAAAACAGTTTGCGTCGTAGCGATGCATGAAGCTGAGCTGCTTCTCCATTTCTTCCTTCCGAACTTCAAGACAAGATGCCTCCCATCAGATGCCAAGACATTACCCCACCAAATGAACCCCCCCCCCTGTCGAGGTCGAGCTTGCCCCGCCACGAAGCCAGTGACGTTGCGGGCTGGCAGGCCAGACCCAGCGACGTCCACACCCGACGGTGGGTTTCCAGCTGTTTCCAAAGCCCCTTGGGACGCGACAACTTGGACCAATCTTGACCACCACTTGCACAGCTTGCCTTCTTTCTCTCTCTCTTCTTGAACGACCGTAATTCCGCAATCTCTCCAGAATTCCCGCCGCTACCTACACTCAGTAGACAATCGCCAAGATGTCGACCGCAGTCATCAACGCCGACGACGATGCTATGGAGCCCACGCTCCAGTCGATCCTCGACCAACGCAGCCTCAGATGGATCTTCGTAGGTGGAAAGGGTGGTGTGGGCAAGACGACAACCTCGTGCAGTCTTGCCATCCAGCTGGCCAAGGTCAGGCGCTCTGTGCTTCTCATCTCGACCGATCCCGCCCACAACCTGAGCGACGCTTTCAGCCAAAAGTTCGGCAAGGACGCCCGCAAGGTAGATGGTTTCGAGAATCTCTTCGCCATGGAGATTGATCCAAATGGAAGCATGCAAGACTTGCTTGCTGGACAGGCTGAGGGTGAGGGCGCTGAAGGTTTGGGGGGTATGGGGGGTATGATGCAGGACCTTGCCCTCTCGGTAAGTTATAAGAGTGTTTGTCAGTGATATATCAACCAGTCTGGCTAATACCGTACTTCTTATCAGATTCCCGGTATCGATGAAGCCATGTCCTTTGCCGAAGTCCTGAAGCAGGTCAAGTCACTCTCCTACGAGACTATCATCTTCGACACCGCCCCAACCGGCCACACACTCCGTTTCCTCCAGTTCCCTTCTGTTCTGGAGAAGGCCCTGAAGAAGATCTCGCAGCTCTCTAGTCAGTTTGGAGGAGTCCTGAACGGACTTCTGGGCGCCAACGGTGCCCTTCCCAACGGTCAGAACCTCGGTGAGATGATGGAAAAGCTCGAAGCCCTTCGCGCCACCATTTCAGAAGTCAACCAGCAATTCAAGGACGAGCGCCTCACCACCTTCGTCTGCGTCTGCATTCCAGAGTTCTTGTCTCTCTACGAGACGGAGCGTATGATTCAAGAACTGGCTAGCTACCAGATTGATACCCACTGTATTGTGGTCAATCAGCTTCTGTTCCCGAAGCCCGGTTCCGATTGCGAGCAATGTACGGCCAGACGGCGCATGCAAAAGAAGTACCTCGATCAGATTGAGGAGCTTTACGACGAGTTCAACGTGGTAAAAATGCCACTTCTGGTGGAGGAGGTTCGAGGAAAGGAGAAGCTGGAGAAGTTCAGTGAGATGCTGGTCAAGCCTTTTGTTCCCCCGTCATAGGATACAGGCGGATACCAAGCATGCTCAAACATTGATTAGTATTCTAAAGAACGAGAGAGGAAGATAGTTATCACTGCTTTGATGGGTCTAACCGAGAAAGGATACCCTGATTGTACATCAGCAGCGCGGGGTGGTCCCTGGCAGCGGCACATATTGAAGAGTCGGACTGGCCAGTGGCCGTACGGGCAGGCAGTGGACGTAGAACTCCCATTTCAATGCGGGGGGTTAACCTGGCTGGAAATCGCCGAGGACCGGCTTGCACAGTTCGAGGCGGGTGTTTTAGATTTAAGCTTTCGGGAAGTCGTAGCGATAGGTGCAGCTGGTCTTTCTGACGCAGGTCGGCGATATTTGTGGCGACTGTACAGATCAGGTCTTCCAAGGGCTTGGAAGGTGAGAAGATGACCACGGTATAAATTGAAGCCTCCACCACCAAAGGAAAGGATTCGAACTGTTTTATCTTTTTGAAACGGGGCGGCTTTTTTAGCTAATCTGCTGTATTGGGATGCTGAGGGTAGCGAAGAATTAGAGCATATAGCGAGCGAAAATATGTGGTTTGCTTTCCAATGCAGTTTTGGTCCTTTTCCATGTTTGTTGATTTTTGTTTGAATATCTAGCTCAAGTTTTCATGTGATAAGAGGAAGCTTCACTGGGATAAGGCACGGAACATGATTTTTAAGAATTTCAATTTTGTATTCCCAGAATGTCAGCACAAGACTTGAAAAAAACAATCACCAACCAGTAACAAGAAGAATGAAACAAAAGGCAAGAGAGAAAGTGTGTGTGTGTGTGTGTGTGTGTGTGTGTCAAGTGTGTGGTATATATACACAAATAACACTCAGTTTATCAATCCGAATTTCCCGGTTATTTCCTAATTTCCCTTCGCTTTCCCATTGCCCCTACTCCAGCATCCCATCCATCCATACCAATCCACCCATCCATCCTATGTCCCTTTGCCTTGTTGAATAACCCCCCTTCCAACCTTCCCTATCCCGGCTCGTTTTGGACATCCCACCGCTTTCCTGTTTCCCGCTTGTTTTATTTTGTTGTGTGTGTGTGTGCTGTACGTTGCTGTGGAAAAAAGAAGGAAAAAAAGCAAGGATAATTCACAACCCCGCCATACCAAGCCACATTTGCTCCATGTGGTGTTGTTTTGTGGTGATTATTCATGTCACAACCAACCCCAATCCCGAAAACATCCCCCCCAAACTACAGCCCCAGATATAGAAGATTACAAGAAGAATCAAGAGAGTGAGAAAAAAGAAAGAGGAAAAAACGCCAATGAGAAGAGTAATGCAACTTGCTCCTCTTGAAAACCCGGTCCCCGCTCCAAAAGCCAGATAGCTTCCCACGTTTCACACACATCCTTATGTTCGCTTGTTTGTGATGATGTATATACACCCCCGCCCGGCCTCACCACCCCCATGATGAAAATCATTATCGTTACAAAAAAAAAAAAAAACCTCAGCCTGCTCAAAGCTCCCGGTAATCACTCGGCCTGACCCTTTTCTGGCGGTTCTGGTGGCGGTGCGGGTTGACTGGCTTCCGGAAGTAGGCGTCCTCGTCATCAGCCGGTTGGTGGGAAAAGTTCTTCATCATGCCGCCGCCGTTCATGCCCATACCCATACCCATCATCTGCTGCGGTGGCCTCTGCTGCTGCTGCTGTGGCGGGTGCTGGTTATGCTGCTGCTGCTGCTGTTGTTGTTGTTGTTGTTGCTGTTGATGCCCTTGAAACCCACCACCACTCGACCCACCCCAGTTGTTGTGCCGTGGGTTGAAGTTGTTATTGTTGTTGTTGTTATTGTTAGGCATTCCCTGGAACCCGTTCATCATCGGGTTCATCATCGTGTTCATCATCGGGTTCATCATGTTCATCCCATTCATGCTCATGTTGGGCATGCCGCCTGGTCCACCAAAGCTGCCGGGCATGCCCCCAAAGCCGCCCATCATGTTCAGGCTCATGGGGTTCATGCCGGGGAACATCATCGGGTTTATGCCGGGCATGTTCATACCGGGCATCATGCCGCCGGCCATGGGGTTCATGCCGTTCATCATGTTGTTGCCGCCCATCATGGGGTTTACTGGTGGCTTCTGTTGAGTTGGCTGCATGGCCTTGGGCGCCTTGGGGATCTTGGGGTTCTCGAGGGCATCTTCAGCGGGCCGCTTCTTGGATGTTTGCTGGCTTGGCTCGCTGTGGACAGGTGTCGAGGTGGCGCTTCGGACCGAGGGGGTGGATGTCGTGGTTTGCTGCTGGGCAGTTTGCTGTGGTGGCGCAGCCGGGTTAGCAGGGGCCGGCGAAGGAGAAGCAGACTTCTTGATGTTTGTTGGTTCGACACCGGTGGCCTGGGTGGATTTGGTTGATGCTTCGCTGGGGCTTTTTGGGCTCTTGGAACCCTCCTTGGCTTTACTATCCCTGTCGGCAAGCAATTGCTTGAGCTTCTCGACTGCTTCCTCATCTGTCTTGAGATCATCAATCAAGACACCCTCTGCATTGCAGGCAGGGCAGACGAAGTCGCTCTCAATGAGAGCGTTGGTGATGCAGTCATTGCAATACGTCTTACTACAACACGGAGTCTTCATTGGCTCTATGAACATCTTCTTGTCGATGGAGCATTCCAAGCCTCTCTCTTGGACCTCTTTCTCCCCTTCCATAGCTGCCTTTGATGCCGCGTTGTTCGACTTGGCCTTGGCCTGGAACCTTTCCCATGACACCTTGTCAGGCTCTGCAATCACGTACTCTCCATCAGCATTGACCATGATGCCGGATGGTGTCTTGGAGTCATCTCCATCAGCATTCTGACCAAGCGCAGTTGCCTTGTCGACTGTCTTGAGGAAAGACTTGGGAATGCCAGTGGTACGCTTTACGCGAGGGCGGTTGTCGAAATCGGGATTGTCGTTGGTTGGGCAAAGCTGAATCCAGTGGCCTTTCTCACCACATCGGTAGCAGATATAGCCTTGGGGTGGGTCGTGGTCGGGAACATTGGCGGGCTTTTTGGGGCCACCCTTGGCGACATACTGTTGAGTAGCCATTTCCTCTTCTCTCGAGGTGAAGTGCTCGGTTTGGGCCTGGAAGACGGCAGCCATCTTCTCCTCTTCTGTCATGGCGCTGCTTAGTTGCGCTAGAGTGTTGGACTGGGTCTTGGCCGCTGGCTTTGCTGTTTGCTCCCTGCGTGACGAATTCTTCGCGTGGATGGGCATCTTTCCAGAGACATATCGAGCAGCGCCGCCTCTTCCGGGATTCTTCGGGGGCATGCGCCGGGCGATGACAGTGGTGGACCGGGGAATGATGGAGGTGTCATCGTCATAGACTGCCATCTTGTTAGCTCGCACACCTTGAATGTGAAGCTGAACCTAGCTGCTTACCTTCTTTTCCATTTTCATCAGCATAGATGGCCAGGTCAAAATCTGTGCCGTCACCGAGGCCAGCGCGAAGAATGATCTCGCGCTTGAGCTCGAAAACAGAAATGCCTGTTCCATCAAAGGCCACTCGTGTTGGCTCTTTTTGCGACTTGAACTTGAAGAATACTGAAGACGCCATCTTGGGTCTGGTTGATGGTCGAAAATGTAGCTGTCAATTAGAGTCGTGTCGGCGCTCTCTTCTCTGCTAAACCTGCTCGCACACTAGGAATGGGTAAAGCGAAGCGAACTTGAATTCTTGATTCCCTAAACCAGGTGACGACGTTTTGCCTTTTTGTTCTTCTTCTTTCCTCAACTCAACAGGTTGAATGGGAATCAATTCTGATATGCTTTCCGGGGGAGACAGAAAGCGCCTCGTGAATGGACGATTAAAAAAAGGAAAAGTACAAAGACCCAGCGCTGCGAAAATAGCACTCTATTCAATTGAGCTGAAAAGCAGTGATGGATTCGTGTGCGACTCCTCCCTCCTAAAAAACAGCACCCCTTCTTGATCACTTGCCAACACTTGTCCCCAACGCTCTGTCAGCCAAACGAAAAGAAGCAAAAAAACAGACCCCACTCAACGCTAGCAAGCAAAGGAGATGCTCCTGCAAGCAGACTGGTGATGGCGCGATGGAAATGTGATGGCGATGGATTCCTGTGATGGATCGGTTAGATGGACGTTCGTTCCTCTGACGCGCCGCCCTTTTCGATGTCGCCGCTGCTTGGTCCTTGTTTCACCGTTGCGCCAATCCCGCGTGATGATCAAAGACGCAACAAAATTCTTCCAGATGCGAGAGGAAGATATTCGCGAGGAAAGCGACTGTTGCGATGGTCAATCTGCAAAAGGTTTTGGCGATGTGTTGCACCCGTCGTCGTTGATTGTTGGAGCAAAAGGGCTGGTGGAGGTGAAGAAGTCGAGAGCTCGGGGTTCGGTTAATTAAAGTTGGCCAACGGTCAGATGATTAATAGGTCAGCCGCGAGAGGAATGTTCCGAAGTCTGGGCTCCGCAAGCAGAAAGTCGGCCTGGATTTTCAGGCAAAAAGTGGGGTTACGAGCCAGCCCGCTGGCAAGTGATGCATGTGGCTGACAGCAACAATCGAAACCTCACACAATAACAGCAGATTGAGGCACTCTCTATTGACTATTATCATGTGTGAGGTCAGGGCTGTTTTGACTTTTATCAAAGAGTTTGAGTATATGTCCGAAATGCTGTTTTTGTAGTGAATTCGGTGCGAACGTCATATCCTGTGGCTGAAACGCCGGTTGCACTTTACCTTCAAAGTTACACAGGGCGGTCTCCGATGGTAGTGGTGCCATAATGATGCTGTGCTCAAAAGGCTTCTGGAAATCCACTGAAAAAGACGAGCAAGAATCTGGGAGAATGAGCCGATGATCATCGTCACAGTTGCGTCCCCCTCTCTTGTACTCCCTGGACACCCGCTTCTTTTTGAACTGGCCAACTCCCCGCGTCTTTCTGGCAATTGAACTCCCTTCATCCGGTTTCCCTGCGTCACCACCCACCTGCTTTATTGTGGCCTCCTCATCTTCATCAACTTGGGGCACCCCCGAGCGACCGGGAACTTTTTCGCAGAAGCCAAGAAAAAAAGCTTCTCCGTCTTTCCCATTCTCGAGGGTGTGCTTGTCTCGACAATCACATCTCGCCGTGTCTAACACTTCCTTCATGAAGTAAATCCGCTTTCCTGCACACGTGCTCTTTGCACTACTGCTTTTTACCCTTTCGTCTGTACTGCGCGAGCGACGACACCATACCGGCCGATCAACCCGTTCCCGTCTTTCGCCTCCCCCACGTACTTCCAGGATCCTAGCTCCTCGACTCTCCGCCGCCCACCACCAACTACCACCGTCACTCCTCCAAACTTACTACTCCAGCTTCAAGATACCCCATAACCATCGTGAAATAAACAATCATCACCAAAATCAGCCAAAATGGTCCTCACCCACACCACCAACCACACCTACGCCCATCCCTTCCCCGCCGTCTCGCTCGCTTTCTTCCTCCGCTACTGCTCCCCCCAGCTCAACCCCTTTGCCTCTCATGTCCTCAGCACCGACACCATCGACTCCCACATCGACCCTGCCACCGGCCGCCTCCACACAACCCGCATCCACCTCAAGAAGTCCCGCATGCCCCCCGCCGTCATGAAGCTCCTCCCTACCACCCTCACAGGCGGGACCGCCTCCCAGGCCTCGTACATCCTCGAGACTTCCGTGGTGGACATGCGCGAAGGCTGGATGTCCACCGAGTCTCGCAACCTCAACTTCGTCGGCGTGCTGTCGGTAGTCGAAAGACAAATGTACAGCATTCCCAAGACGAGAACTCTGGACAACACCGAGGTGGAAACCAAGGTTGTGTTCAGATCCAGGTTGGGAGAGAAGCTCCGGGACAAGTTGTCGCATCAGAACCTGTCTACCACTGCCCAGGAGGGCGGGTTCTTCGCCAGGCTGGGAGCGAGGGGTATCCAGAGGAGCATTGAAACGCTGGCTTCAACAAAGACGCAGGATCAATTGGGGAAGAGCAGAGAGGGCATGAAGATGATTCTGGAGAGGTTGAGGCAGACAGGGATCATTGGTGTGCTAGAGCTGAGGCGGGCCGCGAGAGAGCGGAGTATGGCTGCTGCTTGAAGATCGTTATCGCTGAAAAGTTGACGATATCAAAGAGCGGCTATGAAAGTGATGACTACCAGGACATGTGCGCATAAACATTCATTAGGTGAGGTGGAGGCGGTTCGGCCGGTCTTATATTTCTCATACTCTTCACCGTTCCCTATCCATCTGGGCTACATTTTCTTGGTTCCTCCAACGACACCTCTTACAGGGCCGATTCGACTTTGGGGGCGGCATATCTATCATACACTCGAAAGTGATCCATCTCCAACACATACGCGGAGATGAAGGCAAGCCAGCTGCTATGCTGACAGTACCTGCCTCTAACACTGTTGTAACACCACCCTACTCTATTTTCGCTGGTTTTGGTTTTTGGTTTTTATCATTTCATCGGTTGGCGGGCGGAAAGCATGGCGTATAGGAATATCCTCGATTTTTTTTGGTTTTGTCATTGGACTGGTGGACGCCGAACAAGGCGGGTCTACTGCTGGGAGGAGGGGATGGAAATGTGTCTGGGCTGAATGAGGTGGAAACGGAGGGACTTGGTCCTGGTTCCACTCTTTTGTAGGATAATGTGTGTGAGAACAGCGGTTTTGGGCGAGGGGGAGGAGTATCGCATCACAAGGAAGGACAAAAAAGGGAAAGGAAGGCCAAAAAAGAACGGAAAAACATGAGGCTATCGGGATTCTCTTTGGCACAGTCTTTACGGCCTATTTCCCTACCTTATGTAACTGCCTAGTAGTAGTTGTTAGTTGGCTATCAAATCAAGATGGTTTTTTTTCGAGAGGGGTTGTGGTGTGGAACGCATTGCATTTCTTCTCTATGGGTTTGTAGCTGAGCGTCTATTTTAGAAAGGTGACTTCCCATCTGGGGCTCTTTACCTACAAGCCCTCCTCCGGCTTGTGATCACTCCAACTCTGAGGCGCCGTCCCCTCGCCCATCTCATTCGATGCCTGATCAGAGTAATACAGATGCCCAACCGTAAAGGTGTCGTGCAATTCATGCAGTCAACCCTCCCGAGTTTCCCTCCCCACGTCATGTTCTGGATCGCGAGAAGGGAGCCGTTTGATGGCAGGACCATGTCCAGCTGCCCGTGGGCGATGATGACGTTTTGGGTCTTGTCGATAACACTCGGCAAAGCGTAGATGATGGACGGGCCGGAGCCGTCCTCTTCGCTGGGCGAAAATCTGGTTCTCACCGCACACCTCCCAAGTGACATTCCTCGGTGCGTGGATGGCGGCTTTTACGTCGCCGCGGTCAAAGTATCTCTTCTTCCCCTCGAGGACGTAATCGATCCCTGCCAGGAACCCGAGAACATCAGACACGCGGGGGCAGGAGGCGGTGATGTGGTACATGTCGAAGCAGGGGTTAAGGCGGAGGGCGGCTTCTAGGATCCACCACCAGAGAGAGGTGCATTCCTCTGTAACGGTGCCGTTTTCCGATACTTCTGGGAGGGCAGAGGGCAGGTGGGAAATAGGAGGGTAGACGAGGTGGTTGTCCAGGAGGGAGGAGTAGCCGCACTCGGCGTCAGTAGTCCTGATCTTGTCGAGGAAGGTGTTGTTGAAGGGGAAAAGAGAGCTGTGGTATTCAACGAAGCGGAGCATGGGGATGCTTTGGTAGAGTTGGGTGTTGTCGCCGATGACAGCGTCCCCCAGGTACATGCCGGATAATTGGTGGTAGGTGGTGTCGTTTGTGTTGAGCATGGCGTTGGCAATGTAAGGGCAGTACATTCCGCTGTTTGGTGTTAGAAGATGTTGCCCTGGCTATAAGGGCCGTGAAATTGGAAGAGGACTTACGCATAGGACTCTCCAGAAATGTACACCTTGTAGCCCTGCATGCCGAAGGTGTCGACGAAATTCTTCCACCATCCTAGAAACTGAGCAGCGAGCTCTTCCTCATTGGTGATGGTTGGAACACCCGTCGAAAACCCTGTGCCTCCCGGCTGGTCAACATACACGATGCTGGTTAGGATGTGCCAGCTCCAAGGATTCCGCACGGGTTTTATAGTCCCTGGTGGCCAAAGGAAGGGACCGTGTTCTTGCAGAAGACCCTCGAAAGAGGAGCAGCCAGGCTGGAGGAGTTGTTAGTAAAAGCTGAACAATGAAGCGACAAATGATATCAACATACACCACCATTCAGCCAGATCAGAATCTCCTTATTCGCTGCTTTGTTTGGCGAGGGGAAGAACCAAAAGAAGAGGTTGCTTTGCTCATTGGGGAGCCAGCGTACGACTCGCCAACGTCAAAGTCGACATCGGGAATGGCGGTGCCATTGACGGCAAATTCTATTTACACCGAGTCAATGTCAACGTGGCTCGACTTTCGAACTCGGAGATAACTCACTCGTGCTGTTGGCGTTCAGAAAATTGTGCTTGGGAAACGGCTTGTCTTGAGGGTCAGGAAACACAGCAGCAGTCGATTTGCCGACCTTGTTGATGTGTTTCGAGATGCCCGGACGCAGGAGAGGACTACCCCTTCCTGTGCGGAGCCCTTCGACTGCCGTAAGGAGGAAGCCCAACACAGGGATGAGGCGCATCTTCGACTCGTTTTTGTTGCCGAGCTTGCGAAGCTTTAAAAGAAGAGACTTGAGACTTGGGTCGAATTGTAAACTAATTGTGAGACAACGCTGGGGGTGGTACATCTGAAGGGTCAGGGGAAATTAAATAGACGCTACCAGGCCAGGAAACACATGGGAGGTGGAAAGATGGGATTGCCAACTGTCTCCATTGCTCCCAGCACTTCCCTGGCAGGCACACAGCTCTCCTAAAACTCGCCATGTCAAAAAGAAGTAGGCGGAAACTTCTGTTGAGCATTAACAAGGTATCGCTACCGTCATATGAGGCATCGAACAACAGCCCAGGCTGAAGCAGGAAGATCGGAAGGAGCTATTGCTCGAAAGACGGCTTGCAAAACAAAGAACAAGATGACTGATGACCTCCCATCATAAAGTGCTTGATTCTTCAGAGGTGTATTGTCTGTCATCTTCTTGGACGGGATTGACCGTTCCAGGTCAACACCTCTGAGCAAGGTGTTGCTGAGAGGTGGTGGATACACTCACACAACAAAAATGAGACGCCGCTCCTCTATAGAGAAGCAACAGGGACCGCAATGTAGAGAGTAGATGTAATTTCTTGGGTCTACGTCTTCTCTGGCAAAACAATGTTATGGAAGGTAGACTTGTCCATCATGCCTTCCCTCCTCAAGAGTACGCGTCCGTATTAGGAAGGTAAGAGGTGATATATCAACGCTGATTGGTCAGCATTCAATTCATGAAATCCTGACACCCCCCGACTTCCAACTATAGTCAAGAATATTTGAACACATTTCTATCGTCAATAATATCATACAACTACAAGTACACTCTAAAATAGTGGGGGTATGTGTTATTTATTTCCCTTTCTTCCCTTTACCAGGAGCGTTCGCGGCAGCAGCAGCGGCTTCCTCATCTGCCAGCAAGGCCTGGATATCCTTCTCGGCGAGCCAGCCATGGACGGCATCAATCACCTTACCCAGGGTGTCACCACCCCTGAGCACATCTGGTAGATTGTGGACGTCAAGCCCGGCCCTATGGTCGGTACACCTGTCCTGGCCATAGTTGTAGGTTCTGATTTTATCGCCCCGTGTAAGCTGCGCTGATGACAACACGCTGCTTCTTAGTGCCCTAGCGGCCTCTTCTCTGGCCTCACGCCTTTTCTGTGCAATTCTTGATCGAAGTAACCTCCAGGCATCGGCTCGATTGGTGTGTTGTGAACGAGAATCCTGCATGCTGACGGTGATGCCCGTGGGAATGTGCGTCAACCGAATAGCAGACTCGGTTTTGTTGACGTGCTGTCCTCCTGCTCCGCTGGCTCGCATCTTTTCAGATTTCACCTCGGCCGGGTCGATGTAGAAGTCACTCTCCGGGTTGTCCCAGTCACCATCAGAGGCTGTGGCGTTCTCAGCGAAAGACGGCAGCACCCAGACGGCTACAGCACTCGTATGAGTCCTTCCACTCTTCTCCGTTGCCGGGACACGCTGAACCCGATGCATGCCCGCTTCACCACGGAAGTGGGCATACGCTCCCTCCTCCATCACCTCAAGTACAGCTTCCTGAAGGGCTGTCTCCCCATCACCTCCCTTTTCGCCGGTACTGTCGGCGGCCAAGTACTGTACAACCTTTGTGCGGAAGCCTTTATTGGCGCAATATGCTTGGTACATCTTGAATACCGAGTCGGCAAAGAAGCGACCTTCGGTTCCTCCTGGCCCAGGGACGACTTCAATGAGACACGGCATGTCGGCGAAAGGATGCTTGGGAGTCAAAGCCACGGACAGATTCCGACTCGACTCAGCCAGCTGCTCATTGGTAGCCGCGAGGTCCTCTTGCGCCATCTCCCGCATTTCAGCATCGTCTGACTTCAAGAGCCCCTCCAGCTCCCGGAGAGAAGCCTTGGCATGCTCGAACTTCTTGAAGGCCTCTGCGATCCTGTGAACTTCGCCTGCACGCTTTGCAATTTTCTCGTCAAAGTTATCAGCTAGTTGTGCCGTCAATTGATCGTGTTCGGCGGTAAGAAATCTTGCGCGGTCGAGGAGAGCTGGGGGAAGCTTGAAGGAGTCTACTCGCGCTGTTAGCAGAAAACCATAACGGCAATCAACGTTACTTTACCTGTGCTAGCCCTCCGTAGAAACTGCTGCGAAAAGCCGATTCGCCTGAGCGATCGCACGCAGCTTCGACACACCCATGGTGCCGCCAACATTGTCGTAGTTTTAAGTTACAGGCATCAGCGCAGAATCTCTCAGGATCCGCCTGCCCAACCAGAGCTGCTGACACTGGACTCAGACGGGCCCTGCAGCTTCTCATCCAATCCTCGAAATTTCCCGGCAGGCAACGCTCTTCTGCCGCTCTTCTCCGCCTTCTGGAAGTGGGTGGGTGGAGTCATACACCCCTGGTTCCAAGTGCCCCTCCCCCACCATAATGGGTGGTGAATTGGACACGGCATGATAGGACGACTCAGCGGCGGTCCGGCAGGCGCATTCTGATCTCTTCTGACTTTTTGACTCACCTCTATCCTTTTTTACCTACTTTTTTACTTGTTTACCGGCTTCTTTCTTTTCTCAACACTGTTCGACATCGATACCATGGCCGAAACCGCCAATGCCGTGGCTCTCAATGAGTCCCAAGTCCCCGAAGTCCCGGCCGAAGCCGCTGCCCAAGGGTCCAAGCAGACAGTTGACCCCTGGAACGTTCAAGGGGAGGTCGGCGCAGACGGCCAGATCAAGGCAATCAACTACGACAAGCTGATTGAGGAGTTTGGCACCAAGAAGATTGACGAGGAGCTCCTCGCCAGGTTCGAGCGCGTAACGGGCAAGAAGCCACACCATTTCCTCCGCAGAGGCATCGTCTTTTCGCATCGCGACTTCGAGCTTATTCTCGACCGATACGAGCGCAATGAGCCATTCTTTCTTTACACTGGACGTGGGCCCTCGAGCGACTCCATCCATGTTGGACACTGCACGCCCTTTATGTTTACAAAATGTATGGAGATTCAGGAGAACGGCTTGGCGAGCGTGGAAGGTTGACTAACACGGGATCACAGGGCTTCAGGATACCTTTGACGTTCCTGTAGGTGGTCTTGTAGGATTTCTTCTGTATAACCAGCTACTGATAAGGATCTTTCTAGCTTGTAATCATGTTGACGGACGACGAAAAGTACCTGTTCTCGGAGAAGCGCACAATTGAGGAAGTTCAAGGGTACTGCGATAGCAATATTCGGGACATTATCAGCATGGGCTTTGACCCAAACAAGACATTCATTTTCTCTGATGTACGGATATCCCAGGCCTCTGTTGCCTACGTGGTCTAACAAACTACCAGTACGACTACGTTGGCGGCGCATTCTATCGCCAAATCACGCGGTTAGCGAAGCACATCACGCTCAACCAAGCGCGTGCCATTTTCGGCTTCAACGACTCCTCCAACATTGGCAAGATTCACTTTGGAAGTATTCAGGGTGCTGCTGCCTTTGCCAACAGCTTCCCTCACATTTTCGGTGAGGACGAAAAGAAGACCGTCGGCATCCCATGCTTGATGTGAGGACCTTCTTTCAACTCGGTGTGATATCGATCTAACGCATTCCCCAGTCCATGTGCCGTTGATCAGGACCCATATTTCAGAGGTTTGTGATATCCAGTGTTCCATGATCAAGAGTAAATATTTAACTAAGCGTTACAGCGACCCGTGATGTTGCCGCCAGACTTACCTACCAGGGGGTGCGGTTTGCGAAGCCGTCCTTGATCCATTCTTTGTTCTTGCCAGCCCTCCAGGGGCCAGGCACCAAGATGGTGAGTGTGTTTTCCTCTGAATACGTCTCGTTATTGCTCACACAATGTAGTCTGCCTCGATTGATTCCAGCGCCATCTTCATGACCGACACTCCCAACCAGATCAAGAACAAGGTTAACAAATACGCCTTCAGTGGTGGCAAGGTGTCTGTCGAGGAGCACCGCGCAGTGGGAGGTGACACAGACGTAGACGTTGCCTACCAGTACCTCCGCTTCTTCCTCGAGGATGACGAAGAACTTGAGAAGATCCGGGTCGCCTACTCTAAGGGCGAGCTCCTCACGGGTGAGCTCAAGGCGCTTTGCATCAAGGAGCTCCAGACTTTCGTCGCGGCGTTCCAGGAGAGGAGAGCCAAGGTCGACGATGCAGCTGTCAAGCAATTCACCGACATCAGACCTCTCACCTGGATGGGCAACCCCAAAGTACCCAAGGCCGATATTGTGGTACCAAAGCTAGAAGGTGCTGAGGGTGCCGAGGGCGGTGATGGGAAACTCACAAAGAACCAATTGAAGAAGCTGGAAAAGCAGAGACAGATAGAGGCGAAGAAGGCCCAGAAGGCCAAGGAGAAGGAGGGTTCTGCCGCTGCTTAGCCTATGATTCCTTTCAGTTGTTCTTTGCTGGGCGAAAATAGAAGTTATTCCCAAAGTGTCGTATCTTTATGGTTCGAGTGAGTCACACCATGGTGGATAACGATGGTATGGAGGAATTGTTGTGGTGGTGTTATGCGCCCTTGGGGATAATACTTGCAGCAAGGTAGCAGGTGGGTGGGGAGGACCGGTCATTGATAGGGCGTGGAGATGTGAGCTTCCTATACGGGGTAGCTCTGCGGGTACGATGTTTTTTTTGTTCTTCTCTCCAGTTAGATATATTTACAGCATTTTCAGCCTTGGAGTATGGTCGAGTCACTTGTCTATTTCATTTAGTCAACCCCCACCCCTTGCGTATACTGACTCATCCATCTCTCCTTTCCACTACCTACCCTTTTGGACAACCTCACACTAACAACACCCTTACGATACCACACCTCTTCAACAACCCACTTTTTTCATCACCCGCCACTTGTCTTCAACCACCTCACCCATCATCACCCAAAATGTCCTCCTACCACCTCCACATCACCAACAAAAACTACTCCTCCTGGTCCCTCCGCCCCTGGCTCCTGATGAAGGAGCTCTCCCTCCCCTTCGAGGAGCACCTCCACCCGCTGGCCCCCGGCTCCGGCTACCGCCAGCCCCAGTGGAAGTCCTTCTCCCCCGTCTGCCACGTCCCCTGCTTGCACTACCACCACCCCCCTTCCGGCTTCTCTGATCCAATCATCCTGTGGGAATCCCTCGCCATCGTCGAGTTCCTCCACGAGCAGTTTCCCAACAGCAGAATCTACCCCGACTCCCTACCCGCACGCGCCTGGGCACGGTCAGCAGTGGCGGAGATGCACGCCGGGTTTGGGAGCATAAGGCAGGAGATGGGGATGAATGTTTCCATTCGTGTGGAGCTGTCAGACGAGGCGTTTAACGAGGGGTTGGTGAAGGACCTGAGGAGGATCAACGAGGTTTGGGAGGAAGGGCTAGCAAAGTTTGGGGGGCCTTTCCTTGCGGGAGGGGAGTTTGGGGCGGTGGATGCTTTTTTCGCGCCGGTGGTGTTGCGGCTTGGGAGTTACTTGGGGGCGGGGGAAAGGTTCCTGGGGGAGAGGGCGAAGGGGTATATGGAGAGGATCAATGGGCTGGAGGGCGTGAGGGAGTGGGTTGCTGCCGGGGTGAAGGAGAAGGAGAGGCATGAGGCGCATGAGGTGGAGAGCTTGGAGGGGCCGGGGAGGAAGCTGGTGAGGGATTTGAGGGAGGAGGAGCAAAGTTCGGGGCGAGCGTGATGGAGATGAGCTTCTAACTCTTTTATTCAACCAGCAACATTGCTGTCACCACAGTTAAAAGAAGTCCATTGCATTGATTGACCATCAAACCATTATAACGATCTCATTTTTTGACCTGAGCTATGATTTGCCCAGTACCAAAACCACACTTTCCCTGCCAGCCAAGTCTCAATTGCGTATATCTAAGCCAGCAACATTTGCTCAATCTTGACACTCGACAAGCACCGCGACAGGTCGGCGCACATTGGATGGAGCAATCGGCTGTCTAAAACCACTCATCAGTGTAACCTACGCCGCCTTCGTTGAAGGAGAAGGAGTCGATAAGCGTGCCAGTTGACGGGCCGTAACTGTTTGCTTCCATGTACCTGTGCTGGCCATCATAGAAGACGGCACCTTTTGCCCATTCTTCCGTTTCGTACGTACAGTACTGGGACTGTGGAGACAGGGATGATGATGACGAGCCATCCTCCTTGCTCATTGTACTATGATCGAGACGCTGGCGATATTTGGCTGCTCCACGCCCGCGGTCAATCAGCCAGATGAATGGAGTCTCCGTATATCGGTCTCCATTAAAGTAACACATCCGTATCAGTCGAGGCACAATGTTGAGGGTCTTTGCGACCCCGATAGTTGTGGGCTCGCCCTCAAGTTCATCCTCATGATTGAAGGGCCATTTCGAACGAGTATTATTTCATCTGGGATCAAAATCAATGGCGATATTACTAGGCCAGAGCCGACAACCACCCGAAGCTCCAGGGAACAATTGCTGACTGAGCAGGAGATAAACATATGAAGAGACGCCATCGCCCAAAGGCGACCCTGAAAATGGAATGTCTATCCAAAACAAGTCTCATGATGCCCGGACAATGAGCGGAGCGGTGGGTTTGTTACTCCGCGGTGTTGAACCCACGTTGTCGTCGTCATATTGTATCATCGGAGCCGTGGAACCGGAAGGATAATGTCCCTTGTAGATTTCTCTGACCTGCTGTTCAGGGGATTTCAAAGGACGGCCCGCTTTTCTGTGTAAGCGTATCTCCTCCAGAATATCAGCCTCAACCCCGACTTTCCATACTCTGATCGCTATCCGCCTAGATTCGGCACTTGCTCCCCCCACAGTCCAGCGTCCCACATGTATGCCGACATGCTGTTCTTACTCCACGAGTAGGAGTTAGATGTCGTGGTAGTTCGAGGGGCGCAGAGTCTATAATGCCCATACACATTCCCTCTGGGCTTATCGTAGAGCCCTGAGATATCGAGGTTGGAATCGCCGTAATGTAAAATCACTTTGTCCCTGGTTGTTAGCTCTTTGACGGCGTCCTGATGGTGGAGAGAGAAGCGGTGTACCGCCGGAGAATCCGGTCGAATGGCCATCTCCCATATTTTCTCTCGTAGCTTACATGGAAGACGGGGGAAGTGAGGGAAGGTCGATGGACGTGTTGTTGCAATGGGAATGGTGCTGTTGTCGTGCATGATGAGTCGGCTGATAGGAAGTTGAAGTACTAGCCAGTGACAGGTAAGGTAAGTCGACGGTGGTTGATTTGGCCGCCTTCTTCCCAGTTTGAAATTGATGAGAGAAATAAATATTAACTCAGTGCAGTGCGGGGGCATGACCTGGGCTGTGGCTTGATGGTTCTGGAAGGGACGAGACCTGAGAAACTTAAAAGCACATCCACTGAATGTGAGTTGAACTTTAGTCTCACACCAAGAGAAGCTACCGAGGATTGTTGCAAGCCCATTGTACGGAAAGCCGGTCCACGCTGGCTGCTGGAAAACAGCATTCCCGGAAGACCACGCTCAAAGCAGCCCCCAAGTATTGCCACTCAGGAGTTCTTCGCGTGCTTGGAAACTTCCTCCAACTCAACCTTGCCGCAGTCCTGATTATGATCTGCCCTGTTGTTGGCTATCTTTCTAGGTGGAACCGCAGAATCCTGACAGGGACGTACAAACCGTTACAGCCTTGCCTTTTCCTTCACCACCAACCCTCCACCCGCTACATCAAATTCCCTTCCCTTCTTCCAACCCAGCCACTCTTCCAAGAGTTCCTCGCCACCCTCCCCAGGCGCCAGAGGCTCCCCTCTGTACCCATCTCCTTTCACTCCCTCCCCTTGTCCATGCGTGACAGCATCTCCATCCTTTCCTTTCACCACCCCCAAAAGTGGCGTCTCCCTCAACGTGACCATCGGTCTCTGATCGCCCCCCCTCTTCTCCTTTTCCCTCTCCATCTCACCATACTCCAACACCGGCGTACAACACGCATCCGTCCCCTCAAACACCCTCTCCCACTCCTCCCTCGTCCTCTCCTTGAATCTCCTCTCCAACAAACCCCTAAACTCCCCCCAATTACCCCTATCATACCTCCTCTCCTCCCACCCTTGCCCCTCCAGCCCCAACCCCCTGATCAAATCCCCGAAAAACTGCGGCTCCAGCGCCCCAACCGCCATCCACCTCCCGTCTCTTGTCTCGTAGCAATCATAGTAAGGGCATCCACTATCCAACAAGTTCTCCCCCCTCGGCAGCGACCCAGTCATGGTGTGCAGCGCGAACCGGGGGAAAGTAGCCAGATACGACGCCCCGTCGACCATATTTGCCTCCACGACCTGTCCCTTCCCCGTAGTGGCCCTCGACAGCAACGCGAGGAGTATCCCCTGGAACAGCGTGGCTCCCCCGCCAGCAAAATCACCCAGAATGTTGACCGGTGGTGTTGGCGGACTGTTCTTCCTTCCTAGCAAAGATAACGACCCTGAAACAGCGAGGTAGTTGATGTCATGGCCTGCCATTTTGGCCCATTTCCCATCGCGGCGGAAGCCGGTCATGCGGGCGTAGATTAATCTTGGATTTAGAGAGCATAAGACGGAAGGGCCTAGACCGAGCTTTTCCAGGACACCGGGGCGGAACGGGTCAATGAGGATGTCAGCTTTTGCTGCTAGGGACTTGACGAGTTCGATGCCGAGGGGGAACTTGAGATCCACGGCAATGGACTTTTTGCGGCGGGTTAGGAGGTCAGGGGTTGGTAATGGAGAGGGCGAGGAAGAGGGCCTGTCGATGCGGAGGATCGAGGCGCCTGAGTCGGAGAGAAGTAGGCCGGCAAAGGGACCTGAGATGGGTGTTAGTTCATCTGTTGTCGAGAACTGGGGGGGCGGGGGGCGGGTGTGGGAGAACATACCTGGAGCCAGGCCGGCGAATTCAAGCACCTTGATGCCTTGGAGAGGAGGCGGGCCTACCATCTTGAAGTTGCGATTAGGAACCAAAGAGAAAATAATGAATTACTGAATTCTATAGAGTACATGTATATAATCGAGAAAATAGATACAAAGAAGGAAATCCGCTGATACATATGTCCAGTTTAAACACCTTGAAAGGAACCAACATGCCTCATTATCCCTGTCACATTCAAGCAATGTTACCGAGGCTCCAGCAGCTGACGGGGCTGTTTCTGGGGTAGATCGCGGGGGTGGGTTTGCGGGGTAGCTCCCCCAAGCAGCACCTCTCTCCACCAGCGCTGCAGGGGTCAGATATTCTTACTGACCCCCTTCTCAACACCGTCCAGAATGTTGACCAACTCTTCCCAGACCCGTTTCTGGGCTCTCTTGCCCTCATCTGACATCACAAACGAACTGGGCTGAGCCACCTTGGCGGCATCCATATACTTGCCATGGGTCTCTCGTCCTCCAGCGGCAGCAGCCAGCAATGTTCTCGATCCTTGCTCTGACGATCGTGCAAAGATGAGCGAGAGGAATCCAATGAAGAGGTTGACGATGAGAGGGACCTTGCTAAACAATCCAGACCTGCACAACCCTGGGTTGACACTGTTGACAATAACCTTGCTGTTCCCCGCTGGAGAAGAGGCGTCCAGTCTGTTGGCGAGCTCTCGAGCCAGCAAAAGGTCGAGGAGCTTACTAGTGCTATAGTTCTCATACGGATCAAAGTCGCCATTTCGGAAGCATCCAAATATGTTGGGCTCAAGGCGCTCCTTGAATGTAGTCTGCATCGCCGGTCAGTTCTTGTCACAAAGTATACGTATAGACAGATGCAAGTCTTACCAAAAAGTGAGCCTCACTGGAAACGACTGTCACCACAGCCTTGTCCGCTTGCTGCTCGGCCGTCTGCTTCAGCAACGGCATCAACATAAATGCCACCAAAAAAGTCGAGATGACATTGGTCAAGATTGTACTCTCATAACCACCACCTTCTTCGGGCGTCTGTAGCTCCTTGGCCATGATGCCTGCATTGAGCAGGAGAACATCCAGTCTGTCCAATACCGTGTTGGCCTTGACGCAGAAGGACTTGACGCTGTCAAAAGAGCAGAGATCAAGCGGCCATACCTCAACTGTGCCAGGGTAATTGGCGCGCTGGATGTCATTTCTGGCTTGCTGACCGCTGTCAGCGTTGCGGCAGGCAATAATCACTCTCGCTCCGAGCCGGGCGAAGTGGCGGACAGCCTCGAGACCAAGGCCGCCATTGCCTCCGGTGACAATGACGGTCTTGTTGGTGTAGTCCGTATCAGGGATAGGAATGGGGAGAAATTGGTGGAGTAAGAAGCGTGCGAAGAAGGATGGGGGTCTTTCATGTGTCAATCTCACGCCTCGAATGATATCACCAAATCAGGGGTCACTTACACGTATGGCATGCGCATAAGCGACGATACCAGGTCAAAGACCATGTTGCCGGTTTTCTGTCTTTAACAAATAACTCAACTGTCCTTGATGGATGAAACTCAGTATGAAATCTCTCTCGAAGCTGTTGACAAAAACGTAATTCGGTGCCAGAAACTGAAAAACCAAGGCCAATTCATTGCGTCCCAGTCCGGTCAATTCACCCCCTGTCGACCAATCACAAGCCAAGTAATCCCCTACCGGCCGCTACCCATCAAGGTACTTTGGCCTGATCAAAACCCTAACCCTTAAGCCTCTTATTACCGAGCGAAACCGCTTACATCATGGGTTGCCGTCGGCTCGCCATCCAAAAAATGTCCCAGCACTGATACCCGGCGCAAGCGGATATCACTCCAGTAGCAGCCTCCCAGCAGCAGCACAACCACACCAAACACAGCCAACATGTTTGCCAGAACGATCCTCTCGAGGGTATGCCCCCTTTGGCCTCCTATTCGTGCCCCAAAAATACTAACAACTCTGCCAAAAAAGCAACTCCTCCGCCCGGCCTTTGCCGCCCCTGCAGCAGCCCGCACCTCCTTCCTCACCTCGATACAAACCCGTTTCCTCTCGGACCAGACAAGACAAGCGATCGACAAGGCCGTCTCCTCGGCGCCCGTGGTCCTCTTCATGAAGGGCACCCCCGAGACGCCCCAGTGCGGCTTCTCGAGGGCGTCGATCCAGGTGCTGGGCATGCAGGGGGTGGACCCAGCCAAGTTTGCGGCGTTTAACGTTTTGGAAGACAATGAGCTGAGGCAGGGTAGGTTTTTCATCCATTTTCAAAAAGGTGAATCCAGAAAGTCGGGGGAGAGGGATGCTGAACAAAAATTGGGTGAAATAAAATAGGAATCAAGGAGTACAGCGACTGGCCCACCATTCCCCAGCTCTACATCGACAAGGAGTTCGTCGGCGGCTGCGACATAATCGTTTCCATGCACCAGAGCGGCGAGCTGGCGAAGCTGCTGGAGGAGAAGAAGGTTTTGGCTGTGGAAGCTGAGGCTGCTGAGGAGGAGGCCAAGAAGGAGTGAACACTGTCACGATTACAAAGCAAAGCAGAAAGAAAGAAAAAAAGGAGAAAAAGACATGTATGAATACCCTAGACTGTAATATATCTCCCTTTCGAAATACTCCAGCATCTAGGTCTCTCGCCCCAAGTATGCAGTGTATCATTTCTAAGCAGGATAAGCACCCCCATCACCCCTCATGTCACTACCCGCCGACCAAACTCCCCTGTTCTCCTCTACACTATCCACCGTCCACCGAATAATCTGCCCACGCCCAAACAGCGACCTAGACTGCCACTTGTCCCCCGGCGTCGCCCTGACAACGGTAACCTGATGTCCCAGCTCCTCCAAGCCCCTGATCGTCTCCTCGGGCATCCCCTCCTCGACATACACCCGCATATCATATACCTTTCCATTCTCGGGCATCCCCGCCCCGATACAAACCCTCGGCGCATCCAACGCCTGCTGGGGGTTCAGTCCCCCAACGATCTGCCCCAGCAGCGTCTGGACATGTCCCTGCGGCTGCATGAACCCGCCCATGACTCCAAAAACACTGTGCAAGCTCCCATCGTTGATGTTGGTCACCAAACCGGGAATAATGGTATGATACGGCCTCTTCCTCGGAGCAAGAACGTTAGGATGCTTGGGATCGAGAGAAAAGTTCGCGCCCCGGTTTTGGAGGGTGAAACCACACCCGGCGGGGATGATGCCCGTGCCGAAACCGCCGTAGTTGGAGTTGATAAAGGAGATTGCGTTGCCTTCGCTGTCGGAGACGGCAAAGTAAACCGTGTCTGAGGATCGGAGGGCGGGAGAGCCATGGGGGATGAGCTCGGGTGTGGACTTGGTGGGCGAGAATAATTTGGCTCTTTCGGAGAGGTACTCTGGAGACAACAGACCAGCGGTGGGGACGTCGCTGACGTTGGGGTCGGCAAGGAACCAGTTTGCGTCGGAGAAGGCGATGCGGAGAGATTCAATGATGGCGTGGAGGTAGGGGGCGGTGTTGTGGTCTTTTTCTGCCCAGGTTGGGATCTTACCCGAGAGTTCGAGTTGTTGGAGAATTCCCAAGGCCATGAGGGCGACGATGCCTTGGCCGTTGGGGGGGTGTTCCCATACTTCTACACCGGCGTTTTCTGCCTTGCCGGCGCCTTGGCCGGTGAACTTGAGTGAGATGGGCTCGACGGGCTCGGAGCCGGTGGTTAGATGGTGCTCCAGGTCTTCCAGGGTGAGGTGGCCACCGAGGGAGGTGGTGACTTTGACGATTTCTTCTGCAATACGGCCGGTATAGAACCCCTTTTTGCCTTCTGCGGCGAGGGCACGGAATGTTTTGGCCAGGTTGGGAAGCTTGATGATGTCCCCTGCTTTGGGAGCTCTGACACCATCAGGGGCGTTTGGATCAGCCTTTAACATCTCCCTAAAGTTGGGAGAGGCATCTCGAAGCGATTGCTCTCCTTGAGCCCACTACACCGCCCACTTGTCAGCACCAACTCTGCCACGCTCGGACATATCCAGAAAAAAAACTCACAATGGTAGCCGTCTGCTCATGAACCGGGAACCCCTCCTCCCCCAGCTGTATCGCCGGTCCCAAAATCTCCTCCAAACTCAGCTTTCCACTCCCAAACCTCTCAACAGTATCAACCCACCCCGCCGCCGCCCCAGGCACAGTAACAGCATGGACACTACTCATCGGAATCTTCCCCTCCTCATCCGCTCCACCCAACCCCAAACTCCCTCTGATTGTCTCAAGCGTGCATTTCCCGCCTGCCCTCCCCGAGCCGTTCAGCGCCGACACCTTTTTCGTTTTGGCGTCATAAAACAGACAAAACATATCCCCTCCAATGCCCGTCTGGCATGGCTCGGTCATGTTAATCCCCGCAGCGACCGCCACAGCAGCATCCTATCCAACAATCAGCTATTCAGCCCATAGATAAAAGCTGGTAAACGAGAAACAAAACACACAGCAGCATTCCCCCCCTTTCTCAAAATCTCCAACCCGCACCTCGCCGCCAAAGGCTGAGAGCAAGCAACAATCCCCTTGGTGCTATGAACCACACTGCGCCGGGAAGGCCAAGGCATGAACTGATGCCCACCCTTGGAAGGAAAAACCGACGCTGTGGTAAGAACCATGTTTGTTGCTGTCGAAAGACTCGTCAAAAAACGTACGTGGTGTTGTAGTTGGGAACGATAGATTCTGATGTTGGACTGTTCACATACCCCCAAACCACCCCGTTCCCGAGGCGCCAAACAAGCTTTATTTTATATGCATATCAACCCCCCGCCCCATCGGGGCAACCCGCGATGACGACTTTCATTGATTCAACACGACAAAGTGGGGAAAATGCTTCTATTACCTACATTTTACTACCCTCTTTCCCGAACCGATGTGCGGAGGTGGTCGGATGATGACCCTGTCCCGTAAATATCGGCCCCTAAAACCCGAGCATTGCCGGGCCTCGTTTGAGTTGGTGACATGTGCCGGAGAACAAGGTCCTGTGGCATGATACAAGCGGTGTCACACAACCTGTGTGGATGGCACAGATAAACATGCAACATTTCTGATTCTGGCTACCCGACGCTCAACCATGGTATCGATAAAGGAGAATCGAGTCCCTCTAAAAAATAAGCAAACAAGACATTAATCCTCCATGCCCAACCTTCGTGCGGTCAAAGTCTGCTACTCAAATACCTCATTGAACCTGGCTAACAATCTCACTGGCCCGCCCAAGACTTTCCACCATTTGCTGGCACTCCTTCCGCCTCCGAATCGTGTAGTCGCTCTCCTTGAGGAGGTCGTCAAGCTCGCTCTGCCGGTACATGTTCTCGAGAAGCTCTTTCTGCATTTCTTCCTTTGTGAAGCTGACAAGGTTCAGCATGATAGCCTTTGGCACCATGTCGATCATGGTGCGCTTGACAATGTTGAAGTATGAGGAAATCAGCAGCTCTGTACAGCCTTTGTTAGCCCGGTCCATTTATTTGATTCACAGGAATGATGGTACGTACTGATGACTTCGACCTCGATGTTCTCCCGCTCTGACAAAGTGCCAGAGGCCTTGAGAGTGGGCGGTGGGGGCTCCATGGCGGCCGCCTTCTTCTTGTTCTTGGCGGCAAAGAAGCTGCCAAAGAAACCGCTGTTGTTGGAATCACCATCCGCCGAGGCCACAAGTGTTGGGCTGGCGGCTCTGGGCGTGTTCGCCAGAGGCTTGCCCGTCTTGGGGTCCACCTGAACAGGCCTGGAAGGGTTGTGCTTTTCGTTGACAATCGCCATAGCCTTCACAATCATGGTCAGTACGAACGTCATATATCAACAAGATAAGCGACACTTACGCGGTGGCCGTTCAGGAAGTCAGGGTGTCCCGTATTGACGTAACACGCTTCCATGGCGACCAAGTCCTTCACCAGCTTGTTGGTCGGCTCCATGGCCTTCTTGAAGAACGAGATAACTACGGCGTGGATCTTCTCCTTCAGTCCTGGGTAGCGGCGGTAGAGCTGCTTGCTAAGCAGGTTCGTAAGAATGCGCACAAGCTCGTCATAGACCAGCGAAGCACACTTCAAGCTTGGCTCTTCCAACCGCTTGATCTGTTGCTTCACAATAAGCTCAAATGCTGTAGTGCCGACAAAGAGTGCTGGGGAGGAGCCAGACGAGTTGTAGAGAATGGTGCGAATGTCGACATCCTTGACATGGTCAAAGGGGTCAACCGCCTTGATACCGTTCGAGTAAAGCTCATGGAAGACAAAGCTGATTCTGGCACCGCCTGACAGCTCATTGCTCGAAAGCTCCGTATTGTTGCCGTCCAAAACCGTTCGCCATTCGTTGGTAAACTCGGTGATAATGTTCAGCACAATGTTGGCGCTGTTGCCCAGCATCGATGGGCCAAGGGACTCGAGCTCCTGTGTGTACTTTTGAAGAGAGTTTGAGATACGGCTCTTAATCTCTGGAAGCGTTTGCTTGATGTGCATCATAAGAATAAGGTTGAGCTTGCGGGCGAGATAGGGTGTGCCGCAGTAAGAGCTCTTGTTACGATAAGCCTTGTGGTTGTCGAAAAAGGCCTTTTCAGCGTCGAGGGCGGCGTTGATGGGCTTCTTGTTGTCAATATCCCTTTGACCACGGTTCACGACGGGGACGTAGCCAAGTCTCAAGGGAATGATGCGGCCCGCAAGAATATCCACCACATCAGTTCCCTCGTCCATCAAATCAACCTTGGTGAGCACACCGATCGTTCTCTGACCCTCGGGGTCCACCTCCCTCGCCAACTTGAGACCATCCGAGTTGGCCAAATCGACGTTGGCAGGCGAGACGGCCAGGATAATGGCGTTTGACTTCTGAATAAACTTGAGGATCATGTCACGAATCTGTCTCTCGATATCTCGCGGCTGATCACCGACGGGCACTCTTGTCAGGCCGGGCAAATCGACCAGGGTAAGGTTCAGGACATTGGGCGAATAGATGCGAAGGTTGATGGGGGCAGGTGAGATGCCGGCATTCCGACCCACCTTGGCCTCGGTCTCTCGGTTGATCTCCTCGCGGATCTTGTTGAAGTCGTAGAACTTTTGGCCGGGGATGTGCAGGAACTCGCCCCACTCGTCCGTGTTGGCGGCCTTGTCGGTGCTACCGGCAAGCTTCTCATCGACGCCATTAGAGTCAGCCGTCGCAGGCCGGTTGATAAGCTGCAGTACAAGCGGTCGACGAGTGACGATACCGGAACCACGAGGGAGACTGCATCGAAGAATACCGTCAGCTCAACCATGCCAAGAGCGAGAATAGGGGGCTGTCAGGGGGGGCACATACAAGTCACGACCGACGATATTTTCTAATACGGAACTCTTGCCGCTCGACTGACTGCCTACGACGACTATTTGTGGGAGATCGATAGGGTTGTTGACACCAACGGTGGTGAAGACATCTTGAAGCTTGTTGACCAGCCTACATTCGGAGGTTAGTGCCTAACGAACGAAAAGAAGAGCCAAGACAACTGGGCCTGAGAGGGAGCGCGCGCGGGGCGGGGGGCATGGCATACTTGATGAGGCCAGGGTCGGAAATACCGCCGGGGGTGGCCAGCGTTTGTGTGTCGACCGTCATGTTGGTGATATCGCTGTGCGCCAACAGCGGTGGTGTTGATGTGGATGTTGGGTGTCTTTGGGAATCGGGGGAGGTTTGGTCTCGGCGGTGAAGTGGCGGTCACTGAACGGTATCTATCGCACGCAGTAGGCTCGAGTGGGAGTCGGCTCGAGAATCTGGGGATGGTTGTTTGTGTTGAGGTGCAAGTTCTCGCCTGCTCGCTCAGGTTTTATATGTGAGGGTGCATATATGTGAAGATCTGTTGGTTGGTGATGCGGCGTATCTTTGACTCGCAAGAAGTCGACTGTTCCATATCGACTTACGTACCCAGCAGCGTCCAGCTCCCCTGTGCCACCCACTGGGCCACGAAACAGCGAGACCCACTCGCCCACCCTCAAAGCCTGGCACGTGATTTGAACTTGGATGGAGGGGCAGTTTACAGGGGACCCCAGTCTCAGCGATCAGCCATGACGGCGACACCACTTATACACAGACTTTGAATCAGTGTTAAAGGGTGACTTGTGGGACTATCATGCTGCAAATACCACCCCAAGGTTCATGCTCGAATGAGACATTAAGCCTTTTTATGAAATTGGAAAATGCTCTCCGTACTTGGATAGACTCGGTCAAGGCATTCATGGCCGTTCCAGGGACTTATATCCCTACCAAAAGCAAGGTCTGTTGTTATCTTGATGTCTCTCACTAGCAGTCATTTGAAACTGTGCAGGTGAATGTCCCTCGAAACTCGTAGTCTGTCTTCGAGGTTGAAAGTTGTCAAGTTATCGAAAGGCCTCCATCAACATTGTGGCATGAACCCAGCATCGGCCAACGACCTAAACGTGAGCAAGTGCTTGCGAATCCGGGCTGCGGCGTGGTCCCGTAGCAAACAGGCAGCCTTCGTCCTTACCAATGGCAGCTGGTGAATGCTGTCACCTCAGTCCCGTTCCAAGCTGCCCCGCATTCAGCACTTCGCCGGAAGCACCCTCGACATCACCATCTCTTCAAAGAAGGTGGTCCCAGGTATCCAGTGAAAGCTTGCTTACCACCAAACCTGAGATAATTCTACGGAGCTCAACTCGGACATGGCAAACCCGGAGCCAGCGAAGTCAACGACAGACCGGCCTATCCAGTCCTCCACCTCCAAGCTTAGTTCAGCCACATACGAATGATTCACCCCCATTTCACCCTTCCAAATTGCCCAAGCCATCGCGCGATAAGACAGCCTTTCACTTATCGGATGTGTCTGTCCGCCTGATTGGGGAAGCTCAGCGTATTGCCCCGCCCGGGAAGGCTCCCATAGTAGATCACGAGCACCTTCCTACTCTCCGGGGCTGCCTGAACCTAAACTGCCCGCTTCTGTCCCTTCCATTTCTTCTTCCTTTCACACTTGCCTCCAGGCTACCTATCCACGATACCTGTTTGATTCTTTGAACCGTAAACAAACCTGAGGACCGCTGCGCGACTCTCCAGCTGTCCCCCATTCTATTTCACTCGACTCCCATTGTTTGGCCTCGTTATCTGCCGCCTCTCGCTCTCTTCTCAGCCAGCAACCTTGGAAGAGCACCCCAACCTAGTCATCACACAAGAGTCAGCCAGCTAACAAACCATCCAACCCGCCAGTCATAGGCCCGAGCTTTGTCTGACGTGGGAGGGGGACCGCTTCACTCCGGTTGCTTCAACCATTCTCTCATTCGATTTCCCCTCCTCTTCGTGCGACTGCACCTGACTTTCCGAGCTCCCCGGTCTCGCCCTCCTCTTATCATCACCGCCAGGCTTGCTCGCTGGCAGAATTGACTTCGACTGTTCTGCAGCCAAAAGCTTGCTCTCTCAACTCCCGTTTAAACTCTGGCCACCTTACCCACCCACATACGCCATTCCGTCAAGGCAAAGAGCAAGATGGCGGCCAATTCACGTGCCGAGAGTCTAGGTCTGTCACCTGTTTTCTTTTCCTTTTTCTTCTTCAATTCAACCAACTAAACACTCTGTCTTCATACAGCTCAAATCGATCTCACGCTTGAGAGTTCAGAAAGCAGCACAGCCGCAGCCACCACCTACTCTCGGCGACAAATCACCCTGACAGCCTTGAACAACACGATTGCCATCGGTCGTGCCTCCAAGGTCTCTGCCAAAGGGTTCGTTCCTGCCGAAAACAACGCTTGGTTTGACAGCGCTGTTATGTCACGGGACCACGCTGAAATTAGCGTTGATATCGACGAGAAGGTACGGGATTCGTGGTGACGTTTCAGCTTCTGCCATCGTATGCTTACTGATTACCCATGTAGAAAGTCCAGGTCCGGGACAAGGGTTCTCTGCACGGAACCTATCTCAACGAGCGCGAGAAGCTTGAGAAAGAGCCCAGAGAGCTCAAAGACGGCGACAGGCTCACCTTCGGTCTTCCAGTCGATCGTGGCACTTCGAGATTCATGCCTGTTTCGGTCAAGTTTGGTGTCTCGTTCAACGAGCCCACTAAACAGTACGTCCCATCCTCATTTGCCTCGTCGGCACTGACTGAGACCTTCAGCGTCGGCGACGAATGTGGCTCGAGAACATTTCAGGTCCCGGACGACTCCGAAGTCAGCTCTGATGTTGATGATTATTCTAGCGACAGCAGCATTTATTCTAGCCACTCCGCGACAATGAATCCCCAGACAGCTTCGACCTCACTACATTCGCTTCCGCCCAAATTTGTCCCTGGAGTCGAGGTGATCGATCTTACGGAGCCTGAGGCCTCCAGCCAGAGCCATACCTGGACCTCCAAACTGAACGCAGGCTCTTTCAACAATAGCAGCCCCGCCTTCATCGATCTCTCCTCACCTCCGTTGTCCCCTCTTATGTTCCGAGAGGATAGAGATGCCGAGTATGGATCATCTGGTGCTGCGGTTACAAAGGATGTCGGGGGTGACCACCTTGACATCCTGAGCATTTCTGAGCCAGCGAGGCGTGTTCCCATCCAGAGTACCTCGCCCTTGGGGGCTGCTACTTCTCGTTTGACCGAGTTCGCCTCGGCGCTTGGCCAGACTGCCCAATCTTTGGAGGCAATTGAGCAAACCGTCCTCGATTCTGACATGGATTCGAACTATAGTAGCGACCATAGCCTCGACAGTTTGGATCAGGACAACACCAGCGAGTTGAGTGACGCCGAAAGCAACGTCAACTATCCTGAAAATTTCATGGAAGGTGAATACTCGAGCGATGATGACGATGACAGCGGTAGCGATCATGACATGGATGATCAAAGCGACGGGTCAAGCGTTCTCGACGAGGATATGGTGAACTACTCTGAGGATGATGACAATGAGTCTGCCTCTGAGCATCAGAGTATGTCTTTACTTTGCTATTCCATCAAGCCTACCGATTCAAATGTTGACATTAAAGCAGGTGTTATTGGCGACCTAGATATCTTCGACTGTGATCAGCCAGCATCTCCCCTTCCACTCTCCCCGATGATGGGCAGACCGACCCTTGTCCATAACCATCACACTGCACCTGTAGTGTCTGATGAGCAAGACGACACTCTGGACCACCCGGCTTCAGACACCGCATCGCCCGTCATTCCTGTCAGCTCGAAAAAGGATGAAGCTTGTGCTAAGAGTACCAATCCCATTGCAATTGAAAAGCTCTTGAATGACCGTCCCGGTGTGGCGCAGTCTATGCACCAAGGCCCCCCTCTTCCTGAACTTCGGAAGACTACCCAGCCTAACTCGTGGCCGGCTTCTTTCAAGGGAGATTTTGAGTCTCTGTGTCTGAAATCAGGCAAAGGAGACTTCTGGTCTGCACGAGAAGGGAACAAGGCATATTTCAACAAGACCTCTGGCCAGACCTTCAACAAGGCTGCTTTGGAGACTCAGACTGCCGCTCGCCCAGCGTCGTCGGTATATGCTCTCTGCAATGCAATGCCCACCAACCCCCGGTTTGACAACGAGATGCACACGAGAGATCTATCAGGCTTAGATCAACAGGTCTTTTCTAGATTGCCTCCCATGGAAACCTCGTTCAACAGCACCGTAACACAGTCGATCTGTTCTGATAGTCTTGATCGCCTACTGTCGAGCTCTGCACGCCGCGGAAATCAGCCAAACGCCTACAAGGAGCAAGAGAAGACTAAGGAGCCTGAGACTAAGAAGACTAAGGAGCCCGAGACTGAGAAGCCCGTGGACCAAAACGCTGAGAACGTGGCGTCGAAGACCAGCGATCTTGAATCTCAGAAGGTCAATGTGCAGTTTACGATCCAGACCGCTGATGAGCCTCAGTCGCTTGTCGAGGCAGAGAAGCCGAAGGCGAATTCTGACTCTGTAAAGCGCAAGAGAAAGGCTGAGGATATGTCGGTAGAAACAGAGGACGACTTGAAGTGGGGCGGTGTGCCAGAGACGGCGGGTACTGAGGTCCTCAAGGCCGATGGCCTCGAGGAGGCTGCTACAGAGGTTCGTGGCCAGACTGTTGAGTCCTCTATCCAAGTTCTTCGTCCGTTTGAGAGGCCGACAAAGAAAGTTCGGTTGTTCCGTCTCGCAGAGCGCGTAGGGATTGCGGCTATTGGCGGAGCTATGGTGATGGGCACTCTGATTTATACGGCACCTACCTTTGCTTGAGCAAGTTTTATGTTGTATTGGTTTTTTTGTTTGCTTTTCTATTTTTTTGGCGGGTGGTTCTGTATTCATTTCGGTTTTAATATGGCTTGGCAAACGTGCAGTTTGGTTGGGAATGGGAGAGGAGTCTGACGGATCGGCGCGGGAGCACTGTGGTTATATGAGATCATGCCTGGTTTTCTCTCTTTCTTTTCTTTCTTTTCGCGTTATGACATGAGCATAGGTGGGCAACCGACGGGACAGGATGGTCTGGGACAGTCCGGGACGGGCTGGGACCCTTTAACAACAGACAAGAACTTGGCACAAAGGCAAAAAAGATTATGGGGGGTTGACTGGAACTGGGCAATAATGGATTTCTTGTTTTTCACCTCTTTGTTCTCGGCACGCCAATCAGACGGAAAGGAGGAAATAGATATGCGCATCTTACGCCCTACACGACAGCCTCTTGGACATGGGCATACCAAAGGCCGAATGGTTGCGTGGGTTTGCCTCGTTCCTTACTACCGCGGGGTGTCGGCCGTAGTGGTCAATATCGTTCTTTTTTGCGTCATTGCTTTGCTTTTCATTGAGCTTATGGATCAGTCAGATATGACAAGACCGATGCTTTTAGGTGGTTAGTGGTCGGGAATGACGAGGATTCCAACTAAAGAGCCAATGGTTACAGCCAATTTCTGTTAGGTAGTGTAAGGTATTCATTAAACACTTATTTTTTATGGAGATGCTAGGTGTAATGTCTGGGTGTGTAGCGACATCTACTCACACTCTTCCAGATCAGATATGGATGCTGGTAAAAAGGGCTGCTGGGAGTGAGCTGTGAAAAAAGCGTGGAGGTTGTCACTGATTTCCGTTTCAACAAATCACACTATTTGTGGCCAGCTTTTGCGGTTCTGTGCTCGTGAGAAGATATGTAAAGAATTGTTTTTATAAGCATCGTATAGAATAGCCAACATTGACAAGAAGAAGCATCACAGTTTAAAAATCTAGTAAATTATTTTTCTATGTTATTGTGTTTTGTATTCCTCGAAATTAATATGTATAACGTCTGAGCCTGGTCCAAAAAACCAAACTATATCCAGTACGCCAACGCCAACCCCCCCCTTCTCCTGTCCTCGACCAACCCTACCACAATCCGACCTTGTTGTGATCCCAAACTCCTTTCCCTTCTGAAAAGACAATCTCATACGTTGTTAATCATCCCGTTGGTATCATAAAGCATCATTCATGACTCCATCCCGGCAAACCGTCTGTATTTCCTCCCTCGCTCGTCAAGGTGAAATGACGGGGGTATCACACTTCGTAACTTCCTGACCTCTAATAAATAATGGCCATCAAAATCATGAGAACATAATCCAACTCTTTCATTTCGTATCCGTTGTTTTCCCCACGATTTCCTTCATAAAGACATAAGTCATAGCTCTGAGTTTTCATCAACATTTCACTCATCCCCCTTAACATCAACAGGAGCCTACCTCCCCCACCCAGGACGGGGGTTATAAAGCAGCCCTGTCCACCTCTGGTATCTCGGACGCCTGGGCGCCTCGAGGAGGTGCCAGTCCAAGTAGTTGTTGACGGTGAAGTCGAGGGTGCCCCAGTCCACGTCCTCCCACTTGATGGCGTCCTAGTTCATCTTGTCCCACTTGATCTTGTTGGCGTCAATGTGCTCGCCGGCGTCGTCGAGGATGTCGACCTACTCGCCGAGGTTGCCGGGGCGGTAATAGCGGTGGCGGCGGTATCGGTAAAGGTTGTCGTTGTCGCCGTTGTAGGTGTTTTCACCGCCGCTGCTGAAGCCCTGTTGTTCTTGCTCCTTGGCTGGGGTGGTGGGGACCGCGGAAGGCTTGGGCTTAGAGGAGGGCTTGACTACGACGACCTTCTCCTCCTCCCCCTGCCTCCGCGCCTCCTTCTTCCACTTTTTCGCACCACGAGGGTAGACAGGGCTGACACCGTCACCCAGACTGCACATGAGGTGGTCCTCGTCGGTGGCCTTGGTCTGCACCTCGTCGGGGTAGGTGTACTCGTTCCCGCAGGAGAAGACGTCGCAGCCCGAGGTGACGCTGGCCGACTTCCTGGGCCACATCATCTTGACGCCGCTGGTGTCGCGGTCGTTGGCGATGGCGGAGACGTCAAAGAAGGTCAGGCCCATGTAGCCGTTGAAGGTGACCTCGCCCAGCATGCCGGGGATCCAAGGTTTGCCATCGGTGACGGACCACCAGTTGCCGATCCAGCCGTGGGGGAAGGGCTGGGTGACCTCTTGGTGGGCGGGGACGCGGAGGGGCTTGATTTCCTTGTGGGGGACGCTGGGGGTGAAGACGATGGTGCGGTGCTTGTTGTCTTGGTTGATGAAGGTGACCTTGGGCTCGGCGAGGGCGGAGACGATCCAGGCCAGGGCCAGCGTCATTGTGCTGAAGAGCCTCATGGTGGCGGATGGACGGACGTGGTAGGGGGTTGGGTGTCAGAGAGAGAAGAAGTCAGGAGACCTCCTTGGGAAGAATATTTTTTCTGCTTGGATGAGAATTGACAAGATTTTAAAGTAAGCCCTGAATACCAGCAAAAGCTAGATCATAAGAAGTTGGCAGCCACGTCGAGTACGAATTATTCAGAGTCCGGAATGGTTTGAGGGGGCCTCACTCTAGACTCGTGGAGCAACCGAGCAGGAGAGGTACGGAAGAAGAAATCTCAACAGCACTCGCAACGACTCGAGGTGAGGTAACAGACACACTTATATACCATCCCCGAGGCTTCTTGAGCAAACCCACAGACAACCCAGCCATTTCCCCTCCCCGCTCGACTGCCGAAGAAAAGCAATTGTTCTCGCATCGCGGTGTGAAAGGGGGCGTCCCCAGTGCAGACCAACCGCCATCACATTCGTAAGCTTCTGGTGTTTGATCATGGAGGCAGGCTGTCTGTGGACGTACACTGTATGCAAAGTCAGCCAACTTTTCAGTTTCAACTTCTCGCAAGGCTGCCTATCCCAGAGGAGCAGGAAGGTGTTCCTGAAAGCTAACACCCGGAGATCTTCCCCCTTCTCGGGAGGTTAGGCGGTACGCCCACACCAAGACAGCAGCAGAGCACAGAGATAAGAGACACACACACCTCCAACTTTGGATCAAGTGTGGTGTGGCTGCGTGGTGGTTGGGGGGAACTATGTAAGGTGGAGAGCCCAGTCTCCCCTGACTGGGCGGTTCTATCCGTGGTGCAGACGGACTAGGTCCAGGAACGCCTCATCCGCCATTGGTGTGCCTGGTTGCATGGAACATTGAATGTATGCACATGGCAGCCCACGCACGCCTTGAGGGGTAGGTATGGTCGTGTTCAGCTCTCACAGGTCGAGGCGGCTGGTAATGGCTGGCACACAGGTCGGAACTCGCATCGTCACGCCATGTGAAGAAGTCAATTCCGCGGTCCAGATTTGGAGATATGTTTGATAAACCGACGCTGGGAGGGTTGGAGCTCGGCGAGCGGCACCGGCGGCGGAAAGTACTGCAGCCTTGTCGGTATTGTTAGGTTGTGGTACATGTTGTAGATAAGAAACAGCCACACAGAATAGTGATTGCAAAAAACTGCTTGCTCAAACCCCAAGTATCGATCATAGATGCTGGTTTTCATTTCACGCAAAGCTTCCTCGTACCAAGTCAGAACAAGAACATGTTCCAGAGCTGGAGTTCAGCCCTGCCACCCGTACACTAAATCTGGTCTCGCCAAGGCGGCTCCGGGAATTTAATCGCGGGATGTGACACCGGGAGGCAGGGGCTTTGTATTCCTAGAAGGCCCCACGAGGACGGCGATGCTAAGCTTGAGGTTGGCCGAATTCAACTACATGGGAGAATTGGATATCACCTTGTACCCCCACTCCCGTCTTGAGCTGGTTTGCAAGCATTGATGATGTTCTCTTGGTCATCATGACTGTGCGTAGGACAGTGCAGGATGTCTCACCCCGAGACGAAGCTTGTACGCAACGCGAGAACCGCATGTCTTGTGAAGATCTGGGGGGTAAGCGAAGGTCGGAATCGCAACAAAAGGAGTGAAGGCAACGGAAACCCAACTGCCAACACGCAAGCGGAGACACCGAGCGCCAACATTTGCCAGCCACCAGTTTCATGTTTGTGACCATCACCATAGTGAAGCACAGGTGTACCTAGAGCAGAAGCTGGAGGAAAGCTATGCCATTAAAACAGGGTATCGAATTGCGTTGTTTATCGAACTCATCGTGTGGCTCAACCAACCGTCGATAGTGATGGAAACAATGATGCTTACATCTACACTCGCATACAGACTCACCGCCACGAAGTCCTCCTCATACTCAGATCATCCTCCAGTTGCGAATACCATTCTCCCTCTTCCTCTCGGTTTGCGCCTCTCGGACCCGGCCCAGACCTCACAATCGCAGGCTGTCGAGGATCACGACGAGCAAATCTCGTGTTGTCTCTCATCTTCAAACCTTCCACAAACTCCAGGAACTTCTGATGCGACAACTGCTGCCTCTAGCTCTCCATCATACTCGTCTGTTCCATCCTCGACCTCGCTTCCCGTATCAGCGCCTTGGCTTCCTCCACCTCAACGCCATCCTGGCAAAGCTCCGTCGCGAGACGATTCGCCGTCTCGTAGTCCTCCACCCTCATGGCATATTTCGCCAACCACATCCGGGCCTTGCTCGTTGCCACCGTAACCCCTGTCCCCTCAGCAGCCGCCACCCTTTCCCCTCCGCCTTCGCCATCATCTGAGCCGGGGCTATCAGCGCGGACGCCGATGGAATCTCCTAGACCTGGTCCTTGATCATTGGTAACCCCGCCATCCTCCTGAGCAACGCACAACTCCATGTACGCCTTGGCCTCCTCTTCTTCCTCCATCCGATCATACATTGCCGCTATTTGCAGCAGGACCTCAGGATCCATCTGCGTCATCCGATCGATCGTCCCTGTGCTTCCAAAGCTACTTGCTGACGAATCGTAGTAGGAATCCGCAAGCAGAGCTCTCTTGAGCGCCTTGATGCCGTCTTTGTCGCGGCCCATCTTTTGCAAGCACGAACCCACCGCCTGCCACATCTTGCCGTCCCAGGGACGCAGACCAGCGGCCTTCTTGTAGTACCATAGTGCATACGCGTGCATTTCGAGTACTTCATATGTTTGGCCAAGGCCGTACCAGGCGCGGTAGTCCCTCCGGTTGACGTCTACCGCTCTTCGGTAGGATTCGATGGCTGCGTGAGTATTCTTCAACTCTACATACTCATGCCCCATGAGTGTCCACGCGGAAAGACATGAGCGGTCCAACATGAGCGCCCGGCGGAAGTAGTGGACTGCTTTGTCGTGGCAAGATAGTAGGGAGTAGTAATTACCAATGACGACGCAAGACTCTGGACGAAACGTATCAATGCTAGAGCATAGATGGGCCAAAAAGGCCAGCTTTGGTCGGAGGTTCAAAACATATAAAATGTTGGAATAATGGTCCAGGGCATCTATCCTCTGGGGATGAAGTCCAAGTAGCTGACTGAATTCTTGCTCGGCTGCTACAAGATCTTTCGAGTGATAATATAGCAGTGCTTTGTCGGTTAGAAGGAACGATGATGTTGGGAACACGACCAGCAAGTCGTTCAGAGCATTGGCGATCTCACCGCCTTGCTGGTAAAGGTTGATCGAAGCATGGGCGTGAAAGATGAAAGACATGATGTTCTGGGGTAGCTTTGGTGTTACTTCGTTCAGCTGTTCAACTCTGGTGATGAGGTTGGTGATCTCCATCCAGGCACCCCAGTTCCACGGAAATAGTTGCACACTTTCAACCAAATACTGCAAAGCAGCCCTGTCGTTCTTCTCCTTCACCAAAACCATGCCGTAGAGATACTCGAGGAAGCCCTGGCTGGGCGCAACATCGCCTCCCTCCGACTTTCGCTGGTCGAACCACTTTGTGAGGAACCGACTGACCACGGCCAGCTGTTTGTTCGTAATCGTCCCCAAGTCTTGCGGCCCCATGATCATTTCAGATTCCTCCTCCTTTCGCTTCTCGCCCGAGATCATTTTGGCATACAGCGCGAGAAATAAGCTTTTCTGGCTGATCTGAGGTAAAGCTCTCTCCGAAGGTAGAACAACCGAAGGCCTCTGCTTTTCGCTCCCTTCCGTAGTGGTGGCATCGTCTACTTTTGTCCCCAACATCTCTGCCAATGAAGACTCGGGAAGGAATACGGCGGCACATCTGTCGAACTCCTTGCAGTCGAATAACGATTTGGCGAGAAGGTAACGGCTGAGCTCCTTGGCTTCGAGAGCCGCTTCGGCAGGATCATGATTTGGTGTGAAAGCAGGATGAATGTAAGACGATGGTAAGTCTTGCGTTGCTTTAAAGTCGGCAGCAGATGGTTGAGGAAGCGCATCGAGGAGTTCGGCCGCCCTATGTACACCGAGTGTTAGTTGAATGAAGTGTTTAAAAAGGTAGCCATGATGGACCAAATACCATTTGGCAGCGTGGTAAAGACATCTTTCGGAGCATTTTACCACTGCTATTTGCAGCGTATCTCGTAGTTGCAAAGCATCCTTTGCAGAGAGGCCCATGGTGGTTGCTTTGTGGTTGTGGTGCAACCCCTCCAGTGACGAGGGTGTTGTTAAATGGTCTTGTCTTGGCTAGGATGTACCAAAACAATAGCTCCAAATGGGGAGGGGAGATATGTTTGATATCGGTCCCAAAACGGCGGTTAACCAGGCGTTTGTCAATCAAGCATAACGGCGGCCAAATATCTAAAGCCAAAAATGCAATCGTGGATATCGTCGCAACCTATGGGTGACAGCAAGGCGCAGTTGTCAATGACGAAACCCCCAACAGGAACGCGTCTGTCTTCGGTCCACCGCGACAGACAGCGCCAAGACATTTCCCCCTGTCCTGTCCCCTGGTCCCTTGGAAATCTGCCAGCCCCACTTCCCGCCGCCAGCACGACAGCCAGCCAGCAAAACAGCTCACCGCCTGCTCGAATGAGCCATCAGGGTTCTCTTATCGCCATAATCGCAGCTCCCCACAACAAAGGGGGGCAAGGAGGGGTCGTGAAATTGGGGAGAAACCGCCGAGTACGTAACGGCCCAGTTGTTGATATCCACCTTTGTCACTTGTGGTACCTGATCGGTAGAATCGCCTTGTCATCTGTTATTGTTCTCCCGTGATACCCAAACAGGCAGTAAATCGGCAACTGCCCGCCCCTTTCCCCTTCGCTTGTAATTTATATGTAAGGAAACACACCCCCCGCACCTCTCCCGCTGCCTTGCTTCCCCCGAACCCCTATCTTCTCCAACCTTCCGAATAGCGGCCCAAGCTGACCGACGGTGAACACTTCGTCTCTTCAGAGATCCCCAGACAAGATGGCTGCGCCGCAAAAGACCACCCTCCAGGAATTCGAGTCCGTCTTCCCCAAGCTCGAGGAGGTTCTACTCGAGCATGCCAAGTCGTACAATCTCCCCGAGAAGGAGCTCGCTTGGTACAAGAAGGTAGGCCTCCCGTTCCATGTATCAAGCTGGCCGAAGTAAACAAGACTAACATGCCTTTCCTCCCAGTCCCTCGAGATCAATGCCGTCGGCGGCAAGTGCAACCGCGGCATGTCGGTCCCCGACTCCGTCTCCCTCCTCCTCGGCCGCCCCCTCACCGAAGATGAGTACTTCAAGTCGGCCACCCTCGGCTGGATGACCGAGCTCCTCCAGGCCTTCTTCCTCGTCTCGGACGACATCATGGACTCGTCCATCACCCGCCGCGGCAAGCCCTGCTGGTACCGCCACGAGGGCGTCGGCATGGTCGCCATCAACGACGCTTTCATGCTCGAGGCGGCCATCTACACCCTCCTCAAGAAGTACTTCCGCGACCACCCCCGCTACGTCGACCTCCTCGAGCTCTTCCACGAGGTCACCTTCCAGACCGAGATGGGCCAGCTCTGCGACCTCCTCACCGCCCCCGAGGACGTCGTCAACCTCGACAACTTCTCCATGGAGAAGTACCGCTTCATCGTCATCTACAAGACGGCCTATTACTCCTTCTACCTCCCCGTCGCTCTCTCTTTGCTCCTCCTCGACATCGCCACCCCCGCCAACCTCAAGCAGGCCGAGTCCATCCTCATCCCTCTGGGTGAGTACTTCCAGATCCAGGACGACTACCTCGACAACTTTGGACTTCCCGAGCACATTGGCAAGATCGGCACCGATATCATGGACAACAAGTGCTCCTGGCTTGTAAACCAGGCTCTTGCCATTGTCACCCCCGACCAGCGCAAGATCCTCGAGGAGAACTACGGCCGCAAGGACAAGGCCAAAGAGACGGTCATCAAGAAGCTGTATGACGATCTCAAGCTTGAGCAGCGCTACCAGGATTATGAGGAGAAGTTTGTCACTGAGATCCGGGAGCGGATCGGCCAGATTGATGAGGCCGAGGGGCTCAAGAAGAGCGTGTTTGAAGCTTTCTTGGCCAAGATTTACAAGCGCAGCAAATAAATGCCGGGTTTCTGTGGAGGAGGACTTCATAAGAAGGGGGCTGCAATAAAAAGCGAGCGTCGTTGGGATTTCCTTCCCATAGCTATAGAAGGCCATCTCGGGTTGCAACTCTTGACATGAAAAAAGAATAATAAATCAGAATAGTAAAGCAATACACCTAACCTAATCATATAAACACATGGATGACACTCCAATAACTGAAACAGTGAAGTAAGAAGTTGATTGTCTAAGTCCTTGTCTATGTATTCTATGTATTCTATGTTTGTATATGTGCAGGTTTCATTTACACGATGTCCAAGAAGCCATGCTATGGATTTGATAGCCTCTTTTAAAGCTGCCAAACTCTGAAAGGACAATAACCCAACAAGAAGAAACTCCAAACGACCAAGAACACACACACAATAAAGCACAGCAGAACAATTACAAAACAAGGTCAATACAAAAAACATCTCTTTCCGGTTGTTCATTCAACCCCCCCCACAACCTCTGAGCTACACAGAGACAGACCTGCACCTTGATAACTTTCTTCCTTTCCTCTCCCCTTCCACCCGCTATTAAACAAAATTATGTTTGACTTTTTTTGCTTTTCCCAGACCAAATTTCATAAACACATGACAGACACACAACAACAGAACATCAAAGAAAAAAACCGAAGTAATCGCGTGTGAACACATAAAACATCCCATCAGTAGATAACCACCAAAAACACCCCAAGTCAGAGAGATAACCAGCAAAAGACTAGTACAAAGTCCCAACTCTCGAATTAAACCAGAGAAATAAAAACAAAACAAAAAGACCGGCTTGTTCAAAGCTAAAATAACTCCCAAAATCAACCAAAACATCACCCACCCCCTCTGTCCTGTCCGTTAACAGACCTGTATCTGTTCCCCGTGTCATCAATCCCAATGGGTATCATGCGTAGTTGTAGTATGTCCTGTAGACCTGGAAGTCCAAAATTACTGAGGTTGACTCCCACCACTCGTGGTTCTCAACCTCCCCATCCGAGTCCCCTCCTGCTGCTGCTTCTGCAACTCCTTCTGTTGCTGCAAAACATATTGCATCACTCTCGGATCTGGCTGCATTCCCAGCCCATTATTATCCACGAACCCACCACCACCGCCCTGCCCAGCAAGCGACATCCCCCTTTGCCTTCCATAGTCCCCTCCTGGTGGGTAGCCGCCTCCACTCCTCATCGTATCACCAGTTCCCGGCCTTATCCCTCCACCACTACTCCTCACCGTCCCCCTTCTTCCCAATACCATGCTATTTTGCAGCCCAGCACTAGTCCCAGGCCTCATGCCCAGCTGCTGCTGCTGTTGCTGCTGTTGTCTCTGCATCATCAAAGCCTGCTGCTCGCTCCGATGAATCAACGCCTTGGGGGGCTGCTCAATCTTCGCCGCGCCCGAAACCAACGCCGGCCCGGTAGCCAAATCAACCAACGGTCTCCCATCCTGAGGCTTCACCGCCCGTCCTTTATTCTCCCTCGACCACTGCGGCGCCTCCTGAAATTCGGGGGTCAAATCAAGGAGGGGTTGAGGCTGCTGCCTCATCGGTCGACGGGGCTGTGGGTTCGACGCTGGCTGGTTAAACTGCTGCTGTTGAGGAAGCGGTACCGGATGACCAACACCACCACCACTACCCAAACTGTTACCATGTGATCTCCGCTGAGACACTGACCGTCCAAGACCGCCCATCATTCGAGATCCTGCACTCGTACTAGGGCGCCGTTGTATCAAAATCTGAGGTGGCATCGACTGCTGATGATATAGCTGCTGCTGCTGCTGCTGTTGTTGTTGCTGCTGCTCAATAAGACTGCGTTGCTGTCTTGAATGCTCCGCCGCAGAAGCAAACCAACCAACTTGCTCGTTTCTCCCTCTAGCGGCCGTGCTAGTACTAGGAATGGCGTCCCTAGGAATCGACCGAACAGAATCTGGGCTTTGCGGTCGCCGGTCTGTAGCTGAAACAGTCCTCGAGTGGTCGACAAAACAACTACCGCTCCCACCACTCTCGCCCGCCGCCGGGGTGGGGGGAAATGCTCGCCTACCACCAGCACCTGCTGTTCCGGCTACCGTTGCCGACTTGGACTCCAGCTGCTGCTTTCGCTCTTCATATGCCGCGCCAAGCAGCGAGTTTTCGGGAAAAGCGGCAGCAGCAGATGGATCATTCCTCTCGGCGCCGTCAACCAGCGTCCAATCCTTGCCAAAATCGTCGATTGACTTGTTGAACCGGTCGAGATCAATCAGCGGTTTAAACGCTCCAATGGTGTAAGGCGATTCGTCCACTGATATCCTTGTTTTGTGCCCGTTTCCTAATCCAACCTCCTTCACCGTCCTCCTTGGCTCGGCTGCCACGGTCATGATTTGTGGTGGTTTTTCGGGCTCGGGCTCTCTCAGCAGACTCTTGGCCAGGTGCCAGTTCCTCCAGGCCTGTACGTGACTCTGAAACCTTCTGATAATCTCCTTGTCTTCGGCAGAGACATACTGCACATACTTGTCCGTGTTTTCAAACGTGTTGATTCTCTCCTGGCTCTTCATGGCGATGACGTTTCTTTTTGGTGGTTTCAGGTGTCTCCTCAGCTGAGCTTCCGTCGGGTGGTACATGTCGTAATCTGAGAGATGGCATATAGCCACAACGTCCTTGTCGCCACGTTTTGGGTTGCTAGATTTCGAAGCAATCATTCTCCCGTCCTCATACAGTATGATATACCGCTTCACCCATTTGAATTTCGGACCTGGGCCCCGATAGTACATGAACAAGCAAAAGCCCGGTGGTGCCTCGCGAGTCTGGGGCGCACCTTCGAGATCCAGCTTCAAGCCGTGTGGTGGGCCATCATGAGACAGGGCGAGTGTGTTTTTCGAGTCTGGGCCCCAAGTGTCCATCACATGGCGCAGTCGCTCCTGTCGCCGCAGCGGTCTTTCGAGGCCGAAAGCATTGTACTGTTCAATCAGGACACCAGACGATAATTCTGCCAACTGCTCCAGAGACTTCAGCTCCACGAGTACATCGTGTGCTGTGGTTTCGCGACTAATGGCAACATCCACAAAGTCGTTCTTACACAAAATGGTGAGCGACTGCATAAAACCTGTTAGTGAACCCTTCCCCGGAAGTGTGATGTCACATTGGCCCACTTACATCTCGTGCGCCAGTGCTCGTCTGTCCACCTGCCTTGATGTAATGTCGAGGCATGATTTTCTGAGCCGGGGATTGGCTGCCAGCGGTTTGGCTGGTGATGTCTTTCTCCTTGTCCTTTGATGAAAAAAACGACCACTGGGAAAGGGAGGAATTGGGTGAGATGGGCGAAGCGGTTTTCTGTGAGGTGGTTGGAGTGGAATCCGGAGAGGTAGGAGGCGAGGTCTTGGACTTGCGTCGTCGACGATCGGAGGAAAAAAACTTGTCCAGCATCGGACTGAATCCCATGGGGGACGTTGCTGAAAGGGGCGTGAGCGGTGGTACCGCGGATAGCTGCAGGTGCTGGTGCGCCTGCTGTTGGACGTCGCAGTCTGACTTCCGCTGTTCGGCAAGGGTCCCGTTCGTTTCGGCTTCCAGCCGTGCCACCTCGTGCTCCCCGCGGACAAACTGCGGCGTCTCGTGCCTGCGCCGTGTTTCGTGCTGCTGGTGTTGCTGCTGGTTGATGTTGATGTCTGACAAAGGTGACGATGGTTGAAGTTGTTGGGACGGTTGGGACGATGGTGACGGTGGTGACGGTAGTGGTTTGCTCCGGACATCAATCTTCTTATTACTATTACCATTACCATTAACCGGGCCTGGGAGGGTGCTGGCAGGTGCAGCTGATGGGCGGGACAAGCAAGCAAGCTTCTCGGTAAGGTTGTCGTGCGGCGTGTGCCCCGCCAGCCTGAACTTATTATTCACGTCATCGGCACCGACGAGTCTGGGTTGAGCACGATTCCCCCCGTCCTTTCTCAACGACAGGGGCTGCGGCAGCAGGAGAGGCTGAAGAGGCGGGAGCTCGAACGATGGGTTGAAGGCAGTTCCAGTCGTCCGTCTTGCAGTTCCTCTGCTTCCAGGTCCCTTCTCAACAGCTAATGGCAGTATCTCCCGCATCTCCTCCAGCAGGGACGAGAGCGAGCGAGACCGTCTCCTGCCCCCTCCCCTTCCCCTTCTCACCCCCCAGCTGTTTGTGGTACTGGTGCTGGTGCTGGTGCTGGTGCTGCTCTCGGTTGCCATGCTGCTGCTAGTTGTGCTAGCGGGCAGCCAGCCATCGTCTACTGCAAGCCTGGCCGCCCAAACATTCCCCGTCTTGCCTGTCAGGGCATGGCGTCTGCTGCCTCTGAGTCTTGGTGAGAAGTGGATGGTGTTGGTCTGGTTGGTGGCTGCCATGGCCGGCTTCCTTGGCACCTGTCTGCTCAGGTGGCGTGGATCCTTGGCGGTCCGTTACTCTGTGCTTGCCAGGTTTCGGGGGGGCCGGTGGCGGCCGAGGTGTCGCGATCAGTGGGGACTCAGCGGTTCAGGGGTCCTGCCACAGGGGTACCGGGGCTGCTGCTGGAGATAGCCGACGCCAACCACGTCGTCGGGTTGCCTGAGATCGATCGGAAGGGTCTCCAGGCTATGTATGTGGTGCAGGCTGCAGAGCCAATCTTTTCGTTTTTAGGGGACGAGATCCAAGCAGAAAGAGAGAGAAGGAAGGGATCTGATCCGGAAATGATTAAGTAGTCACAAGGCAAACCACCTCTCCCTTCATCTCGATATACAGAGCTTTTCACGGGTACAAACATGTGCCTGCCTTTCCGCGGAATTTGCACGGCTCCTTCAAACGCGGAAATCCACGCAAACTTGCATTCGTCACGGCCTTCGGCAATATGACGCTATACGGTATCCAGTATGGATTCGCCGAACCACTCACTGATCACTGTCTTGAAGGTTGCAAAGGGTGGGAAGCAAGGGTCGCTCAGGGCTCTATCTCGATTCTCAAGTCATAACACCATCACATACCAACCCCTGAGCACACCTCCCGCTCGCCGCGTTTCTGTCAAGCCTGGCATGCCAAGGGGCAGCTGTCCAAGTATCGAGATTCAGCGGGCGTGTCTCCCCATGTCTCACACCTCCCAATCATCAGTGTCTAAAAGCCCTAAACTCCCTTCTCCACCATCCCACGAAATCCTGGGTCGACACGTCAATGCCCAAGTCTTTCAATGCCTTGGTACTGAGGTGACAATCGTAAGGCCGCTGGACACTTGCATTCGGGTCGTTCCCTTCCGTGTTGGGCTTGATCCGGTCGATGGGCAATCCGTTGATCTCTGCAAATAACTGACAAATCTCATACTTGGTGTACTTATCCTCGCTCGAAAATTGGAGAATCCTCGGCAGCGAGTTCCGATCACTGGTCTCTAGATACTTGGCAGCGATGTCTACCAGGGACCATTAGCCTCCCCGTTCCTTAAAAATTGTCGGGGTTGTTGGGGGCAAACTCAGAAAATGCTCACCTTTGAGCACCCGGCCAATGTCCTCGGTGTTTGTTGGGTAGCGGAGAGCCCAATGATCCATGTTGATATTGGCACCCTCCTGCTGAGCTTTGAGTACTGAATCCATCAAGACATTCACCGCACTTTCAGCGTTGCTCTTAGCTGAGCCGTAGAGGACGGGTACACGTAACACCACTCCCAGACCTTCCTTTCCGGCCATCTTGAATTCATGGAGGACTGCCCGCTCGCCCTCGAGCTTGGTCTGTCCATACAGGTTGGTCGGGGCAGGCTCGGCGTTGTTCTCATAAGGAGCATCGCCGGGCTTGCCGGGGAACACGTAGTCGGTGGAAATGTAAGTCAACAAGATGCCTCTCTCTGCGCAGAGCCGAGCAAGTGTGCGAGGTGCCTCGACGTTGAGAGCTCGTGTTCCCTCGGGGTCTTTGTCAACCTTGTCGGGAAACCTGTTGGCAGCGGCTTTGATAACATGTGGGTTAGTTTGAGAGCTGTGCTATCAAATCAGATGAGATGCTAGTCTTGACGTACAGTGAACCACCACTTGTGGTCTGCGTTATTGTTAGTCAGTCACATCTCTTTTGTTTGCTGTGTGATACGTACTTGACATCGTCGAGGACCTTCTTCAGCTCATCAGCATTGGTCAAGTCAACCTTCAAGATGTCAGTGCCATCAGCGCGGGAGAAGCCAGTTCCTTTGACAGTCCAGTCATTGTTTGCAAAAGCCTTAAGCACCTGCCTCCCCAACAGGCCGGTAGCTCCCGTGACAACTGCTGTCTTGCCGCCCATAATGGAAATCGAAGAGTATGATAGAAGGCTCGTGGTGAAACTGGCCGGAAGCTGCCCTCCGAATCGCTTGCATTGGGCGCAGAGGGGTAACGTCATCGCCTTTGTCCGCGTGGGTTAGGGTTAATGTCGCGGCCCAGGTTCAATTCATGAACATTCTAACAGTTTGATATTCATACTACTCATTATTCAAGTAACCGCTGAATAAATAAAATCACCAAAACAGTGTTCTTCCGGCCATTTAATCCTCGTCTTCAACCTTGTCCTCCACCATCTCCTTCGCAGTGTTATTCACAATCTTCTCCGTCACCGGTCTCTCCCCTCCACTGAAACTACCGCTGACACTTCTCAGTCCACCAGTATTACTCACACTGATGCTCCCCTTCCTATCCCCCGTGGCAAACCCCACCGTGACTTCGGTGGCACTAGGCGGAGTCCCCATCATCATGGCCGGAATACTAATCGGACTAAGCCGTTTCCCAAAGTCATCGAACCCAGGCGGCACCGGGATCCTTATATCCTCTGGGCTGCCAGGTATCATCCGCGGGTCGAGGCCCGGAATGTGAATTCGCTTTGCCTCGTTCTGATATGCTGCAGGAATGATCTCGATAATTTCATCTCGGGGGAACTTAAGCTTGGGAATGTCTCGAGTAGAGCAGTGCATTAGGTAAGAGTACAGAACCCTCAAGACCGACTCGTGGGCGATGATCAAAAGATCATTTTGCTCACGCTCAAGCTCAAGAATGATGGGTTCGAGGCGCACGGCTAGGTCGTGGTAGGACTAAAGGGGGTTAGGGGACAATATAAATAATCAAGAAAAGAAAAAGAAAAAGAAAACATACCTCAGCGCGGGGATACCGATGATGATACGGATCCAACTCGTGCTTCTCCACCTCTTCAGGATACAAATTTCTGATCGCCCTCTCCGAAAGCTTCTCACACACTCCCGGGTTAATTTGTGACATTTGGCTTCTGTGTCGTAACTTTTGTACGCCCAACTTCTCGAAGATGCTCGGCTTGTCTGAATTGTCCGCGAGCCTGGTCGACGTTGCAAATCGTGAGACGGACGTTATAGGAACATCAGGGCCGCCCTGATCGATAATCGCCTGTCGCTCTTGCTCTCGATGCCGCATAAGCCTCTCGGCCATAACTTGAGCATACGCCTCGCCCTCGGCGGAGAGCGGCGCATCGGCCTTGTAAGAATCCTCCTCAGTAGCGGTACCTGCACGGACAAAGAAGGTGGTACGGTGTTTGATGTGGAGGTTGGTGAGATAGAAGACGATGCGGTGCGAGAGGTAGTTGAAGCTGACGTTGTTGTAAAAGAAGGCCTGGCCAGCGTTGATCATCTTGACGTAGTTGAGCTCTTCCTCTGCCATGGTTTCGAATACGGGAATCTTCGTCTCGATGCGTTTGAGATAGCGTTTGGCGGCCTCATCTGGGTCCATGCCGTGGAACTGCACACTGTGAGCATTTCCGTCTGCTCGCAAGGCGCAGCTACCATTGTTTTTTGTACTTACATCGGGAGACGAAATCTTGACATTTCGGGCGTTTTCTTTGAGGATCTCTTGATCATCCACAAAAGACTCGATAAACAGTGTCTGAACATCATGCTTGGCAAATTCTTTGGCAAGGGCACGACGGCCGCTTGCGGTGGGATTCACGGCGTCATAAATCGCAACCTGGCCATTTTCATGGTTCAGCCAGCCGTAAATATCCTCCCTGCATTTCTTGAGGATTTTCTGGCGAAGCATGACAGACGCTGGCGAGGCATTGGGGTAGAAATAGTCCTGTGGAACATGGCCTCCTTGGCCAACCGTAGCTCGGCGGTAGTCACCAAGGTGGAATATGCGAGTCTTGACACCAAGCCTATGGGTATGTTAGTTTCACATTGCGTCCTGCCACATAGAAGGGGAACATACCAAGAGAGATAGCGTGCCATGGAGACACAGATGTGACTGATATACTGCTTGTCAGCCACGAAACGGTGCATGTGGTTTCACCGAGGGAACATACGTCTTTCCTCTAGCTGGAAGGCCAACCATTACGATGGCGATTCTCCCCGAATGGAAGAGACGACCAGACATGGTGCTGTACAACTGGGCTGGGGCCAAATTGCCCACCTCGCTTGGGACATCGTGAATGCCATCGATGAAAGTTGAACTCTTGCGGCGGTAGCGTGGGGCATTGGCCGCGATTTCGGCAGTTCTATCATCATTAGCAATGCTGTCCCTGATGCCCTTCATTGATCGAGGCTCGACGGAGCTGTGCTGTCTAGGAGTCTCCACCATTGACTTACAGGAGTGTATCCATGGTGACCGTTCAAGATTGTCCGCGTTTTGCGAGCGTCCAGTAGGATGTACACGGGAGAGGGTAATATTCTGCGCCTCGGATTACGAAGTGATCTCTGCAACTGGTGATGCCCCTCTTTTATCTTCAACCTTGCCAAGTCAGGTAGGTCGTAGGTCGAGATGGATTTTGCCAAGAAAGACGTCTAACTCGACGAGGGGCCGTGTGTGGATGAATATGTTTGTCACACCAGCTGTGGATGAAGAAGAGGGCTTCCCAAAGCTCGGATTCGGCGTCGCCTCTTTATACCGAATGATGTAACAGGCGACTTATGGGCCACAGATAAGCATTGGCGGGCAAATCTCAGATGAGGAGCGAAGTTCGTGGGACTTGGGCCTGGTATGGGGACTCCACTTTCAGCGTGGAGGTTAACGGGATGGAGAATGGGGGACAAGATGAACGACAAGCGGATGAAACAAAATCAGAAGCCGTGAGCAAATGGAAGCGTGTAGTGTAAGGGCGGCGAATGCGACGCTGCTATCCGCTTAGAGACGACCGACGTGAAGCAAGTGCAAGAGGCTCCCACGGGGCGCTATTAAGATCGAAGGTGGAAGAATCCGGGCTTCCGCTGGAGGGAACGGGCCAAGGGTGAGGCGCCACTGCGCATTACCTATGTGCCTACCTTACACTGTTAGTGATCAACCCTCCCGTCAAACAAGGGAACGGCCACTGTGGCACGTCAAAGATCATGAGTTAAATATACTGCAACTATAAGACATTCAACACACAGCTACACCTCACTCGGATAGAATTTCAAGTCTCCAGTCTTGCCGTCTGGAAGAGGCATATGTGACATATAGTTTTGATGTTTCAATGGCTTTCTTTATCGCATCTTATCGGGTGCTATGCTAGGCAAGAGACTTGCTCCTACCTACTTAGTGTAGTACCTGGATACTTCTCTATGTACGGAGTTTTTCGTACAGAATTCGGTCGTGACTTTCTCCGGACCCGGCCGTGGCGGGCGGTTCGGTGTCGTCACCTGGATTTGGGTGCTGCGAGTTTTGCTCGTTCCTTGGCGACCACTAACAAACATGGAGCAAGCCCCACCAAAAAATGCAGCGCAAGGGCCAACAAACTGGGCAAGCCTGCTGCACCGCGAAATTTTTGGCCTGGCTCTTGCCTTCGTCAAGCTCAGGTCTTAGCAAACCAGACGAGAGTCTCCAGCAAGCTGCTCAAACTCCACGACATCGAGAGAACCCCTCGGACCAGCCCCGGCGATTTCACTACCAACTGCCTCTCCTCCCGCCGAGGAAACTTCCGTTCCGATATAGAATCAGCCGAAACCAGCCCCTCACAAGCTGCGATTGCTCTCATAATGGCGTCCAGCTACAGCTCGCCATTTGCGGCATTGCAAAATAACCCCGTCTTCTCCGGTCTCTCAGATGTTTACAATGCTTTCCAAGAGAGGAGAGCAAAGCTCGGCTTGTCAAATCCCGGAAAGGTAGAAGACATCTCCAAGGGTATGTGACTCTAAAAGAAAAAGACGTTGGCATTGGGAAGTGGCGCTGACTGTGTCCAACTTGCAGAGGTCAACCGAGATGTTCTTGCCCAGCAGCACATGTTCTCCGGCCTTCGCGCCGAGCTCACAAAGCCTTTCAGCCTGAGCCCTCTGTACGTTTCCTTCTATACAACGGCAACCATGATTTCAACATGTACCAGCGTCACCGCGATGCGCCGATGGATATGGTTGCTGGCGGCCGAAGTTACAAGACATGATCCTAACTGGCAATCTCAAGGTTTCAAGTATCACATCAGTTTGCGCTGGGCGAGCGTCTGAACCCCTATACATTTGCAGCTCTTTACGGAACCAACCGGGTATGTGACTTGGCGGGACTATTACTTCTGGCATTTCTAATATGTGGTGGATAGTGTTTCGCCCAGGGCAGCATTGATGAGACTGGCGCTCTTTCTGGACGATTCAACTGGAGATGGGGCCCCGACTCGACACACGTCAGCAAGTCGCAGTTCCAGGTCGGCACCGGACAGGGTGATTCCATCCAGCTCGAGCACGAATACAATGGTGCCGACTTTGTGGCCTCACTCAAGGCCCTCAACCCCTCCGTCCTCGAGGGCGGTTTGAGCGGTATCCTTATCGGTCATTACATGCAGTCGCTCACTCCCAAACTTGCCGTCGGCCTCGAAGCTGTTTGGCAACGTCAGTCGAGACTCGAACCTCCGGTAACGGCCGTCAGTTATGTTGCCCGTTACAAGGCCGAGGACTGGATCGCCAGCGCTCAGTTGCAGGCCCAGGGTGCTCTGAATACCTCGTACTGGCGCCGCCTCTCTGACAAGGTTCAGGCTGGTGTCGATATGTCGCTTAGTGTTGCTCCTGCTAACCCCATGTTGGGTGGCGGTCTCCAGAAGGAGGGCGTTACTGCTTTCGGAGCCAAGTACGACTTCAGAATGTCGACTTTCCGGGCGCAGATCGACTCGAAGGGCAGACTTGGCTGTGTGCTCGAGAAGCGCGTCATGGCTCCTCTCATGATGACCTTCTCTGCTGACGTTGACCACATGACGGTACGTAATTGTACCATAACAAATCGCGAACGTTTCACTAACTTTGTCAACAGCAACAAGCGAAGGTGGGCGTTGCGATTGCCATCGAGGCTGCCCCTGAGATGGACGAGCAGGAGATGATGGCCGCCTCCCAGGCTGCCCCGGTCAACATCCCCTTCTAAATGTTGCCGCAGGTCCGCGGATAATGTAAGATATTACAGGCCTTGTATCTTCGCCCCTCACGCTCGAGATCGCATATCCAACTTAATTCCCGCCCAGTTCCTGCCGGGCAGTGACAACTGACCAGTTTGCCGGATGCCATTGCCGGTGATGATGCTCGCAATCTGTTATCCTTTCTTCACCCCCTGTTTTACTATAAAGGGTTGGCTTCCATGGCCCGCCTACGACCAATAACGACATCGGCAAGGGGTTTCTGTCGATCACGAGCGCAACGGTCATTGAATGATGGCCTTTTATGGACGGGACGATGGACGTTTTCTGTTCTTTTTGACCCCCATTCCGCGCTCACGATATCTCTCTCCGAACACTAAGAGAAGCATGCCCCCCAGTTCTCGACCTAATCATTTTCAGAAGACGGTCAATATATGTGGCGATGATGTCCAAAGAGAGAAAGTGGCGCGAATCTGTACTATAGATGTTTTGAATCATGGCGGTGGCTGGGTGGGGTTTTGGGGTTTGGGTTGGTTTGTGGTTGCAAGTGGTCTTGTCATTTTGTCTTTCTCCCCATTCTTGTCAAAAGCTGTCTTTTTTCATGACGACATACCAAAACACTGGGGCGGGGGTGAAGGAAAGGGAAAGGAGCAGAACAAGAGATCGTCCGCGACAAGCAAAGTTTGCCGATGCGCAAAATATTACCAGAGGTCGGTCGATTTGGGCCCGAGTCCGTCTATTCCCATATCCAGCGCGATGTGGCTCAGTACAGGCTTGGTCCTAATGCTCATCAATGGCCAACGCCTGGTGGTACTTCAAGGCTTTCTATCTATTGTGCCTCCTTCCAGGTTGTGTATATATATAAACCCCCGGTGCTGTAAAATAACGAATTATTTCTTCTTGTCCATGTTCCCACACGCATTTCTTCATTACAGAACGAACCAATTTATACTGATGGTGATTGCAAAGGCATCGCACGACACAGAAAGGGTGGGACATTTTGCGCTGGTTACCATACAGTTGTCCGTGGTTGCTGCCGTGTACGTGTGAGATACCTAGGGAAAATAGCAGAAATTCCTAACTCCACCCACCCTTTCTGGATCAATGGCTTATGTCTCAAGCACTCCGACTGAGCATCCTCAATTGCATCCGATTCTACCGGGCTCAAAACATTTTGTTGCTGCAAGTATCAGGAAAGCACGAGAGTGAGATAATGGATTTCATTAGATAAGACGAATTGCGGCTCTTATCAATGAGAGTCTATTTACACGACCTTTTGATATCACAATTGATTTGCGTTTCCCACTTGAACAACTCGTTCTAAACAATTCCAGAAGTGTTACAAAATGACGATAAACTTATTTCAGGACCCGATATCTTCATATCGTGAGTCAGACACCGATGATGACCTTGACAATGAGATCGCCGAGCTGGAGCGCAAGCTGGCCGCAGCCAAAGCCAAGCGTTGCAAACACCCCCGATCCCGGCTTGAGGGCGACGACTCATCATCATCATCATCACCGGAACAACCGCTGTTGGCACCTAGTTTGTTTCACCCCCCTTTTTTTAACCCCTGATTGATTCTTGGGGAAAAAATTACAGGTTTACTAATTTTCTGGTGGTAGACCTCCCAAACCACTTCCACCTCCTCCTCTCAGACTCCGCCCTCCCACTGGGGAGCTTCGCCTTTTCGTCCGGGCTGGAGTCGTACCTCGCCCACGGCCACAAGTCAAACCCTTACCACCCTCACACCTCCTTCGCAGCGTTCCTCCCGCTGTCGATAAGCTCCTACGCGTCCACCACCCTGCCGTTTGTCCTCTCGGCGCATCGGGACCCGTCGCTGTCGAATCTGGTCGAGCTAGATGACGCCCAGGACGCAAGCATAATCTGCACTGTTGGCCGTCGGGCGAGTGTAGCCCAAGGGAGGGCGCTGCTGGGGATATGGGAGAGGTCGTTTTCGCAATCCCTCCCCCCCCTGGGTTCGTCAGTGATAACGGCAGCGCAAAGGGGTGATCTCAAGGCTTTTGGGCTGCTGGTCAAAAGGGGGTCGAGCAAGGAGATCCCGGACGCGAGCGCTCATCTTGCGCCGCTGTTTGGGGCGATATGTTCTGTTGTTGGACTGAGTCTGCAGCAGACGGCGTATATCTTTTTATTTGGGCATGTCAAAGCACTCGTCTCAGCAGCGGTCAGGGCAGGGATGTTTGGGCCGTATCAAGCGCAAAAGATACTTGCTGGAGAGACGGTGCAGGAGTTGATCACGGAGATGATCAAGCGGGAGTGGGGGACCAAGGTCGAAAGAGCAGGGCAGAATGTACCGGTTATGGATCTTTGGTTCGGGAGGCACGAGGTGCTTTATTCAAGGATATTTAATAGTTAGGTGAGACAGATGTGGTATCATTATGCCTTTTGTGTAGCCAAGGTATTTCTATGAGAAAAGGAACGCCATGATGATATTCTACAAAGTCGGTTGAGTTGGCTTAGTCCGAGTCGCTGTCGTATGCCACCAACGGCCCTGTAGATGTCTTGGGTGCTGGTTTTGAAGCAACTGCTACCTGGGCGCCTTGAAGCGCGGCGAGAGTGCTGCTGGAGAATATTCCGCCCTGCTGCTGCTGTTGTGGTGGTGGCTGATCATACCGTTGTTCCTGCATCATCTCCTGTTCCGCCGCCTCCAGCATCAGCCTCTGCTCATGCTCCAACTCGAACCCTTCCCTTCCCCTTGGATTAACAGCATTAGGCCCCCTGGCAAAATGAACCTCATCCGGCGCTTCGTACCCCTCCAACCCATACCCGCTTTCAATCTTTCTTCTCTTCCTCGCCTCTGGGTCCTTCCCTTCAATTTCAGCCACAAACTCAGCAGGCAGAGCTTTTCTGATCGCCTCGGCAGCCTGCTCCTCGATCCTCCTCGCCTCTCGCTTCTGGGCCATGGGATTGGGATCTGGAAGCGACCACCTCAAATTCAAGATCTCATTGCCCTCCAGTGACTGCCACGCCATAGCCTCCTTTGCGAACTCGGCATTGGCCAAGTCCCGGTAGGTGACAAACGCAATGCCCCTGTTGGAAAGCACCCTTATTCTTTCAATCGGTCCCCACTCAGCAAAGTGGCGCGCGACAATCTCCTCGATATCATCCGACACATGAATTCTCCCCACGTAAATCGTGCGGTTTTGCCGACTGAAAGACCCAACACCACCCATGTCATCGCGGTAATCCGAGAACTTGTCGCGGCCGAAACAGTCGACATTTTGGGGGAAGATGTCGTACGGGCCGGGAAGACGGTGAAGGTAGTCGCAGTCCTGACCCTTGTGGCAGACACCGCGGGCAAAGTATAGGCAGAAGAAGGCGCCTGGATGGCCATCGGCTTTGGTGTACCCCGAGTCGAGGGCGATGTTGCATCTTCCCTTGGCGTGGGTTTGGCTCATGGCCGAGTCCTCCTTGTCGCCGCCCGCCCATTTGTTATACCAGATGTTGAATGTCGTGCCGGTTTGTGCTGGGGGTTCCGACTTGACAGTGGCTGGGTCAACTTGGGCGCGCGCTGGTCGCTTCTTGCGGCGAATGATCTTTTTGACCTTCTTCTCGGCGGGCGCGGTGACTTCTGTGGTGTTTTTTGTGGTGGTGAGGGCAAGGCTGTCTTCGGAGGCCATCTCGGGCAGGTTGACGGCCGTGTCTGGCCTGTTGACGACTTCGGCCATGTTTGCGGTTGTGTTATTGGAGAGAATGATGCTGTTGTGTCGTGAATGGCGTGTGTTGAACGATCTATGTTGTACGTATGTTCAGTCGCAGTGAAAATTGGTGCGCTGGCGATGAATGCGATGGTTGAATCTTGGACTGGAGCTCTGGAAAGTTTGATGTGGTGAAATGCGCGATTCGAAAGTGATGCTGCTGGCAACGCGCCAAGCGTCACTCGGTAGGTCTGGAAAATTGACAAGCTCCCAGGCACCTTGCTGACCCCAGTTTAAAAGCAAGCTAGTCAAAGTGGGCAGGCGGTGAAGATTTGAGTGTGCCACTCTTGCCCCTTCCTGCCCCTCAGAAATTCTGCCAACCTGAGAAACGTGGGGTCTGTCCTGGCTGCTGTCTTGAATTATAGCTGAATATCGGCTTGATACATGAACTTGGTGCTTGTCGCCATCAACCTACGGTTTATACCACTCACCCTCCCGACAGGGACAGTAGAGACACTGTAAAGGTCTCGTAACCGCCAAGATGGTGAACATTACGGAAAAGATCAAGGAGTTAGTCTCTCATTTATCATCATGTTCATCCAGTTGTCTCGTGAGCACAGACTGGCTGACGGAATCGTGAAATAAAATAGGATTGAGGATGAGATGAGGAAGACTCAAAGTTTGTACATACCACCTGGTCTATCACCCAACACCTCACTAACAGGTATATCTAGAGAATAAGGCAACTGGTAAATTCATACCTCACCACTCTCATATTCGTACAGTATCTAACACTCACCCTAGAATATCACTTGGGTCTCTTGAAGGGGTAAGTGAGTGGCCCTTCCCCCTCAACACATCCCCTACATACTTACACCATCCCCAGTAAACTCGCCCGTCTCCGCGCACAACTCCTCGAACCCGGCCCGGGCGCCGGCGGTGGTGGTGGCTCCGGTTTCGACGTCAGCAAGTCCGGCGACGCCAGAATAGCCCTCGTCGGCTTCCCCTCCGTCGGTAAATCGACCTTCCTCTCCAAAGTCACCAAGACCAAATCCGAAGTGGCCTCCTATGCCTTCACAACCCTCACCGCCATCCCCGGCGTCCTCGAGTACGGCGGTGCCGAGATCCAACTCCTCGATCTACCCGGTATCATCGAAGGTGCCTCCGAAGGCAAAGGCCGCGGCCGCCAAGTCATCTCCGCCGCCAAAACCAGTGATCTCATCCTCATGGTCCTCGACGCCACCAAGAGAGCCGAACAGCGCGCCCTTCTCGAAGCAGAGCTGGAAGCTGTAGGCATCAGACTCAACCGTGAACCTCCGTACGCCTTTCCTCCCCATTTCCTCCCCCTCCCCCACTAACCCCCCGTCCCTAGTAACATCTACCTCAAACCCAAAAAAGCCGGCGGCATGAAAATCACCTTCCAATCCCCCCCCAAAGGAATCGACGAAAAAATGATCATGAACATCCTCCGCGACTACAAGATCCTCAACTGCGAAGTCCTCATCCGAGACGAGAACTGTACCGTCGACGACCTCATCGACGTCATCATGGCCAACCACCGCAAGTACATCAAGTGCCTCTACGTCTACAACAAGATCGACTCCGTCTCCCTCGACTTCCTCGACAAGCTCGCCCGGGAACCCCACACGGTTGTCATGTCTTGCGAGCTGGACCTCGGCATCCAGGATGTGATTGACCGGTGCTGGAAGGAGCTGAACCTGGTCAGGATTTACACCAAGAGGAAGGGGAACGACCCCGACTTTAGCGAGGCGTTGATTGTGAGGAGTAATAGCACCATCGAGGATGTGTGTGACAGGATTCATAGGACGCTGAAGGATACGTTCAAGTATGCGCTCGTTTGGGGCGCCAGCGCGAGGCATATACCGCAGAGGGTGGGGTTGAGTCATCCGGTTTGCGATGAGGATGTGGTATATATTGTCAGTGGGTGGAAGGCTTAGTTTCGTTTCGTGGTGGTGGTGGTGGTGGTGGTAGTTAGTCGAGAAAAATATGAGAATGATTCTAGCGCTGAAACAAGTAACAAGATAGGTACTGTTGATGTGATGTGTCTATAAATTGAGATTGAGAGTTGTAGCTGTGGATTATCTGTATCCGGAAGGGGTGATGAAAATGCCATGAGAAGAACCCGGTACCATGTGTCAAACGTCAAACCGCCACCCTCGATAACAAACACTCTGGTCAAGACCAGCCAGTAACACAATCACCAACAAAAAAGAAAAAGACAGAGATAATGTATACGGCAGCAATAATGCACCACCCATCAATTGTTTTGTCTGTGTCTAAAAAAGCAAAAGTGTAATCCATCATGTAGTAATCATCTTTCCCCAGTAAAAAAACTCCCCTTCCTTTCCCCCCGATTTCTTTTGGGTAGTCTGGCAAAGTAAAGTGTCAAAGCAAAAACTCTCTAGCAAGCCAAACCTCAAACGCCTTTGATGTTTCCCAATGCCTCCCAAACCCCCGATAGACCAATTTGCCCCCTTCACCCCTCTTGTGTAGAGGGAGTGTGTGTACTCTGACAAAAGAAAAAATAGAAGCGATGTAACCAAACAAACAGAAAATAATGGTTTCCGTTATGGTCGGAGGAGAACGGTCATGTCGAAGAGAAAAAGAAAAAGGGTGTTCATGTTTCGCCGTGTCCAATGCCTAGCTGCTGCCGGCAGGAGGAGCGGCGGGCTTGGGCTTGTTGCCGAACAGCAGGCTGCTCTGGCCCGCGGCGTCGAGCTTCTTAGAGGACGCCTGGGCGAAGAGGGATTTGGGCTTGACTCTGTTGGGGGAGTGCGGTTAGCATTTGTGGTCAGAAGATAGGACAGAGGTAGCGAGGTGTGTACTTACTTGCCGACTTGCTTGCTGCGGAAGGCACTCAGCTTGGCTGTGCAAGGGGACATAAGGTTATCCGAGGGGGAAATGTAAGTTTTCCTGGGAGGGTGCGTGTTAGCGACTTGATCAAACAGAAAGTAGAATGATCGAGGGAAGACATACTCCTCCTGTGCCGCCATCTTGTTCTGAAAGACCTGACGGTGGTACTCCATGCTCATAGTATCGGGCTTGCCGCAGGTATCAGTCGAGGTCTGGGTCGTGTTGTTGTTGTTGGTGGTAGGAAGCGACATGTTGACGTCCTTGGCAGCGAGGACGTTGGAAGGCATCGTTATATGTTGTTTGACTGGTTTGCCAGCTGATGGTTGTATGGTGTAATGGTTTGTTTTGGTCGTACAAGAACTGGTTTTTGGTTTGGTCGGTCGGTTGGGCAAGCAACGGGAACGGAAGGGCTCGGGCTGCTACTGGAATGGAGGGTAGGTGCAATCGACGAATCGAATCTGTCCGAGCGATCCGAGCTGAAAGGTAGGTTGCGTAAACAACACGAGATGGGGGAGCCAAAAAAGCAGGATTTGTGTTGTCCGAGGTAGCAAAGATGCTGGTATCTGGAGGCGACGAGGGGCAAAATTGGTGAAGGGAGCGGTTGGTCGGTTTAAATTGGCTGCCAAACTGGGGCGAGAGTCAATGCTGGGCTGTGGGTTGTTTGGACCGCAAGTGAATTGAGCAAGTGTGTGGTGCAGGAAACAGGTTCCGGCAGAAAAAAAACAACAGACTACCGTTTTGGGTAACAACGACCGGGCAACCGAGCATTGACGCACGGGCTCCACAACACCCCAAGCCCTTGCCCCTGGCGAGAGGCACAGTCACGGCGCTCGGCGACTGCGATCACCCCAAAACACCCATTGTTTACAGCGAGAAATCAACAAGTCACTGAAAAATCCCATTCTGTTGGTGGAGCAGTAGATACAAAATATTGATAATGTAATGTCATTCCCAGATGCCAAAAATATTCGCCAGAATCCAAGAGGGTTTATAGCATAAAAAATTAGCGCTTGATGTTGGAGCCAATCTCCGATCTGGTGATGTTGTACTTCTTCAACAACTCCTCAGCCTTTGCTTTTTGAGCAGCAATCTTGGCAGCAACCTCCTTGCCACGGCGGTTCTCGTTCCTGCCCATCTGCTGCAGATGCACCTCATCTGGTCCATCCGCCAGTCTGAGGGTGCGGATCTGAGCCCACATGTTGGCCAAGGGAGTGTCCTGACTGACACCGGCTCCACCGAAGGACTGGACGGCCCTGTCAATGACAGTCAGGGCAGTCTGGGGAACAAGAACCTTGGCCTGGGCGATCTCCTTCAGCGCGGCCTTGGGACCTTGCTCGTCCATCTTGATGGCAGCGTTGAGAACAACCAGGCGAGCAGCGTCAATCTCCAGACGGGACTTGGCAACCCACTCGAGGATAACGCCATGCTCACGAAGCTGCTTGCCGAAGGGAGTCTTTGTCGGGTCGTTGATACGCATAAGCATCCACTCCAAGGCACGCTCAGCAGCACCAATGGTTCTCATGGCGTGGTGGATACGGCCGGGACCGAGACGGCCCTGGATGATCTCGAAGCCACGACCCTCTCCAAGCACAAGGTTGGTAGCCGGGACGCGGACATTGTGGAAGGTAATGTGGCCGTGGCCATGGGGCGCATCGTCGTAGCCGTAGACAGAAAGCATGCGGTGGATAGTGATGCCCTTTGTGTCTGATGGCACAAGGATGACGGATTGCTGCTTGTATGGGTCCTTGTTGTTGGGGTCACTCTTGCCCATGACGATGTAGATCTTGCAGCGCGGGTCACCGGCACCACTGGACCACCATTTCTGTGTTGTGTTGTTAGTGTTACGCAGTGTAGTTGAGCAAGACGATGGCACTTACGGAGCCGTTCAAGACATAGTGATCACCGTCTCTGACCATCTTCAGCTCAATATTCCGAGCATCTGAAGAGGCGACCTGAGGCTCTGTCATGAGGAAAGCCGAACGGATGACACCGTCCATCAAGGGCTTGAGCCACTGAGCCTTTTGGGCATCATTGCCATACTTGGCCAACACCTCCATGTTGCCGGTATCAGGAGCAGCACAGTTGACCGCCTCGGAGGCAACTCTAGACTTGCCCAACCACTCGGCCATCAAGCCATACTCGAGGTTGGTGAAGCCCGGAGACTCCTTGTAGTGACCCTTGGGCAGGAACATGTTCCAGAGGCCGAGGGACCTCGCCTTCTCCTTGAGGTCCTCGAGGATCTTGGGGTGAGCCTGCCATCTCGCCTCACCAACGCCAACCTGGGCCTCAAAGACAGTATCGGCACTGAGGTGACATCATTAGACCGGCTGTGGTTTCAATATGGAAAGCGGTGAGGTGAACCATACGGAATACACTCTTCATCAACGAACTTGGCAACGATGTCCAACGTCTTCGCGGCCTTGTCGCTAACGCGATCGCGGACCTGCACCTGGATGTTAGTGATATGCTTGCTGGATGCGGAGGTGGAGCGTATGCAATGGGGGCTTCATCATACAGCAATGGGGATCTGGGCCGACATGTTTCTGGTGGCTTTAAACTTTCAACAAGACTTGATTGATTTGGTGAATTGGCAAAAGGTCGACAAACTCTAAAAGAACAGAGGCAACGGCACTGCTAATAAACGTATGCATCAAGGTCAATACGGGAGCACTTTGAGTTCAATGCATGGCGATGAATGGTTCGGCTCAGCTGATGGTTGAGCCGAGTTCCAAGCTACCCCTTCCCTGCCGAGGTTGATTTCGTGGGGAATGTGGGTCTCTGGCTGCCAAGAGTCCGGGGCCGTCCAATCGAACCCCTCAGTTGGCGCATGCCGTTTTCCGCGCATTTGTTGTTGGTAAGCATTTCCACTGCACATTTCCATGGGGAAACACCATGATATCCGGAGCATTCACCTCGGGTCATGTAGCGCGATCAGCTCATCACTAGCAAAACAGGATCTTCTCCAAAGTTCAACTTACGATACATGCGTCGACGTCTGTCTCACATGTCCAGCCCCGCTGCCTTACTCATTACTGCGCCTTGAAAACAGTGCTTCAGCGTTATCCCTCAACACCTTGATGGCCAACAGATCAACTATTACTCCATCACACTTTATTTTCTCTAGCATAACACAACGAACATATTATCGTGACGTCATGTCTCTGCGCCAGCATATCAATCAAACAGTCCCCCTAAACTTGGCCTAAAACAGACTTGTGTGTTCTCACAGTCGCGACATGGATCTGATGAGGTGACCAATGTCCTCTTGGACCACAATTGTGGCCCAGGATGCTGCGAAGGATGAAAGAATACGGTCGCTCGCAGTGTGCTTATTTATAGGGGAAGAAGTATATTTGTACCAATAGGCATCACATTCGGTGCTGCCGTCCCGGTGTCTGGGCCTCTGACTCTCCGGACCGATTTGCTGAGCCATCATGAGACGCTTACGCCGCGAAAGCCCCTCTGGTAACTACGACCATCTGCCACCACCTCACGACACGTTTTCCCACTGGGACTCTGGAAGCAGTCTGAGAATTACGTAGACCTGCAAATCCAGCCAACACCACACTCGTCATTTGCCGCCAGTCACCCTCACGATACTATGGCAGCAACAGCAGGCATCGAGATAAAGCTTTCTTCTAGACCCTTGTAGATCTTCTAGAGCGTCATTGGAGACGTCAATCTGCCCGTTTAGGGTAAGCACCATAACGAAGCCCCCGATCGGACCTGCGAACGGGGGGCAAGGCGGGGCAAGGGTCTCTGTCAAACTGCAGATCCCAAAACGCGGTTCGACTGACAGGTGCAGACGCAGCTATCGATGCAACATCATGGACAGCCCAGCCCTATTGAGCGCCATCAGCTAACCTTCCTTCCCCCACAGAAACGGGGTTCTGGGTCAGGAGTGCGCATCTGGGTGTTCACTGGGACATTGCGATCCAATCGCAGGCCAGCAGGTAGGGTAAGGTAGCCACAGCGCTTGTATATTCGTATCTGTGCAAGAAATTCAAGATGCTGTCTCGTGGTTTTGATCAGTCGCGCGTGTGTGTGGACATTTAGCCAGCAGAGCTACTATCCAACGAACGCCTTAAATGACTCGATGATCAGTGGCCGAAGAAGAGCAGCATCTGAACTCTGAACTCTGAAACTCTGCTCTGGCAACTTGTTGCTCCATGATAAGCAAAAGCTAAAGGGAGCAATTTGGGCATCCACTTCCCCTGTGGTCCACAGGTCTTATCATCCTTGTCCACATCCCCATCCGCCACGCGTTGCGCTGCCCACGTCTTTGGGCCCCTCTTTGGCCCTTCAATTTGTTGGCCTTGTCCGTTGGCGAACAAGCTACCGCCTTCTCAACTTCCCGTCCCCCGTATTTTGGCGCTCAGCCTTTCTATCTCCAGCGCTCTTGATATCAACGTTGCCTCCAGCGGTTGGCCTCGTCATTTTAGGCAATTCGGTTCGGAGCACCGGTGGCAGGCACCCATCGTCATCAGCCCGGCGGGCGCCCCTTCGCTTGTTGAGCGCTCGAGGGTTCATCGCAAAGCCCCAACTTGATACTTGCTCAGTGCGCCTGAAACCTAACCCCTCATCCCAACTACCTTAACGATATCCAAACACGAACCTTGGGATCTTCCGGTCGACGGTCAACACTTCTTCGAGGCGGATACCTTCATTCTTGACTAATCTTGCCTTGTTTTTCCTTTCTTTGACTGCTCCCCGTCGCACTGCGCCTTCGATGCCCATTTTCGCATAGGTTGCCTTGCTGTGCGGTCCCCCACGTCCCGGTACCTGCCCCGTACATGGTACAACCTCTGTGGCGGATACAACACACAGTCACCTCGCTCTCCCAACAGCCGCATATATCGATGCGCTGCGCAAAAGCACCAAGATGAAGGCAGCACAGATGATCATGCCTAAAAAATTCAGGAGCGTGCGAGACAAGAGTGGGAGCCACCGACGAAACAAGTCGTCTGAACCCGGCGCAAAGGTCTGTGTGGGAGAAGCTGTCTCGGCTCCGAGAAAGCTTGTTCAATTGCTGACGATTTGTCTAGGCTCGCCCATTGGGGATTGATTCCTGGCTGTCTATCTTTAGGCCAGAGTCCGCAAAACAAGCCCAAAAGGAAAAGGAGGTAGAGGAAAAAGAAGCTGGAAAGGTGCGTTTGTTGGAGTCGTCTAGCCTCTATAGCTTGTGAAGTTGAATAGGTGCTGACAGTCATATTACAGGTCGAGGAGATCAAAAAGAAACTCGAAGAGCTCAACTACCACGAGATCACAACCGACATTATCCGTTATGCCCTCGACTCCAAGTTCGCCGACGGCGACGTCGACAAGGCTCTGGAGCTGTTACAGCTACAACAGCAGGCGTTCGCTGGGATAATACAGCCATACAACGCCAATGTCCAAATGCTGGGCGCCGTGAACCGGGGAAATGTTACTTGTTATCTCGACGCCCTGCTATTTGCCATGTTCGCCAAGCTCCAGGCCTTCGAGTGCATGCTCAAGAATGACTCTACGGACGAGGCTCAAAGGAAACTGGCTGCCTTGTTACGGTTATGGGTCAACATGTTGAGAAGCGGAAAGTTGATTCCTACGGATATGGTAGGAGCCTAGCAGTCTTATTGACGGGGTTAAACTGACTTGATGTCCAGACACAACACATCCAGGAATCGCTTGCTGCATGTGGGTGGAAGGAAGCCCAGTTGTTGGAACAGCAAGACACCTCAGAGGCTTTTGCGTTTATTACAGAGACACTACAGCTACCTCTACTTACGCTGCAGGTCGATTTGTTTCACCAAGGAAAGGGCGATGTGGATGATCACAAAGTGGTACACGAGCGGTTACTCAACCTTGCCGTCCCTCCCGATCCGTCGGGCAAGGGCATCAAACTCGAGGACTGCCTGGAGGAGTACTTCAACAACAAGGTCGATGTGCTTCGAGACAGCCTCGAGGAGAAGAAGGGCGGATTCTCGACACCCAAAAACACATTATTGGGCACCACAGATGAGGACGCGGCAACGCCGACCGACAATGGCGAGAGCTCGAAACTCCAGCGCAGATGGACGTTACAAGAGACCATCACACATTCCCCGGTATCCATGACGAACCCCACCCTGGAGGCTGCCGCCGAGTCGCCGGCTGTGTCGCGTAATAGATCTACGAGCATCATACAGCGAATTGTGGTCAAGAACGAGGAGGACCCGGCATCCAACGGTGAAGCAGAGAGCACCTCCCCGAAGCACAAGCGAAAGATTTCAACAATTGTAAAGGCTGTCACGATACCAGCGTGGCAGTTTTTCCGGCTAATCCGTGGGTGTCCCACATGCATACATGTCAGCGGAAATTCATGGCTAACATTCTGTAGCATGGCATGCCACAACAAACAGCGAACCTAGTAATGACGCTGAAGTAGCTCGCCATTTTACCCAACGACCGGTGGTGGGGATCTGCTTGAAGAGATACACAATGACAGAACAGGGTGTTCCTAAGCGACAAAATACTCTGATCGATATCCCGGACAGTTTGCGATTGCCTCAGTTCATGGCGGAGGACATCAACACCAAGGACAAGGATTCCAGTGGGCTTCGGGAAGAATTCAAGCTGGTACTGCAATCAGTGGTCTGTCACCGCGGAGATTCCCTGCATAGTGGTCACTATATCTCGTTTGCTCGGGTGGCTCCGAAGCTGCTGACCGAGAACCGAAGATACGAGGACGACCCGCCTCCCGACTACGAAGAGCAGCAGTGGGCAAAGTTTGACGACCTCGCGGTGGAGAATCGAGTGACGTACGTCGATGATATCAAGCAGTCGCTACGAGAAGAAATGCCATATCTTCTCTTCTACCAGGTCGTTCCCATGGTTGACGTCACGACGGCTTCTACAGATGGTTCTGTTACCGAACCTCCGGCTTACAAGGACTTGAACGGAAAGGTCCCGGCTACTCTGATTGTCGAAACACCCAAGGAATCCGTGAATGGCACGATTTCGAGGGCGACTAGTGGCTTCTTTGACTCTGCCACCACCCTCACCCAAAACAGCGAGAAGCCCTCGATCCGGCTGAGCTCGGAAATGAACATGGACCAGCGCCTCAGCTTCGACGACGACCCGTATTCAATCAACTCCAAGGCTGAGCACTCCAGACGTGGTAGCTTGTCTGTTTCTGATGCAGCCGCCGCGGCCCCAGTTACACCAGAGGCAACCTCACCTGCGGTCACGACACCTACCGCCACTCAGGAAGAAGGCAAGGAAGAATCCACAGCTGCTAGACTATCCCGTGCGGCAGCCAAGTTCACAAAGACGGGAAGTAAATCTCGCCCTACTAGTCAGATAGGCGAGGGAAGGCTTAGCTCCACCATCTCGAGACTTGGATTTATTCGGCCGAACAAGGATGGGTCGACGTCTAGCAACGGGAGTACTACTGTGGTGGTAGTCCCATCTGTTGATGGGGTTGCCACGGTGGATGAGCAGGCTGTGGTGACAGAGGAGGAAGGCTCGGGGTCTGAAACCGCCACGGAGAGCAGAAAGGATAAGGAGAAGGAGCACCATCATCATCACTTGGGGCATCACGGAGGGAACAAGAAGGATAAGGGAAAAAAGAAGGATAAGGATGGGGATGGGGAGAAGAAAGAGAAAAAGGAGAAGGGGAAGGGGAAAGACTCGAAGGATGGATTACCTGAACGGGAGTGCAGCATTATGTGAGGCGTTGATACTGGATTTTACGATCGGTTCTGGGATTTGGGTATTGGTATGGGATTGTTTTGTGCGCTCCGAGCGGACTGGGGGAAAGCCGAAAAGGGAGGGTCAAGTGATCTCGTTTTTGGGCTGCTTGGTCCTTACATGGTCGGGGGGTTACAAAGCATTGCATTTTGTGTTAACGTGATACCAAAAGATGTAGGGTATTTGGGGGAACTTGGCAACATGATGGGATGAAGAGAGGGGGATTGTATACCATAGGGTTTGCGGAGAAGGACCGGAGCAGCTTGTGGCTCTTGTGTATGGCCAGCCAGAGAGGGCAGACAGGGAGAAGAGGGGTCATATTTGAGAAGAGATATACATATAATTATTGTCACTGTAATCAATGGTATATTTTGATAAGGCAATCACGGAGATGAGTGTAAATGATAATGTTTGCAGGTATTGAGTATAGCAGAGAAATCCCTATCAAGAATGGTAAAACAACGTAACCAGCAGTTGCTCTCTCCTCCAAACCTGACATGCCTTTATACAAATAAATATACCAACAGCCTTTACAAACAAAACACCGCCGCCATGATATATCAAATCAATCAATCCCATCCAGAGTCCCGAATTATGTCCCCATGATGCCTGCTCCCACCCCTTTATGTTGTTGCCATGCTCATAAAGAATAAACAATGTCTACCACCCTCCCCATCCATCATATATCCATTACCCTCAACGACACCCTTAATAAGGCCTCAAATTCTCCTTATTCCTCGTCCCTGTCCTCCCATCCCCGCCATTGATCCTCTCCATCTGCAACCTCGCCGCCTTCTTCCTCTGCAACCGCGCAATAGCCGCCGCCTTTCGATCCGCCGGCATTGCAAGCTGTGACGCGTTCATGGTGCTCCAGACAGCGCTACTGTTTGGATCCTGCCGCTTGTCAACACCCCCACCGCCACCACCACCACCACCCAGCCGGGCAAATTTCCCCGTCACGAGGTCGATCCCCCCTGCTGCTTCTGGGTCTTGCGTCAAGTCCTCGGTGACATCCAACGTAGGGAGCGACCGCACCGCAGCAGCGGGGGTAGGAGGAGGGAATTTCTTCCGGGGCTGCACGAGGGAGGTGCGGCTGCCGTTGGTGAGGCGCTTTTCGGACTCGTTGGTGTCGGTGCTGCTTTTCGATCTGAGGTTTTCTCTCGAGATGGATATCCGTGATGTTCGTGGGCGGGATGAGCCTCTGCTTGGTGATCGGGAGATGACATCTTCCTTTGAGGAGGGGACAGACCTCGGATTGGGGGAGGGGCTGTCGGGGAGGTTGGCGCGGTCGATGAGGATGTTACCCGCGGGAGTTGGGAAGGAGAGTTGAGACTTTTTCCCGACGCCGAATTCGCTCTCGATTCTATCGCGGAGGGCGCGGGAGGTGGCGAGGGTTTGGAGGTCGTCGGTTGTCGAGGTGTATTTATACCCGTCTACACTGGGGCGGTTCTTATCTCGCGTGGTAGTTGTGGTGGTGGCTGTTTGGAGGCTGGTTCTTTTCAGTTCTTTAAGCTCTCGCAAAAGACGAGTGTGGTCTTCTTCTGCTGTTTCGAGGGATTGTAATGATGTTGCTGGGCGGTCAGCGGTGGGTTTTGACCTTTCGTCTAGACTCAGACCTCGAGTTGCGCAGGTGGTTCGTTTGCTCTCGGTGGGGTCCTTCTTGAGGGAGGCGATCTGGTCTTGGAGTTCGGAAATCTTCTTGTTCTTGGTCTCCAACACCTCCCGGGCCTCCCTGAACCGGTTCTTGGCGTCCTCCTTCAACTTATCGAACGAGGCCTTTGATTCGCTAAGGTTCTTCTCCAGGTCCTGAATCTTGGTGCTGCTCTTAGACAACTCCCCAGACAGCTTCTTGTTCTCATCAGCAAGCTTGGTGGACCTTTGCTCGGCGAACTTCAAGTCGGAACGCAGTTTATCCCGCTCTTCCCGCAGACTATCCATCTCCCTTAGCTGTGACCTCGCTTTTCTCAGTTCCCGCTGGGCTTCCATAAGGGTCCGGTGGGTCCGTGGAGAGGCAACGCGGCGTTGTCGTGCTCCCTTTGGCTCGTCCTCGCTCATCTCATCATGAAGCAAATCTTCCAGCTCTTCAACCTGAAGCTTGTACTCCCGTGCGAGTGCCGTCTGCTTGTTCAGCTCATCTACCAACTGCATATCGGCTTGCCCTCCGTTCCGTTGAGTCTTGGCAGCCACCTGCCTACCCATCTCAGCCAGCTTCTCCTCCATTTGCTGGACCTTCTCCTGTTCCTCCCTCAGGTTTTGCTTCAGCTCGTCGGCCTCCGTGTCCTTCATCTTCGCATAAGACTTTGCGAGCTGCTTGTACTTAACCAATTTCTCCATCTCGGCCTTTGCATCGGCGTGGTAGGTTTCAAAGTAGGACTTCCAGTACTGACCAGACCTGGAGTGAGGCTCGTTCAGATCGGTCGTAATGTCGGCCTCGTAGTCCGACTCATCATAATCATCGTCCACCTCTTCCCAAGCCCCCTCCTGTTCGTTGTCGTGGGAGGCAAAGTCCCTGACCTCGGTGGTGGTCTCCTCGGCCTTGTTACGCCGTGCGTTTTCCAAAGTCTGCTGCAGTTTCGTCTTCGCTTTCGGAATTGGGGTATCCGCAGGCCTGCCAGCCCATGAACTCGGATCGTCAAGTTCGCCGTTGCTCGATCTCGCCGGTCCTCCTGAGCCTTGCTTGACGTCATGGCCAAAAGACACTCGTTTTCGACGGGCGGCGCCAGTGCCTGGGGTTAGAAGAATGCCGGGTGGTTTCGCAGGCGACTTTTCGGGGACAGAAACGACATCGGGTTTTACGGGTGCGGACTTGTTGTTTGCTGCCGTCAGTCTCGAGGCTCGGCGGTCGGCGCGGGCTGCGGGGGTCCCGAAGATGGCTGTCTTCAACGCGCGCACAGCAAATACCGGCGCTGGCGTGTCGGGCATGTCCAGCTGGATTGTATCATCTGCATTTGTCTGAGTTCGGTGTCCTAAAAACTTTCTTGAGGTTCTGCGGGAATGGGATCTCGTACCCCCGCCGGTCGCGTCGCGCGCGGTGTCAGCGTCTTTATTGTTGTTGCGCTTGAGCGCCCAGCTGATCATGGTGACTCGGGCGCTGTGATCGCGCAACTAACTGAATCTGTGGTCAGTTCCACAGTTGGCGTTTTCCAAGTCAGTCAATCAACCGATCAGTCGTCTCTCGAGGTCGTGGTGGGCTGCCACCCAAAGTGTGCTGTCGGCAGTCAAACTGTTGTGTTTACTTGACTGCCGGAACCAGAAGAGAATCGTGGTTGCCAGCGGCCGGCCAGTCGCAGCACTAGCAAGGGTCCTACCGCGTCCCGCAGCGCGTCCAGGGCGTTGGAAGTGGGGTTGGCGGGGCTGCTCGAAGCTTCGTGCCAAGGCTTCAGCTCCACTGTGAAGCTGAATGGTGGGTCACTATGATTGTCTCCAATGCCATCCCAGCTTCAGTGACCCTTGGGGCATCTGGACAGTGCAAATACCCCGCCAGGCACTACACACAGTCACATCTCAGCCCTCATCTCTACCTATTTCACATTACTGCTTCGTCTGAATTGCTCCGAGGATGGACGCAACTCATTAAAGTCTTCACAGCCGTACCTGGCTGTGCAGTCTTATATTCTCGGACCTTTACCGAGAATCCAGTTTCATATCCAACATCTCCCAGCGCCCAACCCTCCCCCACTGGTTGATATTAGTCACGCTCTCATCCTCATCTCACACCAACTCGTCACCACCACATTTAGCATTCCGCTATGGCGGGAAAAGGCGGTCAAAAGAAGGCCCCTCCTCAAACCAAGAAGAATGGAACTGAGAGTTTCCCTGGGCTTAAAGGCCCTGGCCCAGCTCGGCCAGCGGTTAAGACACAGTATCAAGAGAAACAAGCCGATGAGGTGATCGCCCTGGCAGCTATTTACGGCGAGGATTTTATTCGACACTCGGCACCTCACGGTGCGTGGAAGGTACGAAAGCTTTGCATGTGGTTGGATGCCATGTTACTAACATCTTGTAGAAAACCGAACCTGCATTTGATATTAGAATCAAAGCAGTATCGGATGACAACTTTTCAGTACTGCTCTCTGTGGTTCTTGTCGCCACATATCCCAAATCCCCACCGCTCTTGACCCTCAAAAATGATGGTCATCTCCGTGAATCAACAAGGTTCAAAATCCAAAAGTTTGTGGAGACGCAGCCAAAAATATGGGCCAAGGATGACGAGGTCATGGTCGACCGTCTTGTGGAAGGTATCCGCGATATACTGGACGAGGCCGCCTTGAAGAAGGCCCAAGGTCTGGAGCTGCCTTCTCTGGAAGAGGAAAGGGCGGCCCATGAAGCGGAATTGGCAAAACAGGCACAGGACCACAAGGAGCAACAGGAGCAAAAGAAACTCGAGGAAACCATGGAAGAAGAGCGAGTCCTCGGTGACATGGTCCAAGAGGAGCTCAAACGCCAACGCAACAAGTTGAAGGAGTCGAGAAAGAAAAACCGAAGTCACAACATGTCGCCCAATCGAGCTCAAGCGGACCCCTCCGAGACCAACGTCGCCCTTGTGTTTGATCAGGCTTGCAGTTTGATGGACCACACTGGCGATACCCACTATTTCCAGACCGTCATTGGCAAAACAGTTTGGCGCGAGGGACCGGTGACCACAGTGCACAAAGTCAAGCCGGTACTAGCCGCGAAACATGTTCGTCCAAGTCTTGCATTGAAGCAAGTCGATATCAAGTCGCACGGCAAAGACTCGACTCAGTTCAAGAAGCAACTTCAAGCCTTGGAATCTCTGCTGGAGTCACTGAAGAAGCTAAACCACCAGAATCTTTTGGAGCTTATCAACTTCAAGATCGACCGCACAGTCAGTGACATTGACTCGTCCGGTCCCACGGTCTGGACCATCAGTATACTCACGCCCTTCTCGGACAAGGGACCTCTCGATGAACTCCTCAGCTTGGCGGGGCAGATCGAGATCAGCAAAGCCAGAATCTGGACCACGGATCTTCTCGATGCACTGGCATATCTCCACAGCAATGGGATTGTTCACCAGGACATACACCCTGGCAATATTCTGCTTTGCAGAACGCCGGCGGGTGATATCGTTCCCAAGCTCTCCGACGGCGGCTTCCAGAAAGAACTCCACAGCATATCCACGAGCATGGTCAAAGTAGTCACTAGCAGAGCAGCAAAGTCTGTCTACTGGTATCCCGCAGAGATTGCTGGAATCTCCAAACCCCAGTACACGCAGAAAACAGACATTTGGGATTTTGGAATAGTCTTCTTGCAGATGGTATTTGGCCTCAACGTTCCTGAAAAATACCACTCCCCGTCGGCTCTGATGGATTCCCTGTCGCTTTCGAGCCCTTTAGAAGAGCTGGTATCCAGGTTCTTTAAAGCAGACCCTAAGAAGCGGCCTCGTGCTTTTGAGCTTTGCTCTAGCGAGTTTCTCGCCACAAATGCCCCCATCCTGGTGGAAAACGACTCTGCGGTCGTTTCCGGTTCACTCTTATCAGCACCCAAATCGCTGCCACGGAGACTCCGGCATGACTCGATGAATCGGACTGCTGTCACCTCCCGATATCAAGAAGACTATATCGAAGAGGCTCGCCTTGGAAAGGGCGGTTTTGGCGAGGTTGTTCGCGCTCGCAAGATGATTGATGGGCGATTGTATGCCATCAAGAAGATTACGCAGAGGTCGCACGAGACCTTGTCTGAGATGCTGAAGGAAGTGAGGCTCCTCTCACAGATGAACCATCCTGCAGTGGTTCGATATTACAACACTTGGCTCGAGGAAACCATGGACTACTCTGATGGCTCTGGACAATCTGAAAGCGACGATGTCTCCAGTGAAGACAGTTCCAACAATACCCCAATCTCCAGAAGCATCAATATCGAGTTCGCTGAAAGCAAGAGCAGAGGTCTCGATTTCATGTCTTCAAGCGGACACCCGGACATGGTTTTCGAGGATGACTCTGGCGAGGAGGATTCCGACGACGACGATGATGAAGAAGATGATGAAGAAGACAGCGATGAGGATGATGAATCGGAGTCAGGTGAGGATACATCCACCATAGGCGAACGGGCACCGAGGCATCTCCCTGTTCCGGCTCGAGGAGATAGAAGGGGAAGTGGCCGCCCCTTTCGTACAGTCATGTATATTTCCATGGAATATTGTGAAAAGCGGGTAGGTCCTCATTTCTCTTCAATTTCCTCTACCTCATCTCGTTCATGATTAAGTTTCTAACTAATGTGCTCAGACCTTGCGGGATTTGATCACTCGAAATTTGTATAGTTCAAATCAAGAAGTTTGGCGTCTGTTCCGCCAAATCCTGGAAGGGCTGGCTCACATACACAGCCTAACAATTGTTCATCGTGACCTCAAACCCGAGAATGTCTTCATCAGTGCTGGCCCAGACGGGGTTGAGAATGTGAAGATTGGAGACTTTGGGTTGGCGACAAGTGGACAGTTAGCGGTCGATAAGAACATGGCCAACATCGATGCCGGCGATCTTACAAGAAGTATCGGCACGGCTGTTTATGTTGCCCCGGAGGTCAGAACAGGAGGCAGTGGCTCATACACTGCCAAGGTTGATGTAAGCTTCATTTCCTCAAAACTACACAACAGACCAGCTAACCGTCCCAGATGTACTCCCTGGGCGTCATATTCTTCGAGATGTCATACCCTCCCATGCTTGGGATGCAACGTGCGATGACGCTTGAGCAAGTGCGACATAACCCGCCAGTTCTTCCGTCAGACTTTAAGGCGGCTGATAAGAATCATACCGACATCTTGCTTTCGTTGCTCACACACAATCCCAAAGATCGTCCGTCCAGCTCAGAACTGTTGAAGAGTGGGAGGATGCCTGTTCAGATGGAGAGCGAGGCCGTACGGCGTGCTCTCGCAGGGATAGCTGATCCAAGCTCTCCTTATTACGGGAAAGTTCTCAAAGAGTTGTTCAGTCGACAGGTTGAGCCGGCAAAGGATTATGCTTGGGATATGGGATCAACCGCGCCGAGCGGAGCAGACTTGATGCGCCGTTATATTGTGAAGGATACACTGGTCTCGATCTTCCGGCGGCACGGCGCTGTTGAAACTCCTACAGCGTGTCTGTATCCCCGGTCGAACTACTACGACCAAAATATTGTTCGTCTTCTGGATCAAAATGGTACGGTTCTACAAATGCCATTCGATTTGGTCATGGGAAATGCTCGCTCTCTTGCCCGAGTGACCCAGGGGCCTGTGATTCAGCGGTCGTACGCCTTTGGGAATATCTTTCGAGATCGCCGCGATGGTGGACAACCGGATGTCTATGGAGAAGTAGACTTTGACATTGTCACCACAGACGCACTAGATCTCGCTCTTAAAGAGGCCGAAGCGATCAAGGTCTTGGACGAAATTGTCTCGGCCTTCCCCACAACCTCTTCCACGCCGATATGTTTCCAGCTTGGCCACTCGGACCTTCTACACCTGATCTTTGAGTTCTGCGGTGTGGATATCAATGCCAGACCGGCGGCTGCTGACGTTCTTAGCAAGCTCAATATTAGGAATTTCACCTGGCTCAAGGTCAGGAGTGAGCTAAGATCGCCAGAGATTGGGATCTCGGCGACCAGTGTGGACGAGCTTCAGCGATTCGATTTTCGAGACACACCAAGCAAGGCCATATCCAAGATACGAGGTCTGTTTGAGGGTTCCGAATTTTCGCAAAAGGTGTCGCCAATTTTGGCTCACTTGAAGGATGTTTATGAATATACCAAGAAGTTCGGTGTGTCCAACAAGGTCTACATTGCGCCCCTGAGCAGCATCAACGAAGTCTTCTTTCGAGGAGGCATCCTCTTTTCATGTCTCTATGATAAGAAAGTCAAAGATGTTTTTGCAGCAGGAGGTCGTTATGACAACCTGATCAAAGAACATCGCCCAAAGATAGCCGGCAGGTTTGAGGAGCGACACGCTGTGGGCTTCAGCCTCAACTGGGAGAAGCAGTTGGCTAAACAGGTGCCCAAAGCTACGGGTAAGGCTTTCCTCAAGAAGGCTGCTGAAGAGGAATCACAGGGTATCTTCAGCATGAAACGGGTATGTTGTCATTTTCTTCCAAACAGATACTTTGGTGCTGATTTTGAGTAGTGTGACGTTTTGATTGCCAGTTTCGATCCCTCTGTTCTTCGATCTTCTGGGATTGAGCTTTTGCAGATGCTTTGGGCTCACAACATCAGTGCCGAGTTGGCCCGCGACACACGCTCACCAGAAGACCTCCTTTCTAGCTACCGAGAGGAATCTTATAGCTGGATCGTTATTATCAAGCAGGATAACATGGTCAAGGTCAAGTCTATGGGCCGAAAGGACGCTTCAGATGCCGATATCTCAGCCACGGATCTCCTCAACTGGCTCAAGTCAGAGATTCGCGAGAGAGATTCTCGCGTCCTTGCCAAAACCCGGAGCATGCCAACCGCCGCGCATGTAGATTCGGCCAATGCTATCGAGGGTGATCGCGAACAGGAAGTTCACATTCTAGTCGCGCAGACCAAGAGCAAAAAGTTCAACCGTCACGCCGTCGTTGAACAGGCGCAGACCAGTGCCTCTAGACTAGTCAAGGGTTTCCTGGAGGGCCCAATAGCGGCCATTGAGACGTCAGACACGGTCATGGACATGATTAAATCAACCAACATTGCCGACGCCGAAAGCTGGCGGAAGGTGGAGCAGAATGTCGGCACGGCAGAGAAGAAGTATGTGCGAGAGATCCACGAGATGCTGAAGGGGTGGCGGTGGGAGTGGGAGACGAAGAAGGGGCCGGGGCATGCGTTTGTTTACAACTTTAGGACTGGGAAGTGCATCTACTACGACCTGGGGGCCTAGGTTGCTCCCCCGCGGCCAAGGCGGTTTTCACATTCTATCTTATGATATATATCGGTCCAGCTGTTGTTGCTAAGCTCTTTTCTTTCTCGTCATTGAGGGCGGAGATTCTCCCGGGATCATCGACGTATATAAACTCACCAAGGAAGGCTTTTAGTCTTTCTTTCGATACTATACTAGGTCGACGGCATATCTTTGAGCAGGGTTTGGTTGTTTGTTTGGGTTGGCTCATAGGTGGTCAGGTTTTAGGGTTTTAGGCAGATCGAGTTTGATACCCAGCGTTGATGTTATGAAGGTTTAGTGTAATACCACATATGTTCTCTGAAAGTTTCACATGAAATTTGCGCACAAAGAAGCAATTCCGAAGTGTGTTTACGGTCTGGAGCTAAAAAGTGGTGGTGGTTTAGTGGCTTTAGCCACTGGCTCCCACCTGAACTCCGTCCGGCATGCCCGGCTGCGTACTGTGAGAGTTCTCCGCGTCTTGTCTGCATGATGTGGCTTACATTGAATTTTCAGAACCTTCAGAAGCTGATCAAAGCATGCGAATGGAAGTTCCATTGACCACTCAATGGAACACTGTCACGGGGTGTCAAGGCGTCGGTGACACCTTGACGGCTGGGCTCGCAGTCGGCTCGGGATCGCTGGGACCAATCCCAAGCCCCGGCGGAAGCCCCCTGTTGCTTAACTCAGCGTGTGGCGGGGCGGTATTGCACCCATGGAGGCGGCACTTGGGTGCGTGGGCTGTGTCCAGGCCTGCCCTGGGTGTTCGTGGTGGTCGGCTGCCAACATGCGGCGAGCGGCAGGAAGCCGGAACGACTTGTTGAACTCAGCATTTTTCTTCTCGGACAGATCTTCAGATGAAGAAGGCATCTGCCACTGGATCTCAGTATTAGATTATATTAGAGCTTAATTTCCCATCCCTTTACAAGTGTTTTTTGAGTATTTCTGTTCACCCTGACCCAAGTAAAACCTTCCTCGCACGCCCCTCTTCCCCACACTGCCGCAGTGTGGTTGATACACCCCCGCCAGCCATCCTAGCAGGGCCAGGCTTTAGGCCTTTCTTAAATAAAGCCTGAAACAACCTGTCCATCAGCTGCCTTGATCTTTGACCTGCATTCTCCCTACTGTCAACTTCCACCACCCGTATCTCTCCGCCCACGCTCTTTCTTGCGGCAAAGCAGCCTTTGTTTTTGTTAACTTTGGTCTGGATTTCCCGACGCTGTCACTGGAGTTTTTGCAACTTTCGGTCATAGTTTTCCTACCTCTACGAGTCACACACACCCCACCCCAACCAACCCGCCTACCATGTCCAAAGTGAGCAAGGCCACGGCCGCGAAGACGCGGCTCCTGGGGGAGATGAAGACCTTGCGACAGGAGAAGTGGATTCATTTTGACGATGTAGGTCTCCCTGTTGCCATGCTTGCTCCCTACAAAGCTCGACTCGAAGCTAACCTGTTTGCGTTTTTCTCTCAAACTATAGAACGAAGACATTAACATCATGAAATGGAGGTTCGCCCTCATGGTGATCAACTCCGACTCGGTTTTCAACGGCGCCTACCTCCAGGCCGAGATGTCGTTTAGCGAAGATTACCCTTACTCCCCGCCCAAGTTCCGTTTCCTGAACCCGATCACCCACCCCAACGTGTACCCCGACGGCCAGCTCTGCATCTCGATCTTGCACACGCCCGGGGAGGATGTCATGTCTGGCGAGTCGGCGTCGGAGCGGTGGACACCGTTACATGGTGTGGAGAGTGTGTTGAGATCGGTGTTGCTGCTGCTGGACGATCCCGAGATTGGCTCCCCCGCTAATGTCGACGCGGGAGTCATGTATCGGGATCGGAGGGAGGAGTATAACAGGAAGGCGAAGGAGACGGTGGAGTACTCCAAGACAAAGGTGCCCGAGGGGTTTGAGATGCCGAGGAGCTTTGAGAGTGCGCCGCCGCCGAAGATGGAGAATGATGACGGTTTTTGGCAAGAAAGCGATGAGGATTTTGACTTTGGAGGGAGTGATACCGGCGACGAGGAGATGGAAGATTTTGAGGGTGATGAGGATGATGAAGAGGGGGATGGGGAAGAGGAGGGCAGTGATGATGATGGTAGTGAGGATGAGGTTGCTTCTGGCGCGGGGACCAAGAAGCGGTGATCAACAGTTTATCGCGGGAGAGTTCTTTACGGTCATTTTACACTTTTCCTTCTGTCTATCGGTTCGGTCTCCCATCCGTCTAGCGTGCATTGCATGGGGAACACCTCGAACATCGAGAATGGGCGTTTATGGGCTGGGGAAGGAGGAAATACTGGGTGAGGGTTCCTTCACAATGCTTGGCTGGTTGTTTTATGTTTGTTGGAAGCACGGCGTATTTATTTATGGGAGGCCAGGGAGCGAAAGCAGAATAGATGGGCTGCGTTCAGGATTGCGAAGAGCTTTTGTTTGTCTGGTGTGAAATGCAGCGAGGAGTGATGCTAAAGCTGGTATACGGGAGATATTAATCGTTTTATTAACTCTAGATAACGAGCAAACTGTACATTACACCGCGAGCTCCTGTCAGTTGCAAACATATTCTGTGTCAACGTACTGATTCTCCAAACCACCATGGCGGGGTGAATTGTCATGGCCCGTGCGTTGAGATGGGCTGCCAAGACCATGAGACAAGCAGCTGCCCACCCCCAAAACCAAAGATGCGCTGCAGCTTCCTTGTAAATTGGGTCGTGTGGTTCCAGCGACTATCCCACCTTCTGTACCTCCTGACCAGATTACAACTGCTTTGAAAAGTTGAGAGAAGCCCGACGACTTTCTCCAGCCAACAAACGACCGAAAGCGATCATCCGTCTTGCCTCCCAGCAACTTCCGAGTTAACCCCTCCACCCGCGTCACCCCCCGCCACGGAAATCATTCGCTTCCAACAACACTCAATATCGGTTCTGTCATAACACTTGCTAATATTCGATGGGCCACGGGCTTGCTCATAACATCTACTTTGACAAACGACAGAAGCTTTTACAGGATTATTGCTTACCTCAAAAGACTTTCGGCCACCGGACTACGAACGCACCGCTTTCTGCAGTGGCTCTCACCCCTGGGCCCTTCAGCTTGTCCTCTAGGAGTATCCACCGCCCGCTTTCGATGGAAGCTTGAACGGATCAACTTTGGCTCTCTCGAACATACCACCTGACGGGGGGCGTGATTGCGGCAACACTACACAACGATAACTGGAAGCCGGGGACACCATGGCGGACGAATCCGTGCTCACGAATAAGGAGCAGGAGGCTCATAAGATGGCGACAGAAACTGGGATTGTCTTTCCGGACAATTTGATGCTGATCAGGGCCCTGAGAAAGCACAACAACAATGTCAATGCCGTTGTTGAAGAGTGGTTTACACTTTGTGGTACCGATGTAAGTTTGGCTTGTTCTTGGGGTGTAGGGTAGGGGATTGACATGATTGTGGAAATAGGAATGGGTGTCGAGATATAAGGATAAACCTTCTACTGATAAATCCGCTACTACTGGCTGGGATAGCTGGGAGGAAATGCCTGGGTTGGAGGCGACAGAAACGTCGAATATCACGCCGTTGCTGGGGGCGGAGTCATCACCTTGTGAGTAGACCCCTTTTACCCTTGAACCAGCGAAGGAAGTGGGCGTGGTGGCTTTACCGTTGGATGGGTTACGTTGAGCGGGGCCATGCGTGTGGAGGTCATTGTGAGGTCTTCTGGGGATGCGGACAGGTCCACTCGATTTCAGAATTGCATCCGGAGTAAGCTTTAGGGCTGTCTGATTTTCAGGTAGTCTTGGTTGCTTTCTGCATGGGGCTATCTTGACCTGCGGGTACTCCTTATCACAGCCACACAAGGGCGTTGTTTTCTGGAAGCCAAAAATGAGCAAATTGCTGACAGGTTTTAGCTTTCAGGATACAAGGCGAGGATGAGGTTCTGTACGGTCAGACTCCTGGAACCACGGGCGCGCCTCCCACACGTGTCCCATCCAGAGCGGACAACAGGGCCCCAACATCCAAAGAGCAGGAAGACGAGGATATTCAAAAGGCCGTAGCGGCATCGCTCGCAGCGCAGAAACCAACACTACCTCCTAGGCCCTCGTCCTCAGCTAAGGGTCAATTTGGGCCGGCCACCAGAGAGCACTACTCGGAGGAAGAATGGGCGGTGACCAGTCATTATCCGCCGCCACTCGAAGATGAGGTACCGACTTGCCGACAAAGAAAACCAGGCCTGCCCGTGTTTCTCAGGCGCCGGCCGAACCACAATAGTCATCTGCTGGGCGGTCTACTGATGATCTTACAACGAATTCCTGCGGCGCGGAATACTTTGCTCAGGATCGGTGATGAGCCAGCATGGGGATACCGTTGTTCACAGGATTGGTGGAAGGGCGAGCCGATCACGGTTAACGGACCGCGATGGGAATTTGAAGTTCACCGTCTAATGGCTTTTCTGGAGGGGACAACGCGCTCATATGCGACAGCTGATATTTTGGCGCAGTTCCCAGAACCTGAAAGGTACTTCGACGACGATGAAGAAAAGGAGTTCCTTCACAGATTTGCATACAACAATGCTCTGCGGGACGTCGAAGGTTCTTCATCGACAGTGGGCTACTCGGTTCTGATGTCGGAAGTTGAGGTCGTTCCGATCCAGGACATTACAGTGCACCAGTCGGAGGACCAGTTTGGTCTTTTAGATTTATTCATACCCGCTCCCCTCCACCACATCGATGCCAAGTTTGAAGCAAAGTCACCAAAGACCTTGTACGATTATTTGGACCTCCTGTTTTATCCGGACGTTCCCGTGGCGGCTGAGGATCTGGATCAAGGCATGCTAGCTATGATTCGACATCCATCTTCAGTGTTGACTCTGCGGACCAGAGACAGCCGTATAAACGACATCGAAATTCCAGAAATCTTTTACCTTGACCGATACATGGCATGTAATCAGGAGAAGCTTGCGGAAATCGCAAGGGAGCAGATTGATCTGTACCGCAGAAAGACGAATGGGTTGAAAACGGCAGAGGGCGAGGCGACACGCAAGGAGTTGGCTCTCGCGACTATAAAGTCGCTGAAGGACAAAATCGAAAGCATGAGAAAAGGAGCTCTTTGGAGGAACTATAACGATGCTTTCAGCAATGCTGAAGATGTCATGTATCTGCCTTCTTCACAGGATGAGCCATCGTGGTCGGACGAGGAGAGGGAAATTCTTGCTCATTACCAGACGAGAATCAAGCAGCTTGAACAGGTCATCGCCTAGGACCGAGAGCGTGACAGAGAGTATGTGGAACCATTCTTTCTGAATCAAGGCGAACATGGATTGACATATACTGACTGTATTCTAGAGCTCAATGAGCAGATTTTCCACCCGATAGCAGCGAAGTCTGAGGCGAATTCTGCAAAGTTCACCACGCCGTCTGACGACCCAGCCTGGAATCCCACATACAAGTATACGCTTGTTGGCGCGGTGATAGGGGATTCTCAAGTTCTGTTGCGATGGACGGGGGAGCCATTGGATGATATCATCCAGGAGGGCTCGTCTCCAGGAGTGGAGGATACCGGTGGCTGGTGGCTTAAGATGTCTTATCGCAACAGGGTTGAGTATGAGGTATGTGTGGCAGCGGCTTTCGTGGGTTACTCATGGTTGAGGATTCTAACCACGGTTTTTGTGTACAGTTTTTGAAGCTCAAGTCCGTGCTCGACATGTGGAACAAATCAAAGGAGAACCGCATGTTGGTGTATGCGACTGATTCGGCCATGAATGAGAAGTACGACCCTCTTCCGGACAAGCTCCAGAAGTTTGTCAAGGACGATAATCACTTTTTCAAGAAGGAGCTGCAGACGGATCAGTCCCAGCGTCCACCAGAGGCGGAAGCATCCAAGAAGCGAGGGGCCGACGATCAGTGGGCTGGCATTGCTGGACCTGGAAAGCTGCAGAGGTCGGCTAGTCTTGATACCTTGTCTTCCAACAGGGCTTCGGCTGGGTCTGGAGGGGACAAGGATGATGAAGTGATGCTGGATGTTGTTGGGGATGGGGCGGATGGTGGTGAACCGGTGGGTGGGAAAGGGGTAAGTGTGGCGGTTCAGGAGATGGTGGAACGCCGCACTTCTGCCTTTTTCCCAATAATTGCGAGTGCTGACGCTTATGAGATTGCTCAGGGCGACGCTGCTACGAAAACGAGTGCGAACGAGGTGGGTGGGAATGGAGGTGGCGGGAGTTTAGCTGATCCTATTACGAACAATGGAGATGGGGATAGGATGGTTACGGATTGAATTGAATGGGATAATAGAGGATCCTTGTTTGAGAGGCCACTGTTGTGATGTTTCTGTAGCAGCGTGGACAGATGATACCATTTGAGAAGTTTAGCGAAAATCATTACAGACAGAAGGCAGGGGATCAGAATACACGGAGCGGTTCGAGTTAATAGACTTGGTGGTGTGGAAGTTGGGGATAATGTCGAGTGTATACATACGACTATACCTTGTTGTTTTGAGTGATTAGCATGCATGTGAAGATGAACCTGATATCGGTACAGAGTACGCGCACTCAGCGAAAAGGGGTTCAGGGGCTTCAGGTTGTGCCAACATACCCTAACCCTGATATAGGATAGAATGGGCGGGGCTTAAGCCGTCCCATGTCACTTGTGCCCCGCAGAAGATCGAAGAATCATCCGTCATTGCGGGGCAAAGCACACGAAGCGGCAGGCAGTTGCGCAAGAGTGGAGACGAGGGGACGTTGGACGTGGACCTGACCTTGAGCTTGAACTGTCCCGATGCAGTGGATTTAGCTACACTCTCCTAAACCTAACTGTACCTTACCTTGCGTTGCTGAACCTTTGACTCTCTGCGTCAACTACCTGCGTATTTACTTTCACGCGCGCAGAGCTCCCCACAAGCTGAACAGTGCAACACAGACTTCGAGCCGAACCGATCCCGACCTAAGCTTCACCTCACCTCACCTCACCTCTCCTGTAACCACTCGACAGCCTCCCATATCAACCTCCCCAATCAACCTCTCACGATGGCCTCCTCCCCATCCCCCGCCCCGGCGGCGGCTCCCACAAACCCCAAAATAGCCAAAATCATCACCCGCCTCCAATCCAAAATCACCCCCGGCATGCCCTTCGAGGCCCAATACGAAGCCGCCCAAGAGACCCGACTCGTCGCGGCCCGGTACACCAAATCGCAAAACTATACCGCCGCCATCGACATTCTGTCCTCTGTCTCCCAGTCCCTCCTCAAGACAGGTCCAACAGGCGGCGGCAGTGGGGGCGATCTCGCTATCTTGCTGGTGGATGTTTACAAGCAGGCTGGGCTGAAGGTGGACGCTACAAGCAAGGGGAGGGTGTTGACCTGTTTGAGGCTGTTTGACCCCGCCGAGCCGAACAGGAAGAAGTTTGTGAAGGATGTGGTCGAGTACGTTCCCACCCCATCATCATCTCCAACGTTATGAACAAGTGATAGACTGACAGGATAACAAATAGGTGGTCAAAGAAGTACTCGGACTACCCCGCCGGCGACCCAGAACTTCACCACGTCATCGGCTCCATGTTGGCAGAGGAAAAAGAGAGCCTCGACGAGGCGGAGCGCCATTTGATCCTCGGCACCACGAAAGACTCCCCTCCTGTCCTTGCGCAGTTGGAGTATGAATGGTACAAGCAGGATGAAACCCACACCGCGCCCCTTTACTGCGCCAGGGCAGTCCTTCCGTACCTGTTGATGGCCAACCTCAAGGCGGCGACCACGTGCTACAAGGTGTTTACTTCACAGCTCGCCGCCGAGAACCCGTCTTTGGCTGTGCAAGATGTTGGCGAGACCAAGATCTTCCCTAGCCTGCCGCTCATGAACTTTTTGGGGCTGTTGATTGTGGCGGTGCAGAAGGGGAACAACCCAGAGGTGTTTAGGCAGTTGAAGGGGAAGTACATGCCCACGATCAAGGAGGCCACGGACGGGGTGTGGGACACGGCGCTGGAGCTGATTGGGGAGATGTACTTTGGGATTCAGAGACCGAGGCAGAGCAACCCGCTGTTTGACATGATGGGGAGCTTCTTGGGGATGCCGGGTGGTGGTGGTGGGAGTGGTGGGAGACCGATGGCGAGGAGGGTGGAGGCTGCGCCGGCTGCGGAGGGGCTGGATTAATGAGGGAGGAAAGCAAGACACGCGGGGGAGGGGAGCATACGTTGGTGTTGTATGTACACGATACACACGATTCTTGGAGTTAAGGGATCAGAGCCCGATAATTCGATAATTAAGAGCATACATAACGCCTTGGGGTATCGTTACATTTTTATTTTCTTTTGACATGATTATCTGAGTTGTGGTGATCAATGAGGTCTCGGAAGCTCCTCTGGCTCAAACATCCAGTTATCTTGGGCCAGGGCAGCCACTTTGGCTCGCAGACTGGCTTTGACCTCCTCGATGAGCTCTGTTTCGGTGATTTTTTTGGTTTTAGCAAATGAGTCTTCCTTGTCATTCTCGTCTACAGTCTCATCAAAGACGATGGGTTTCATTTTTCCCTTTCGCTTTTTATTAAGCCTGGGAGGAATGGGAGGCAAAGAAGAAGAAGAAGAGGAGGAGGAGGAGGAGGAGGAGGAGGAGGAGGAGGAAGGAGAAGAAGTAGGATAGTAGATTAATTTCTGAGCGGGGGCAGTAGAAGAAGAAGGGTAGTGGTGACCAGAACAAAAAGGATCAGAACAGTGAGGTGCGGTGGTGGGACTGAAGAGAAAGGGGGAGGTATCGAAATGGGGGTGGTGTTGCTGACCTTCTGGTTGGGTGTTGTTTAGTTGTTGGTGCATTCCGTACCCGGATCCCACCATGTTGCTACCCGGGATGGACATAAGGAGTTTGTTTTGGTGGAGCTGGTGTTGTCGGACTGCTTCGGAGAGGCGGTTGCGGGCGGCGGCTTGTTCGGCCCTTTGGGAGTCGTTTTGGTTCCCCGGGTGGTGGTGGTGGTGGTGGTGGTGGGATGGAGAGTTGTTGTTGTGGTCGGCTGAATCGTCTGAGTCGTAGAGGGGAGGGGTTGGGGGGTCGCCTAGGAGTTCGATTTCACCGTGGGAGTTGCGGGGAACTATTGACTCTGAGGAGGGTGAGGGGGGTGGTAAAGGTGGGGAGTCTTGGTAGGGGTCGGAGGAGTCGTAGGAGTTGGAGTGGTGGTGGTGGTGGAGACGGATGGTGTCGGAGGAGGTTGAGGACGAGGCTTGGTGAGGTGCGCGGCGGGTTAGTTGGCTTTGGAAGAGGTTTCTTCGGACAGAGCTGGCAGTTGGGGGCGGTGGATTTGTTGTTGGAGTGGTTGAGGGGCCGGGGGGCTGCTGGATGAGACGAGACGAGGGTTTGGAAGGGATGTGGCCAGTGGTTGTGGTTATAAGTCGGGAGGAGGGAGGGAGGTGGCGATCGGCCATTTTGGAGGTCAGTCTGCTGTTGATTGAGATATTTTATGGATAACTCGTGAGACTGGACTAGTGGTTTTTAGTTTGGGGTGTTTCTGGATGTCGATGTTGTAAGTTGAATGAGAATGTTGGTGAAAGTAAACAATCAATAAGATCCGATGAAGGTTGGCGGGGTAAATGGTTTGAGATGGATGCGAGGGTCCAGGGTCAGGGTTAGGTAACGCGAATTCACGTAGTGCTAGTTAACAGGCTGCGCTTTTGCTCCAACTCTTCCTGTAAGCTGTCATCCACTTTTGTTAGAAATGACCAATGGATAAATGACGAGCAAGAGAGGCTTTTGCTTGAACCCGATATGTTTTGCTCTAAGGTAGGGCAAGAGCGTGGCGTCGCGACCGTATTGAGGAACCACTTAAAGTCTAACGCAGGGTACATACCTCACTGGTCAATTAAACTCTCGCGTCGGGAAAGTGGGGCAGTCACGTAACAAGGGAATGGAGCGCGTCCACCCAGTTTCTTTGGCTCAATGAATTTCGAGTTCGTGCCATCAACACCTCCAACAACAGTCCAGCCAGATCCCACGTCCTTATTCCAACCGTCTTTCTATCCCCGTCAAACCAGAGACGACCCAGCTGCCATATCCCACCATCCCATGCCTCGACATACAGCTGGAATCTAGACTTGCTCTTCCGCAAGCCACTCCTTCATCAAAGCAATCCAAAATGCCTTCCGCGACATTACCGCAGAAAAGGGCCTTTGGCGAGGCTTCAAGCACCCGGCGGAACATCGCCGCAACTCCCTCTACCGCCACCACCAAGAAGCGCCGCATCGATGAGCCCACATCGTCTCCAGCACAACGCTTCAAGAGCTCTCAAAATGACAGCAAAGGCAGAATGGCCTCGAGCCAACAGAAGAGTGTTTTCGAGAGCGAAGTGCTCGAAAGACTGAATCAGGACATCTCAGACCTCAAGCAAAACAACTCAGAAAAGGACCAAGCATGGGAGCGGCCACCCATTCCGAACGACTTCGATCCCTCCAAGCAAAGTCTCTGCTTCCAAGCCATCGAGGCAGAGGAGGGCACGATCGGTGGTGGTCAACCTGCTGTGAAGCTATTTGGCGTGACCGAGAACGGCAACTCCGTTCTTTTGCATGTCAAAGACTTCAAGCACTACCTCTATGTCGCGGCGCCAGTCTCGTTCGTCGTTGAGGACTGCCTTGCGTTCAAAGCATATCTCGAATCGCAGATGTCGCAAAATCACCAATATCAACAGGTCATTCATAATGTATCGCTGACCATGCGCGAGAACATCTATGGCTTCCAAGGGAACGTCCAAAATCCTTATATCAAGGTTACGGTTACCGATCCAAAACACATCAACAAGGTACGCACCATGATCGAGAGAGGCGAGGCCAACTGGAAGGGGATGTGGAAGCATGATGGCGGCATCATGACCTACGACAGTATCCAGTACTTGCTTCGGTTCATGGTAGACTGTTCGATTGCTGGCATGTCTTGGGTTGAAGCACCCGCCGGCGCATATGACCTTATCCACATGAACAAGCAGTCCAACTGCCAGTTCGAAGCTGTCATCAGCTACCGAGAGCTGATTTCGCATAAGCCCTCTGGAGAGTGGTCTAAGATGGCCCCTCTCCGGATTCTCTCGTTCGATATCGAGTGCGCTGGTCGCAAAGGTATTTTCCCCGAGGCCCAACACGATTCCGTCATTCAAATCGCCAATATCGTCACCAAATACGGAGACAAGAAGCCGTTTGTACGAAACGTGTTCTGTCTCGACACCACAAGTCCCATTGTGGCCACTCAGATCCTGGAGTTTAAGGACGAAGGGAAAATGTTGGCTGCATGGCGGGACTTCCTAGAGAAGGTTGATCCAGATATCATCATCGGGTACAATATTGCCAACTTCGATTTCCCCTATCTCCTTGACAGGGCGAAACATCTCAAGGTGCATAACTTCGAATACTGGTCTCGCACGCACGTCAAGTCGGTAGCGAAGGAAACCAACTTCTCCAGCAAGCAGATGGGCAACCGCGACACGAAGGCCACCAACACCAACGGTCGTCTCCAGCTCGACTTGCTTCAACTGGTTCAACGTGACCACCAACTTCGCAGTTATACCCTGAACTCTGTGTGCGCCCATTTTCTTGGTGAACAAAAAGAAGATGTCCATCACTCCATGATCACGGAGCTTTTCGAGGGTACCCCAGAGTCGAGACGCAGACTGGCACTCTACTGTCTCAAGGATGCCTACCTGCCACAAAGACTCATGGACAAGCTGTCTTGCCTTGAAAACTACACCGAAATGGCAAGAGTTACGGGGGTACCATTCAACTTTCTCCTCGCCAGAGGTCAGCAAGTCAAATTCTTGAGTCAGCTCTTCCGCAAGGCCCTGGAGCAAAAGCTTGTCATTCCCAACATGAGATCGGAGTCATCAGAAGAGCAGTATGAGGGTGCCACTGTCATTGAGCCTACAAGAGGATACTACGATGTCCCCATCGCCACTCTGGATTTCGCTTCGCTGTACCCCAGCATCATTCAAGCCCACAATTTGTGTTACACCACTCTCATCAAGAAGAAGGATATTGAGAGGTGGAGCTTAGTCAAGGATGAGGACTACATCGTTACCCCCAATGGCGACATGTTCGTTACCACCAAAAAGAGAAAGGGGCTGTTGGCCCAAATTCTGGAGGAATTGCTCTCGGCTAGAAAGGAGGCCAAGAGAGAACTTGCCGCTGAGACAGATCCATTCAAAAAGGCTGTGCTCAACGGTCGTCAACTAGCCTTGAAGATCAGTGCAAACTCCGTCTACGGTTTGACTGGTGCCACCAACGGCAAACTCCCCTGCTTGGAGATTGCTAGTAGTACCACCGCTTTCGGTCGTCAAATGATTGAGAGGACGAAGCACGAAGTTGAGGAGAGATATTGCATCAAGAATGGCTACAGTCATGACGCTCAGGTCATCTACGGTGATACTGATTCCGTCATGGTCAAGTTTGGCACCAAGGAGTTGGCCGAAGCCATGAAGCTCGGAGAGGATGCGGCGAATTATGTGTCTAGCAAGTTCATCAAGCCCATCAAGCTCGAGTTCGAAAAGGTGTACTTTCCCTATCTTCTGATTAACAAGAAGCGTTATGCTGGGCTGTACTGGACAAAGCCGGAGAAGTATGACAAGATGGACACCAAGGGTATTGAGACTGTCCGTCGTGACAACTGTCTTTTGGTGCAAACCGTCATCGAGAAGGTCCTCCGCATGATTCTCATCGATCGTGACGTCCCTGGAGCTCAAGAGTAAGCCCCCCTCCTCTCATCACTTACCCTGCGGAATACTAATTTCCCCTAGATACGTCAAAGACACCATCGCCGACCTCCTTCAAAACCGCGTCGACATGTCTAAGCTCGTCATCACGAAAGCCCTCACCAAAGACGACTACGCCGCCAAGCAAGCTCACGTCGAGCTCGCCCACCGCATGAAGAAGCGCGACGCCGGTTCCGCCCCCGCCCTCGGCGACCGTGTAGCCTATGTCATGGTCAAAGGCGCGACTGGCTCCAAGAATTTCGAACGCTCCGAAGACCCCATCTACGTCCTCGAGCACAACGTACCCATCGACACAAAATACTACCTCGACAATCAGCTCGCCAAACCCCTCGGCCGCATCTTCGAGCCCATCCTCGGCGAGACAAAAGCCAAGTCCTTGCTGACAGGTGATCACACCCGCGCCATCTCCGTCGCGGCACCCAAAGTAGGCGGTCTCATGAAATTTGCCAAGAAAACCCAAACGTGTATGGGTTGCAAGAAACCCTTGACAGGGAAAGAAGAGAGTCGGGGCGCGGTGTGTGCCGATGACGCGCCGAGGGTGGGTGAGTTGTACAAGAAGACGCTGGACAAGGTCAGTGATTTGGAGGTGAGATTTGGGCGGTTGTGGACACAGTGCCAGAGGTGTCAGGGGAGCATGCACTGTGAGGTGATTTGCAGCTCGAAGGACTGTCCGATTTTTTATATGCGGATGAAGGCGAAGAAGGATCTGGAGGATGCGAATGGGGAGTTGGCGAGGTTTGATTTTGATCAGGCTGCTATTTGGTAGTTTCTTGGGGTTGGGTTATACATATATGAATTGGGATAAGGGATAAAGAAATGGTTAATGATGTGGTTTGCTTTTGGGACCCTGGGGACCACAGGGGCGTTTGTCAATCTTGAGGTTTTCGGTACCTAGCTGGAATATAACTTTCATCACGAAAGACAGGGTTAGCAATTGACTTTTTTGCGTCTTTCCTCTTGAAATGTGTTTAGAGTGTAAACGACATTCGAACTCGATGGTATGACATGCTGTACTTTCTGTTGGCTTGTTATTCACTAGCAATAAACTATACCACCAAAGGATACTAAACAACCAATTCGAAACTCGCACAACAACATGCAATCCCTCGTCCAAGGTCCCAGGTATGTTCCCTCCCCAAACCCCCATACTTCCAGTTTTGCCCCCTAATTCGCCAGAATGGTATCCCTATTGCCCACCTGCCGTCTCCCGAGTCCCAGAACTCCAAACAAAAGCCACAATCAGAGCACCAAAAAAACAAAAACTCATCACTTCCCCCCATTCTTACTACTCGTAGCCACGTCCCGTCTAGGCAGCACTTCCACCTCTCTCTTCAACAACTTCCTCAGCTCCGGCGAGATAACCTTCTCCACTTGTTCCCTGCCCTTTCCATTGTTATTCAGGCTGTTACTATTTTGTTCATTCGCGCTCGTGTTGCCCTGCGGCGAAGCAGGCGTCGCAGCAGTATTTGAACCAGAAGCAGTACCGTCTCCTGCTGGCTGTGTGGGCACCCTCTTGGGCGCAGGAAAGTGACCCTTCCTGTCCACCGCCTCCACTAGCCTCTGGAACCGCTTGAACAGAGCTTCTGCGCGGATCAGAGTTGACTCAAGGTCCATTGTACCAGAGAGTTCATTAACTAGCACAACAGTTAGCTGTTCATCTTCCGGATAAATGGGGAATGGCATAAAATACTCACTATACTTCAACACCTCATCAAAATGCTTCAAATGCGTCATGATCACATCCCTGTGCTTCTCCAGAATCGCAAGCGCCACAAACAGATGAAAGCTACTGCTCAAATAATCTGTCCACAACCCCTCCCACAACCGCAGCACATCCGGCCAGTCAAACTCGCGCTTGTACCACACGAGCAGCATCCGGAAGAAGAAGAAAAAGTTGGTGCTGTCCGCCGAACGGAGGTGTTCATACAGCTTGGGGTCCATGAACTGAACCAGGTGGTCAAGAGCCAACAACTGAGCCCGCATGCCAGACTGATCACGCAAAAAGTTGCGCTCCATCCTGTCCATGAAGCACTTAAATCCCCAAAAGGCCATGGCGTCGTCTTGAAGAATGGCGTAAATGGGGGCAAGAAGATCCGACATGCCTTGCACGTAGCCGAGGTCTTTGTTGTATTCGTTGTAGGTGAGGAGCATGTCCTTGAGTTGCTCCATGTGAACATTGGTGCCGACTTCGGCGAAGGGAGACTCTGGATCGGGATGGGGGATGTCTTCGCCAGCAAAGATCGGGACATTGCGGTCGGTGCGGTGGACATCCTTTTCTATCCTGGCCCGCTGCTCCCTCCACCACTCTCCATCTTCACCCTCACCGCCCTGGTCGATCTGGCGCTCCCACCAGCTGCCCTTCAGCTTGATATACGCATCTCTAAGCGAGGCAGCCTGAGCCTTACGCTCATCGGCTGTACTATACCAATCGTACACACCAAGCAAGAACAACCAAGCCTCCTTGCGCACGCCATCATCGGGGTCCAATCCACCATGGAACACCCTCTCCTTCACTTCATCCACCGTCACCGATAACCGTCCAGTTCGTGGATCAAAAAACTTCCTCCACTCGCTCAGCGTAACTGGCTTCCTCATCTGCTCCAGCGTGAGACTATTCGTGCTATCCAGCAGCTCAAACTCTCCGACATCTGTATCCTCCAACTCCATCACCTCCCTCGCAGTCCATATCCTCTGGTTTCTATCCCTCTCGCTCTGTTCCGCAATTCCCATCGCCCACCTCGCCAGGTATATCCTCGCACTATCAAACTCCTCCTGCAGCGTCTGAACCTCGGGGTTCTTCATCAACCTCCTCATCTGTGGCGGAATCCTCGGGTTATCAAGCACATCCTGCGCTGCTTGCCTCGTAAAAGTCGTCACTTTGCTGAACTTTTCCATAATATTCCACCCCGTCTCTTTGATAAACTTCGTAAAGGGATCCATCCCCCCATCCTTGCTTGTATCCCTCGAACTCGACGGTCCAGGCACCCCACCCCCTACCGCCAGCCCTGCCCTCCCACCGGCAGTAACCTTCCCCCCAAACCCCTCCAGATCCTCCTGGCTCGGCTCGACCAAGTACACATTCGGCTCCGCCACACTCCTCTCAATCTCAACATACCTCCTCAACCACCTCAGCACCTCATCCCCACCCCAAAACATTTCCCCCCCTTCGCCAAAAGGATCAAATGTCTCCCTAGCCCGCTGTTTCCTCTTCAGCAACGTGCTCTGGCATTCATTGTCGTGAAAAAACAAGGCCGGAAAAGAATCACCGGCCCTCGAGTTGATAATCACGCTCCCATACCACCACCCCAAGCTTGGCGGACGGACGAGCAGCGAGTACACTGCCGACACGGGAATAGCAAACGCATAGCTCCCTACCGAACCCCGGTGGGTAGTCACCGTCGGGGGAGGCGGCACCAGGTATGATTGTTTTGGGGGGGAGCCCCCATCGCAGAGGTCAACCTTGACATAAATCGAGGCCGAGTCCCCCAGTTGAGATTCAGGCACCCATGCGAGCAGCAAATCCGAGGAGCGAATCGAGGCTTTTGAGGAGGAACTCGTCGGGCGGGTAAGGCCGGAGGAGGCTTTTTGCTGCAAGAGGGCAATATACCCCGGGATATTGTCCTTGGCCGAAGGTGTAGGGTGAACGTAGACTTTGGACTTTGAAAAGAGGAGCTTCACGCCGCGGCCGGTTTCGGTGTGGGTGATGGTGTTGTAGTCGGATTCTTCGTCGTCGGACATTGCGTAGAGGCTTCCTGAGGGAGAAGACGGACGCGGAGGGATTTCTGAGCGGGAAATGTTGGAGGTGGAGGTGGAGGTGGAAATGGAAATGGTGGAGTGGGAGTCTGCTGATGGTGTTTGCGGTTGAGAGTTTGGGAATGACGGCGACGTCATCTTTGTAACCCTGGTCATTGTCGCAAAGCAGCAACAGCAACCGCTTGGATCCCTCCCTTAGCTAGCTCGCTGAGGCTGTGTGCTAGGTTGGTTAATTATTTCGCAACAGATAGGTACTAGATCTTTTGAACGAAAAACAGATTCACATGCGCAATGGTTTGCCCGGGGTCAGCAGGAGACGGACTGGTAGGTAGTGGACTGTGACCACGAGGTGTTTTATAAGCTTTGGGGGGCTTGTCAAGGTTGAAGGAACGCCCAGATGGGCAGGCAACCCCGCGCAGTTGGAGGGGTTGCTCCCTGATCAAGGTACCGGTACTTTGATAGGCCGCTGGTCCTTACCTAATAATAGCTAAGAAAAGGTACCGGTACTTGCTATCACCGAGGCAAAACCAGCCCTCGCCTTCAACACGTACCACTCGGGGCATGTCGTCGTCATCTGATGCCAACAAACAGACCATGGTGATAGTCTTGCCGAGAAATTCCAAGAAGAGAATATTCTCGCGGTGCCTTTGTAAAATAGATGATTTGCTGCCATCAAGGCACGACTTACGGCTATGGACATACTGATACATCAAACACACGCCTGCTTGACAACGCTTTCTGTACTATTTGTTGCTGAAATGATCATCTCCGTTGTTCACACGGTTGTTGAGAGTAAAGTTTTCCCGTAATATGTTCGACTGTCCCTGTAGCTGTCTTCCAACCCATCGAAGCCCCTGAAGTCATGGCTCGGCTTTCACTGGTGGAGAACGGCTTGGTTCGCATTTCACTGTAGTCCGCGTAACTGGACGCGGCCGACTCTGTACACGGAATCCGAGTCGTCACACCAGCATCCCCTCTGTCACTCTTGACCCATAGATCCAATTACAAGATTCATTCATCCCAATGCTTTCGGCCTTTCCCTAGCACCAACCCATCATCTCGGTCGAGGACCACTTGGCAACCCTCCCCTTGGTCCGCTCGGCAAACCATAACTCCTCCCTCCACCACCACCACCGCCGCCGCCAGAAGGAGAATCAAAACCCCCATCCGCCCACGGCGCATTCGCACTCATAACCGGCCTCTCGTCCCGCCTACTAGAATACCCCCCCTCCGGAGCAGCAGCCCCTCCCCACCCCCGTCTACCTTGCTGTGGAGGCGGCGCCTGCTGTTGCTGCTGAGGAGCCGGCGGTTGGAAAGGCCCCGCCGCATTCGGGCTCGTAGTCCTTGCACCTCCCCCCCAAAGCCTCTGCTTCAACTTTTCTTGCGCGCTCGTCCCACTCGCCGCGCTTCCTGTGGGTGACATACCATCCGGCCTCCCACCCCCCTGATAACTCCCCCCTGTCCTCAAACTCTGCGCCTGCGGCCTATTATCCTGCTGCACCGCCTGTCCCCCAGCAGCAAATGGGTTCCTACTGCTCGCAACCTGTCCCTGCTGCTGACCGCCCTTGTTATTATCCCACAGACTATTCAATCTCGTCTGCGACCCTCCCGGTCCAGCCTGGTTGTTAAACCCGCCATATCTGCCCTGTTGCTGCTGCGCCAAAACAGGTTGTTGCGGTGGAGGAGCCTTCGGGTCGGGGGGCAGCCAGCCGGGGAAGGGGCTGCCTTTTTCGGTGTAGTAGTTTCTCAAGACGCGGCAGACATGCGTGTCGTCTTCGGTGTCGCCGTCGGATTCGCCCGCGAAGTAGGTTCGCTGGAGCTTGGTGATGTTTGTGGACGCGTTGGTCAGGAGGGAGCTGTACCATGAGGCCATGGTGGCTCTATTCCTTCTTTCGCTGTTTGCTACACTGTGGCCCTGGGGGAATGTTGGACGATTTTCGATCACTGAATTAAGCTTTCTTGGTGGTCGGTCGGAAAACGAGTTGTTGTCGTGTGAATCGTTGCGCGAGCGAATGAGCGGTCGCGAATTATTGCTTGGTTGCCAGCCGAGAAGAGAAAAAGGTCACTGAATTAAGCTGTCTAGAATACCGTGGGGTAGTTGACATTCAACCTGCTGTGCTACTCAGATGGCGGAATTCTGCGGTCGTGGGCCGGTTGTCAGGTTGTTCAAAGTTGGAAGAGTTGTAGGAAGAAAGCTGGGAGAGTGAGTGGCAATCCCACGACCGACTTGGTTTCAGCGCTTGTGCAGTGTCGCAGTGTTTCATACCACTCACGGGGCATTCCAACAAGCCTCGTCTGCCCCACTTATAGCCGAACAGCTGGCTTGACGTGTCAATGCACTTACAAGGCTGCGACTGGGAAGCTCACAATGAACAATACAGTACTGTAGATATACAATCAACACCACATGGTGAATCGCTTGCTGATAATGCACGGGCTCTATATACCCAGTCCAAGTCGGTATTACATAAAGACACCTGGCAACCCATCTTGCCAGCCATGATGAACAACCCATAAACGCCGAGTAAAGCTCTTTTCCATCCTGCCGTCCATTCCCATATCTAGAAAGCAAGGAGCTTGGACCGCTCTGTCTCTCTCTCCACCTCGATCTCCTTCCTCTTGCGTGCCGATGGCTTGACGGCCCGACCTCTCTTCCGCTTATCACCGGCCTTCTTCTTGATCTCCTCGTCGTCGTCCTCCTCACTGTCATCCTCATCATCGTCATCGTCTTCGGCATCATCCTCTTCCTCGCTGCCCAACCAGTCCTCGATATCCGCGAGTTCTTCGTCGCTTTCATCAAAGTCAGAAACATACTCGACGTTTCCGTCCTCTTCCTCGTCCTCCTCTTCCAGCTCCTCCTCCATCTCCTTCTCGGACTCATCATCATCCTCAATACCCTTGTCCATGTCCTTATCGCGGGTGCCCTCGCCCTCGTTCTCAAGAGCATTGAGCACCTTCTTCCAGATAGTCGCATTGCAGTTGAGGGGCTGGTCTCCGTACGCGCCTTGTCGCAGTCTTTCAAGAAGCTCTCTCTCGATCGTCCTCTCCAGCTTGGCCGCCGCAAGGGCCTTGCGTTCTCTGGCGGCTTCACGTGCCTTGATCTTTGGCGCCATCTTTGGTACGAGCTGTTCGCCAAGTCTGGCTTCCTCGGCGGCGAGCTTGCGCATGCGGGTCGCTACTTGTACGAGTCTCGTAAGACGTTGCTTGCACTTGTGCTGAAGAAACTTGGGAAAGTATTGGAGCTTGTCTTCGATCTGCTGGAGGGCCGTCGCGTAGTTCTGGGAAAGCTTGATCTTCTCCCACCATTTCGCTGGCATATGCGCTCTCTCGATCTGTTGAGAGCATACACAGTTAGCCATTCGCCCATTGCCACTGTCATCTTTCGTCACAGCGATGGCCACGTACTGTCTTTATGTACAGATATATCGTGCCCTTGGGCGATGATCTGATGGTTGCATATCTGCTGTTGGCGAGAGGGCAACTTTGCCTGTTGCAAAGACCGCTGACCGAGTGTTCATTTCTGCAAAAGTTCTGGCCCTTTGTCGTCCTAAGTAAAGTCAGTTTGTGTAGCTCAAAATGGCAAATAATCTAATGCGTACTTGAGCTTGAAGGCGCAAAACTGTTCTACTCGGATAGTTAGCGACTGAGACCATGCAACCAATTCGCCTCCATGAAAACCAATGCTTACGATTTATAATCTGCCAGACGATTTCGTCAGACATGATCGCGGTTCTCGAGTTCGGCCTGTCTTGTCTGCGTTATGGTGGTGGTGAAAAACTACGCGCAGTTTTGTTGCGGGTGTGGGAGGGAGGCAAAGGTCGAGAATTCGTAGGCAAATCGTTGATTCTGGAGGGGCTCGTCCAGATGCGCTGCTGATAAATTTTTTGGAGACAGAAGTTTTGGTTGATAGCGAACGGGTCCGTGCCACCGATTATCTTATCGGAGCTACCCCCGTACCAGCCAATCAGAGATCAAGCATTGGAAGCTCCAACATGAAACTTCAATTGAATATGAAGGAAAGAAGCAATGACAAACAACGCCAGACCTGTTTTTTCCCTGCTGTATTCCCGCTTTTCTCCCTTTTGATTTTTGTCAATGTTTCGCTATGTGTTGAAGAGAGCACTCACAGCACGGCCGTGGGCATTGCCTGTTGCGCCCGCTCAACAACAACCTCAACCATGGCTGTCATGTCATAAACCCAGCATGCGGCAGTTTGGTTATGCTACGCCAAGAACTGACGACATGCTCTTCAATGAGAACGACGACACCATATATGCCTTGTCATCGGGTGCGGGAAAGGCGGGCATAGCCGTTATCCGCATTTCTGGCCCAGGTTCTTTAAGCGTAACACATTATCCATCGTGGAGTATAGTGATAAGTTCTCCATTAACATGTGATTAGGTTTACAAAGCACTATGCCCAACGAAACCTCCACCGAAACCCAGATATGCTGGTGTGAGGACGTTGCTTGACCCAGCTTCTGCCAATCTGCCCAATGGCAATATCCTGGACTCGGATTCCCTCATTCTCTACTTCCCTGGGCCCAAGACCGTGACTGGCGAAGATGTGCTTGAATTGCACGTCCATGGAGGCTCTGCTACGATCAAGGCTGTGCTTGCGGCGATTCCAAAGTGCTCGACCACGGGCAAAGTTCGATATGCTGAACCAGGCGAATTCACGAGACGTGCATTCCTGAATGGGAGGCTCGATCTTGCACAGGTGGAGTCACTGGGCGACACTCTTGACGCCGTGACAGAACAGCAACGACGCGTGGCCGTGCAGGGCAACTCGGGTGTTTTGGGCAAAACATACGAACGCTGGCGAGAGGAACTTTTGCTGGCTCGGGGTGAGATCGAGGCACTCATTGACTTCTCAGAAGATCAGCACTTTGACGAATCCCCGACCGAGCTGCTTACCAATGTCAGACGGCTAGTGGAGGGCATCTTGCATTCAATCAACATGCACAAGCTTGGCAGCCAAAAGAGTGAGCTTCTACGGAACGGTATCCGGATAGCTCTGTTGGGACCGCCCAATGCCGGGAAGAGCTCTTTGATGAACCAGATTGTTGGACGGGAAGCTTCCATTGTTTCCTCGGAAGCGGGAACTACCCGCGACGTTATCGAGGCGAATCTTGATATTCGGGGATATCTCTGTTCGTTTGCTGACACAGCTGGCATACGAACCGAGTCGACCAGGTCGATTGCTAATCTTGACGGGGACTCGAGCCCAGTCATCGGCGCTATCGAGCAGGAGGGCATCCGCAGAGCACGTCAGAAGGCAATGGATTCGGACATTGTCATCGTCTTGGCCTCCGTGGAAGCAGTAAAAGGAGGCGGTCACCAGATAAGCTATGACGTGGAGACGCTGAAATTAGCAGCTGCAGCTCAGCAGTGCTTGGTTGCGGTGAACAAGAGTGATGTTGTGGAACGAGAAACACTGGAACCGCTGATCCAAGGTTTTAAAAGTTCGGCTCTTGGGAGCGTTCAGGGTCTCCAAGGTGCCGAGCCGCTCACCATTTCCTGCAAGGCTGCGGCGACGGCGGCTGCAGGGCTAACGGATCCAGGTGGTGTTCATACCCTCACTGAGAGACTGGTCCAATCATTCTCAGAGCTCACCTCATTGCCTGGCGATGTGCATCATTTGCTTGGTGTCACTGAACGACAAAATCAACTTCTCTTTGAATGCCAGATGCATCTAGAAGGCTTCATGACGGAGGCACAAGCGTGCGGGGCCGGAAGAGAACCCGACGTTGTACTCGCGGCGGAGCACTTGCGACTTGCCGCCAACCGGCTTGCCTGTATCACGGGACGCGGCGACTCCGGGGACGTCGAAGAAGTGTTAGGAGTGATCTTCGAAAAGTAATGCTCCTTTTTGTGCAATGTGATGAAGAGACTATTGACTGACAATGTGGTACAGATTCTGTGTTGGAAAATGAATATGCAAATGCAATTCTAGTCTAACTAATAATAATATCCGTGTTGTACAAGGTCCCCATCGAGGGGCCAGAAGCTCATGATTCGTCCCGGCCATTTCGTGTACGACAAAGGAAATCCACCGCCTGTCGCCATTGACCGTGAGGTCCATCTCTTGAGGTTTTGGGATGCGATCAGGTCGCCACCCCGGATATTTATGCCGCCCGTCTATATGCATTGATGGTACATGAGGAGTATCGTCAGTGATGACGGATGAAATCTTCTAAAACAAATGGAAAAACAAAGGAGGAAACAGAAGACAGTCGGCGAGTCTTGCCCCGGTGAGCTGGCGATGGCTTCAGAGTTGAGCTGGTTATTAAGAGGGGAGAGAATGCCGGTCTGGTGTTGTGAATTTTCCGGAGGCATTTATTTGTCATCCTCTTCCTTGTCGTTCTCCCTGTGAAACGGTTAGTTCTGGTTGGAAGACTTCAAGTTGATCTCGATGGCCGGAAGGCTTACTTGTTGTAGCCGGAGCGGCCATGGTTGCGGAACTTGTCCTCCTCGTCTTCGTCATTCCCCTTGTTGTATCCCGAGCGGCCAAAGTTGCTAAACTTGTTCTCCTCATCATCCTCGGAGTTGCCCCTGAAGCATGGTGTCAGTCTATGGGGACCCCAAGATGTTGAGACGAGAGGGCGACTTACTTGTTGTAGCCGGAGCGGCCATAGTTGACACAAGGCTCAGTGGTGAAAGAAGCGAAGGCAGCCATTGCGAAGGTTTGGGTTATGGGTTGAAGTTTAAAAGCTGAGGCTAGGGATGATGGTTTGGGTGTTGATAGGTTGTGTTGGAAGAGCTTGCTGGTGGTGATGCTGTGAGTAAAAAGTTGAGCTGGCTGACGCGGTTGATGGGATGTGTTGCTGATGCTGATGATAAAAACAGGACCGGAACCTGGGAACACGAAGTTCCTTAAATATATAACTTTGAACGACATGTCAATGCCACTTGAATAGATATGCAACTTCATCTCGCCCTCTTTCCTGAACTGCCATGTAGTTGCAGGCGACAGTGCCCCGCGGGGGCCCCAAATCCGCGAGATGACATAAGGCGAAAAGAGACCTTACTTTCCTTACGTTCCCCACACGCCTTAGGCATCGTGATACGACTGGGTGATATTGGTGGAACGCCTTGTCAAGGTACATATCACGCCCCCTGGGGATGTGACTCGCACGGCATGGGCCAAAGGTACTGGACGGCACCAAGGCAAGCTGGACGAAATGCATGGCAGTTACGACAGGTTTCGGGACTGGGCCCAACGATGAGATGCATCTGCGCCTCCAAGCCGTGAGATCCGGACATCTGGTGATGCTACTCTTTGCATAGGGCCGAGAGTCAAGTACCAAACAGGGAATTAGAACGAACATCGAAACCGTTTTTGGGGGCGAATGGGATTTTTCGAAACCTGTCAATACGCACACTGGGCCACTTTCCTACACTTGCATAGGGCTGAGTGGCATCCAAAGATGGAATTGGATGGATGCCTTGGTGGCCTGTGTAAGCACCAGTGGGCTTTGCTGGGGTTACACCTGGCGCGAGCCACTTGCATGCAGCCCTCTGCGACAAAAAAGGTACCTTGCCTGAGGCTTCACAATCTTTTTCCGTTTACGTTGACGTCGTTCGGTCGCATGCTGACTACGCAGACAGAGACATTGCCAGGCACGCCGGATTCTCTATGCCCCGCTCGTCTTCAAACTGGTTTATACGGCGACATACGGCGATACACGGCGACTTCCTCGCGAGTAATACCAGCATGTCGTTGCCGGTTTAAGCCAGCGTGCCGATATCTGGTGTGCTCCAGAATCCTGCAGATGCGGCTCAGTGGTACGCGAAGTGTGGTAGACTTGTGCTCTGGTGGTACCGGTCGTCTGTCGTCTGTCTCCGACCCAGTGGAACGCATCGCCAGTGCCGGACGAGCCGCAAGCTTTCGGCAGAGCATCTGCAGCTGTACCAACAGCACGTGTTGGGCTTCCAACCACATGTCACAAGAGACGCATCTGCCACAACCGCACCTGGCTACACCTACACAGAATTTGGAATGCACATGGCTCTTCCATCAGATATCCCACATCGTCGCGAGCCGCACGTCAGACTTACGTGGTGCGACGGCTATTCCCAAGTCATGGTTCTTGAATTGGAACTGATGATGGCGGGTCATGAAGGGGCTATGTCGTCCGATATCTTATTTCCGTCTGTTATCCGCCATACGCTCCGCCAAGCAACCGAACGTCTACGTAAGGTCCCGCATCTGCCCCGCGAACGTATGTACAGACGACACGCGAGTTACTCAGCATGTCATCGTTCAACCTCAAGAATGGTGTTTAGAGCTCGTCTGTGGATAGACGAGTGTGGCATGCCAGTCACACCGACCTAGCAGCCACGCAATGTGCAGAGAGACTCCATCGGACGGAATAATGACCATACCAGCCGCAGCCAGACCTATTGGTTCCGGTGAGATTTTCGGGCCGTCAGTTTCCTGATCGGAAACAGCAAAGTCCGCCAGACCGCGACAACTTCATGTCATGAAGCAATCAAGATGCTGAATTATACGAGCGGTTACCAAGCTGCTGACTGTCAGCACGTGGAGGTCCCGCTACCACAACCGAGTGGCACAATCAGGGAGGGTTTCCGGGGAATACATTGCCGAATAGCCAAGAATCTTTGGTCATGATTGTTGAGGACATCTCACTGCTCAACCTGTCACTTTTCAACCTACTCCGGTGTCTCGGTATCGCTCTGGGAATATTGATCACGGCTGCGACTTTTGCGATCATGTCCGAGATGCATATCTGTTTCAGACTATTTCCATCTGCAGACTTAGGGGGGAGTACTGATGTTGACACCACACCATATTCGTCGGGTCGTACAGACCGCGGCTCTTCTGTGACCTTGCCGCCTGGGTTAAGCGACAGTGAATAAGTTTGCCTATTGCGGGTTTGCTTCACTGATGGTGGTGGTCGGTACGGTATGGTGGTACCTGGTGCCACGTGCGATCCAGACGAGAGGGACCCCAAGCAGAGGGCCGGGCCCCCCCCTCGTCCCGCACCATGATCATGGATGGCCCCCTCCCCCCTGGTTACCGGGACATTTTGTCTCGGCTCTCTTGAGGCACGGTCCCAGAGAACCAAATGCCCGGCTACCCGCCCGTCATCCCGGGAACGTTTGAAGCTTGGCGCGGAGATTGGTCACCGGCATTGAGCTCCGGAAGTCAAATACCCTCATTGCGTTAGGCCTTTCCAGGCTTCCACATAAAGATGCCTCAGAATAACATTGACCATCAGCACTTCTTCCAAATCTATCTTGCTTACCTTGATATCAAGACGGCGATTCGGGCATCGAACCAAAATATCACCGTGTTACTCATCTCCCATCTCGGACCGAACCTGCAGTGCAGCTTGTTCTAGGTTGCGAATAAATTCCCTTTTGCGGCTGCGGTGTCCGGTGGTTCTGAAACGAGTCGACATCCAACTGCAGCCCTACGATCAAGTGAGTTGTGGGGGCCAAGACTGGTGCTCTGACGGCTCTTTACAAGCGAACAAGGGCACACAATTGGACGGTTGGACGACATGCCATCTCATGTTCTTTTCGGGAGCGGCAGGCTGTGTGGTACAGAGCAACCAACAACTACACAGAAAGCTGCTTCCCTAGTATTTCCACTTGCCATCCACGTGCTTGGGTAGGAATGACACTACCTACCAGCCATCGTAACGCAGGAGCGTTGTTGTTTCTACCCATGTTGAGCTGAACATGTTCCCGAAAGAAGAGTCATCTGTTTTTCCTTTGCGAGAGGATGAGATGCGAAAAGGGAGGCCTGAAAGCCAAGGCTGTAGAAGCCGGAGAGCATGCAAGAGGATGCGGCCTCCTCGCCGAGCCCCGCGGACCCCAACGTCCCGTGTTCTCGGCTCTCCGCCTTTTCGACGCTGCGAGAGGGGACGTAGCGGTGTATATCGGAGGCTGTTATGGCGGGATCAATCTCGCAAGTGTACCTGTCAATCGAAGAGACAAGTTTCTTGGCGTAAGGGTGCAGCATCCAAATTTCACATTTTCAACTATCATTTTACCTATTCATCAAGGGCGCAGTTTACTAGTATTGGTGCAAGGCGCGGTGAGAACAGCACAGATGAACAAGAGGGCTTTTTCCCCAGGAAGGCTGGGGAGCTGCACACTTGATCAGCTGGTTGGCCTTGGGGATATTGCACTGTAATGTCTATCGGTCCTTTCATTCTAGATATTACGGTGCGGGACAGCCCAGAGTTGCACTCTCTGGCGTGGCTGTTGTTACAGTTTGTATCACTCACCACACCGCACCTTTACGGGCCCGGTATTTGCTTTCCTGTTGACAGAGGCTTATTCGCCCGGGTGTCTTGACGGGCCCGAAAAGTGATGGTTTCACTGCCACGTTTTTTTTCGTCATCGGATGGAGCACACGGAGGGGATGGTTTCGTGGCTTTTGGGGAGGACCGGTCGATCAGGAGTGACTGACTGATTGTTGTGGCGGTATTGATGCCGGCAGGTTGGGATGGGATGTATTGGATGTGATGCTTGGGTGTTCGAGTTTCTGCCTGAGTTGATGATGACATAACCGGGTGCTGACTACGAGGTTGGATGGCTCACGGGGGGAGTTCAGCTTGCTAGCTACTTCTGCCGAGGCTGGCGATGTTGCTGGTGAGGGCGGATACCTACGCCTTGTTTTCCCGTTTTGCTGGGCTATGGTATGTACATTTCTTGGGGTGTGGAGATGGGTGTGGGAGGTCTGGGGAAGACAGGAGAGGCGAGGTGGGCTAGGCTTTCTTGGTTGAGATGTATGTTTGTTTGGTTTATCTTGTGTTGTGTTATGTTGCCTTCCTATTCCGGCTCGCCGAGCGCGGGTTAGGCAGCCAGGCTGTTTCATTGCCCCCTTTTTTTTTCACTTATGTGTCGACCTATCACGAAGTCAACAATAGTTTCATAGATTTGAAGGGTCTCGAAAGTGTTGAGGGTCTAGCGTTGCCCTGAGTCACGGAGTTGCAGGAGTCTGGACTCATTCTACTGGCTTTGTGGTAACCGAGCTGCGGAACTCTGGGCTCGTTCTACTGTCGTCGTCGTCGTCGTCGTTGTCATCGACATTGTCGGTTCGGTGGATTTCGTGAGGTAAACTGGGACTTGAGGTCAGCATGTGGCAATATCAAGGAGGTTGCTGAGTAAGAGATCGTCTTTGCTATGCTGAATATATGCCTATCAACATTTGTGATGTTGAAACTAATGACTTGCAGAAGTCTAGACTCACCGACATTGTTACGACTCTAGGGAAGATGAGATGGACGCTCATTAGGCATCGGGCCTTGTGATATCAGGCTGGACTGTCTAGTATAGATGCCGGATAATGGATCTCGTCACCGGTAGGTGTGTGGGTAGCTACCAGTGTCCTATACCATGGCTTCCAGGGCTTGGGTGGTCAACTTGCGAGTACTTCTACACAGCCAACGTTAATGGTCTTGAATCTACGAAGTCGTGGAAGTCTAGGTCCATCCACCATTGGGCTTATCTCCATTTGGCGGGTTTCGATCAGGCATCCGGCGATATCATGCTGGATGCTGAATAACGGCTCTCACTCCATTCTTGTTGTGCGAGTGGGTCGAATGAAGAACCGTACATTTGATGACCTTGATTCAGCGGCTAGGCCGGTCGACCACGCATATATCCCCACACACACCTATACTCATGACCTGGTCCTGGCCGCGCGGGAATCTTTTCTTTTCTTGTCGCTTGATCGACGTTGGGGTCGGGCTGGCCGGGTCTAGATCTAGGCCGGCAGGTTGTTATTTTTGGGCAACTTTGCTGCTTTGGGGGTTGATGAGGTCTAGATGGTTCTAGATGGTCATAGGCAAATGTGTTTCTTTGAGGGTTGGTATGGTGGAGCTCTACTCTTGTTGGTATATGGTGGCCTTTTAGGGGCTCAAGATATGAGGGCACTAATATGGCAGTTGGTCAGCCTTAAGGGCGGAAGACGGCTGGTGTGCGGGTAGGGCTGAGTGTGTGGGTGTGAGTCTTGACTGAGATAGTACCGGCTGCGGACAAGGCCAATGAAGCGGTGAGAATCCGGGGGACATTTGCCACAAAGACGGTAGGCGATTACAAAAGGGCTGGTATTACATGAACTTGGGGGTTGAATAATATGGCCTCCTAGGTTGCAGCAGTAGGTAGTCGGGCTTAGTCACTGAGGAGTCGCCTAACGGTTACGTTCCGGAGTGGTTAGGTAACTTGATGGTGGGTGTTGAAATCAAAACCAATTGGACTGATTTATCAGGCTGAGAAATTGGAAGTAGAAGGCTTCCATTGCAGGCTTCGAGGCTTCTGGAAAATATTTTGAAATGTTGGCTGGGTGTGAGTAAGCAAATGGGATTGGGTCTCAACACCTAGTCTGATGCTGAGGCGCAGTCCTTGACTGAGTAGGCAAGGTATCTTCTATTATTTTGCGTTCATACATTTTTGAATCATGCCTGAGTACAGATCCTCAATGTTGGAATCCATGAGAGCTAGATGGAAAGGGGGCATCTCAGGGGTCACAGTGTGTCTACACAGTGCGCACCCATTGATTGAAGGGAGCTCGGGCCCCTGTCAATCTGCAGCAATCAGCCACACGGAAAAGGGAGCAAGGTTTCAAAGCGTCTTCTGGTTCCTGAGCCTCACGCCTCTTTCGAGAAAAGGAAAAAACAACGACCCCTCCTTGTGATTTCCGGCCAGATGATGGTCTGCGGTTGTGGTTGACAAACTCTCGAGTCGTTCCTTAATCTTCTTCTTCACTTTACGATTTTTTGATCATACCCGAATTCCACAGCCATAATCTACCTAACTGGTCAGCCCAGCCAGACTCTGCTTTGGGTTGAAGCTCCACCATTAAGTCTGTTCCTGGCATCTTGTCGTTGAGAGCCTCTTACGAAGTTGCTCCAGCCCAACCGAAGGAAAGGGACCCCAGCTTTGCGACTCTTGGGTTCTTTTGGGGAAAGGTTATTTGGCCGCCAGTTGTGGGACCCTCTCATAGACGCCCCCCCCCCCTCTGTCATTGTTGCCGCGCCGAATACTGCCCCCAAGACTCGTTGTTGATCGCTGCTGTGATCGCCGCACCGTCACGATGCCGAGTAAGTCCACGATCTGACTTCTTTCTCTCGACTGCTCTTGCCCTCTTTCTGCCCTCTGCGCTCTACTCTCGACGACGAAACGAACACCTACCCCGCCGCCATCTGCCACCAAGCTCTGCGCCTACCTCTCCACGCACGCCGTACCTTCCTTATCGTTGCGAAACAACAACCTGCCCTACCTTTACGCATCCTCGAGCTCGGGGAGTGACGCATCACAAGCTCTCCCACCACTGTGACACCACCGCTGTTCCACGCACACATCGCATACCGTACGCAACACAAGACAATACCCCCCCAGCCATTCGCTGTCTCGTATCTTTGTGTTCGGCGCCTACGGCAACAAACCCAACGACGGATCCCCGTCTCTTCACCTCTCTTTTCTTATATATTCTACTTTGAAAGCACCGTTCACTAATCAGCCATGGAAGCTCTTCTTGAGGATGCGTACATCAACTCCCAGGTGGCGTAGGTCAATTCCATTTCGTCCGCCTTCTCCGAGCACCTTTGCTAACCGCTTGCCTGCTTTCATTCAGGAGCTATCCTGTATCGATGCTCGAGGACCACGCCATCGCAGTTGACGCGACCTACTATCTCCACCTCCAGCTCGATTCACAGCCCAGCGAACCCCTCCTCTCGGCCCTCGGGGGCGTAACCGGTATCCAGTCGCGCATTGAGAACGATCTTAACCAATGGCAGGCCAACAATGTTATCCCTTTCTTTATCTTTGATGGCCAAAATCTCAAGGGTCAAGATGAGGTCAACATCAGACGTGCTCGGGAAGGCATTGCCCAAACCGACAGGGCCTGGGAGCAGTACTTCAATGGCCAGGCTGATGCTGCCGTTCAGTCATTCGGCGAGAACACGAGTATGTAAATCGACCTGAACCCAAGGGTCGCAGGGAAGGCGACATGTCTCGCTCAGAGCTAATTGAATTAGATGCCTTTCATCCTCACAACTTCTATCGCCTTCTTCAAGGGATACTGAAGGAGAGAAAGCTTCACTTTCTTGTGGCGCCCTTCAACGCTGCAGCTCAGGTGAGCAGTTTAAGGATTGCCTGATGCCTACCGAAGGTTCTTGCTAACACGTCGTGTGAAAAGATTGCTTCGTTTGATATGACTGACTCGGACCAAGCCGGTGGTGTCATGGGGTCTGTCGAGCTCCTGATGTACCCCATCAATGACTGCGTGATCAGAAGCATCGACTGGGAAACTAGAACCGTCCGCGCAGTTTCCAAGACTCATCTGTTGAGTGTCCTCAACGTCACTCACCATACTTTTGTCGACCTGATGCTCATGGCGGGCACGTCGTTTCTACCGGCCTTTCCTGCCCTTACAGACGGCAACATCATCAAGAACCAACCGTCCAACATCAATGATGCTTTGAACATCCTGCGAGTCGCTCGTAAGGATGTGACGCAGGTCTGCATCACCTTTGCCGATACCCTCAAAGCACAGGATCCCAACTGGTTGGACAAGTACCGCAAGGCCCGAATGCTTGTTGACCACTTCACCTACATCAAGGAAAACGGAGAAATAACCGTTCACAACTATGACACTCTTACCCAAGACAACTATGAGTATTTGGGCCTCTCTCTTCCGCCCGAGATGTTCCATTACCTGAACACAGGTCTAATTGGGCCACGGATTCTGAACCCCATCACGCATGCTTTTACTCAGGCTGAAGCCTCTAAGAAGCAGACGTCGGCCTCGATGGAGGTTTTGCCCACCCTGGATGGGACGGTCTCGCCTGAGTACAGGAAGCTGGTTACTCAACAAACTCCCCAGATCAAAGAAGCCGCCTTGAGCTTGGTGGTAGCTCGCCTTCACCGTGCCTTCTTACACAGCACCGTCACCATGGGCGTATGGTTTGATCGGGATTTTAAGCGGAAGTTGTGGGACTTCAAGAACCAGGGCCCTTACCTGGAGCAGTGGAAAAGCTGGAGAGTGTCCGCCGAGGTAGTCGAGAAGTTGTTCCCGGATTTTGTCCACGGATCCATCTTTTCTGAAGTTCTGGCGCTTGAGAAGCCAGAGTTCGTTGCCACCACCTTTTCTCAGAAGGACAAAAAGGTGAAGAATCTGAGCCCTGACCTCATCAAATCTTTCTCCATCTGGCGGTTTCTTCACATTCGGGGCTACGTTGACAATAAACACGAACTCACCAGCTGGGGCAAGGCCTTATCACAAGCTCTCACTGCACTTCAGCCAACAGCCAAGAGGTACTGGAAGGTACCACACCTTTATGAGTCCATCATTGTCGCTCTTGAGCTCGTTCGTTTCGACTTGTTAAATGCCAAGAACAAGCATGAAGAGTTGCGCGGCTTACCCATGCACGGCAGCGAGGACGACCAATTGAGCTTGCTGTTGATCAGCAGGTGTGCGTGCCTGCTGAAACTTCGGCATGAATCCTATGGGTATACGGGGCCCCTCAGCAAGAGTCTGCTGGCTTTCCGTTCGTTGGCATCCGAGGTGCGGGCGGCAGACCGTGACTTGGTGGAGGCGATCTTGGCTTCGACATTCATGGCTGCTCAGGCTGACCGGCGGAAAGACGCCAACTGGGAGTTGGGCAACAGGTATGGGATGGGTATCTCTCCTCATTTCTACACCCAAATGTACTGACTTTGACGTTGTAGCCTCCCGTTCCATTTCGATCCCGACGTATCCCTCGGCATTGCCGTCAAGACGTTTTTTGACGAGATCAATCCCAACGACCCCGAGATGGCCAAGAAGAAGAAGAACTTTCCCTCCAGTTATATCCCCTACGCCACTGCCTTTCCGGAAGACCTCGAGATTGCCTGCGAGTTCTTCAAGGCTATTTATGCGGGTATCAAGGCGTTGCCTCAGAGCGAGCTCTCGGCCAATGACCAGGCTGTTTGGGAAAAGGCAGCAAAATACTTGGAGGCGCGGGCTTAGGATGCTTTTTCTTGGCAGAGCTCTCAAGCGTCCATCCAGGGGCTCGGCATAGTCGTCTATATGAAAGCAATGAGGAGTGTAGTGGGTGGGAGCGGGCGTAGTGGTGATGTTGATTGAGTATGGCTAGCTAGCGAAAAAAAATGGAAAAAGACCGGAGCGTGTAGAATACAATACTGTAACCCACATCTCTGTTCAATACAAAATAGTTGATACACACAAGTAGGTTAACCTATAGGATATTGTAAACTATACCTTGAAGGTAAATTAAAAGGTACTTTAACTATCTTTAAAGACCTATTACTATCTGTAAAAGCGTAATGGCCATCTTTTAACGCATAATTCACAATAGATATGGGTTAACCTACTTGTGTGTATCAACTATTTTGTAGTGAGGGTGTCCATGCATTTGCATGTACGCTGATTGCTCATAATACTGACAGTGTCCTAAATGATGTGCGAGGATTACTGGCAAGCAAGATCTATCGACAACAAGCGGCCAATTTCTTGAGGGATTTGAAAACCGAAAACCAAGCTCCGGTAAGCGTCATCAGACAAACGTAACCCAGACTTTTTCTGAAGCTCGAGATTTAGACATCTGGTCTCGTGGAACCATTCCATCAGATCGGTCAAAATGAATATTATATAATGCACATTCTCGAGTCAACCATCATCTTTTTAACACCCATTCAAAACTCTCGAATGTGCTGCTGCCAGGACCTCGCGATGACCTTTAAGTGGACCCAAAAAGGGTCCAAAAACATACAACACCAGGAATTCCCCAGTGGTCACCCACCTGAGTACTGGTCTGGCCGTAAGCTGTTTTGATCAGGGGAGAGCGGACGGGATCCCGTATTTTCACCTGCGTATGGTCGTATGTGCTGGTTGAGGGCAGAAACTAAGTTGATCAAGTTGGATTCTCTCTCCAGCTTCCATATGTACACGCTGAAGACCGGGATGATGGGCCGCTGCTAGCAAACAACGAGACATCACTGACACCCAAGGGACAACTTTTCAAAGCATGATAGGTATCTCGCTCAATTCCATAACCTCATTTACATCCCAATTCATTTCCCTGGCTGCCCCCTTCCTAACTACCTTATCCTGCTTTAACAATCAACCGTCCCTCTGTCACATGTTTCCTTGTTCGCGTATCGCGTGTTGCAAAAGCATGCTTCTAACTACCTCACCTAGCTATATACATTTATCTCATGTACCAACAGGGAAAAAAACAAATCATGAGTCTGGCAACAAACAAAAAGGGAGCTCTTTCTATGCCACCGTCTTTACGAAACCATCTATAGCAAAATCTTCTCCCCTCCAGTGTGTCATCTCCTGCCAGGATGAAAGCAGCTCATGAAAATCCAGGTTCTTCATAAACGAAAAGTCAACAAAATAAAGGAAAGAAATAAAAAGTCCTGGGTATCTCCCTTTTTACCATCCCATCCACCCCTATCCGATTGTGCTCTTTCCTCTGCGCGCTTCTTCTTCACCACCTCGGCATGGGACTAGCAGTCCCACTGTTGCTCCCGGCACCCATCACACTCCCGGCCGGTGTGCTCCCCGTCTGCGCAAAACTCTGATCAATTCTAAAAATCCACTCCAGCTTATCCCTCTCGCTCCTCGCTGCAAAGAGCCACGTGTTATCCGTCCCGTAAATGGCAAACACGCCTGCTTGCAGCCGTTCGCTGAGCCTGCTAATCCCTTGCCCTTGTCCGGGTGTGCCTGTCAAAGACGAGATCAAACCTGTAGCCGTGGACGCGACGCCGCCTACGATACCGCCGCTTTGTTGTTGAGCCACGTTGTCAGGGTCAAAGTTGTTGTGGTCATAGTCTTGATGGGAGTGTAGGAGGCCAAGAATACCAGGTTGCGAGTCAACCCGGGCATTTCGAAGGCTGACAATGCCGATTTCTTCTCCGTCGGCGACGGAGTGTATGTGAAGGTATGGACGACGGAGCTCAACGAAGCGCTTCACCCAGCGAGTTGAGTCGGCGTTGGGGACCAAGAGATAACCGCCTTTGAGGACGGAAGGGTTCTTAGGGACCCGGATGACAGTAGCGACAAAGGTGGGGGCGCTGTAATGGTGTTCATTCCCATTGCCGTTGGGGTTGTTTTCAGTTGCAACACCATCCTCTGGAGGATCGGTGTTTTCCGGTGAAATGAGTTTGAGCGTAGAGTCTGGGTAGCGCTGCCAGAGCTTGAGACATTTGTTTAACAGGGCAGTTTGCCTGTCGTCATACTCTGATGCTGGTTTCTCTTCCTCCAGTGGTGGTGTGGGCTCCTCGGTCGTTCTTGATTCAGGGCTTTCTTCCCCATCCTTGGCGAGCTCGGAGTGAGAGATAACAGGTGATGTAGTCGGCGATACCTCAGGTGTGTCATCCTTGAGCAACTCGGCGATAGAATCAGCATCGCTGTTGATTTTCGGTGGTGGCAAAAGGTCATCGTCGGTTCCACCGTCTATTCCATTCCCGTTGAGGTGCCCATTCTCCCTATAGCCATATTTTTTCATCAGCGACTGGATAACTGCCATCTCACTCATCATCTGCTTTTTCCTCCTTGAACCAATAAAGTCCGCCACAAGAGATACACCCCTCGGTGTCCAAGCCGTAAGAAGCTCCTCTCCCTTGACGTAGTCATGCTGACTATTCATCCTCCACAAGTCGCCCGCCCTCTTAATAGGCGCAGGTCGCATTTGAAGAGTGAAGATCCCTGTGCAAGAGTGCACAAACCGAACGTTTTGCCAGAGCGACGAAAACATTGATGTTTGTCGTATGAACGACCGCGAGACAATTTGTACGCAGAGATTCATTGAAAACTTCATCGGCTCTGCTAGCTTCTCTGACAAAATCTCCCAGGACACCGTCATTTGAACTCGGTACTTCTCCGAAGTCATCCTGTCCAGTAGCAGCGAATTGTGTAAGCTAGAGTCCCACTGACCGATGATCGTCAAGCCTCTGGTACCATTGGCATTCGTCCGGAAAACTGGTTTGGAGGCCAACTTGAGATGGAGGTCGGGGCCAGAAGATCCCATGTCAGGTGACTTTCCAGCGCTATCCAGCAGCTGGATCTTACCCACTCGCATGTTGGCCACCTCTTCCCACGGCAGGGCATCACCAGAGCTGTGAGTGAGATTGAGAGAAATGCGTCGTTGCAGACCTTGATGCAACTGGAAAGTTCCATTGTCCATCTCGCTTGTTTGCGTGACCTCGACTGGCTTGTACTCGCCCTCTTCGTTCAGCTCCAATATCTGCGCTCGGGTGAGCAGATCATGCTTCTCTTCGGTATAGAACTGAGTCTCGCTGATCCTAGGAGTCTTGGGCTTTTGGTTGGCAGGCACAGCGTCTCGCATGTCGTCCCAGCTGAGAAGTTTGTCGAGGTGCATGGCAGACACTTTGGCGAAGATAGCCACGCGAAGAGTAGTCTGGGGTGGCGCGAACAGCGGAACGCTCATACTATGAACGCTCTCGAACCGGATGGGGCCCTCGTCGAAATCCTTGATCATCTGCGTAGTAGTGATGCCATCCTCGGAGATGCCAGGAATGAATAGCTGGGCATGCACCTCGGTGCCCTCACGTTCGGGGAACCCAAGCATCTCGTGCATAACGATGTTAAACTTGAGAGTGTTGGTGGGCGCTCGCGCGCTAGACGGCTCCAGCGCCAACTTGATAATCCCGATCGTGTGCGATGTGTATGGGGAGAATACGTCAAGCGTAAAGTCTTGAACTCGGCTTTCAAAGACAGCCTTGAGCGGGACGTCAACCTCTCCAACGAGGGTATACTGCGGCATGCAGTCCTCAATGAATGGGTTGTCCAAACTGAGATGCTGGGCATATTCAGGCTGGTCCAGGTACTGATACATCTGCCGCATGCGTCTCACTCGATCGTAGAGCTTCTCGATGCTCCATAGATGTACCACACTCTGCTTGTAGTCAATAACCCGGATCCCAATGCACGGCTTGGGTGCATCTTCGAGTGCGGGATCTTCCCCTTCGCCGGTCAGCCCGTTAAGGACCATGTCGTAGGACGAACACATCATGTGGCCCACATCCACCACTGTAAACTGGAAAACGACATGCTCATCCAGCTCGTGACTCATGATCTGTGCCTCTTTCAGTGTAGCAGCATGCTGAAGGACCGCCTCGGCCATTTGCACATAGTGCCTCCCCCTCCAATGTTTGACCGCGACCTTGGCTCTTTCAATCTCCTCTTCCGAGAGTCTCGGCTTGGGCTTCGGTCTCTTGAGGGGATCTAACTTCTCAATCTTCTTCTCAAACTCCTGCCTTTGCACCTCAAGCTGCTTTTGCATCTCGGCCTTGATCTTGACCAGAGTCTCCTCCATCTTGGCCTTCTCCTTCTTGATCTCGGCAACCTCCACATTTGCCGCTTCGGCACTCTTGATCTGATCGTGAAACTCTTCCTTTTGCTTCTCAAGTTGTGTCTGCATCTCTTCGCGAATCTCACGCAGCCTGTCCTCGGCCTCGCCCTGCTTAGGGGTAGATGGCATCGTTAGTGCTGTATCGAGCGAAAAGTTGTCCAGGGTGCCCGTTGACATGTATTTCTCCCTGACAGGAAAGGATGCCATCGACTCCATGTCCTCGTTGTCATCGCGGCCATTGACACGTTCGGCCCGGACTCGTTGCACTTCTTCAAAGAGAGCGTTGAGCTCCTCGTCTGAAAGACTGGCGAAATTTTGATCTGTCCCCAGAATGGCGCCAGCCGCCTCTCTGCGCGCGAAAGACCAATCTGCCTCCCTGGGGTTTCGCATAAATGGAGAGGGAGAGTCCGGGCGGCTCCCACCAAAGTCTGAGATGGCTGTACTAAGGTTCCTGTCATGGCCAGGTCTGGGGCTGGGTGTGGGTGACGTTCTCTCAAGTGCTTGCAGTTGGCTTGCGGTAACGGACTGGCGCAACAGACTCTTGTCCGCTCGCTCCTGCCTCTCCGCACGAGCTTCGAGCGGGTGGTTGAATCTGAAGATGTGGAAATCGCCTAGAATAATCCGATATCCAGAGTGCAGCTGATAAGGTTCTGTAACCCGTTTGCCGTTGACCATGACGGCCGCTCCTTCCTTCGGAATGACTGTCACGGTCCCATCAGGCGCGTTTTCAAAGGTGCAATGCTCGTGGAGAATTTTGGAGCCGTTCAGACGGATATTTGCTTGGTGGTCCGCGTTAGACTCGACGTTGCCAACCGTTGTGATTCCAGGTTTGAGATTGTAAACGAGGCACTCGGCCAAAAGCGGGTCGTCTGATAAGTTGACCAAATGAGGCATCTTTTTGGGCGTCGACATGCCAATGAAGCCCTTCTCGATGCTGATACCAAGCTCTTCGAGTGCAGACTCGCGCTCCTTGTGGATTTCTTCTGTTTTGGCCAGCTTTTGCTCCCAGGTCTGGTTAAGATCCTGCAGAAGCTTCTCGCTCTGGTTGAGCTGCTCCGCAATTTCTGCCTTGGAGACCTTCTTGACCGTACCATCCGGTGCTGTGATACTGACGATTTGCTGCTCGAGAGGCGTACCTTCTGGATATGATTCTACCGGCATCCCTGGAGCTCCTCCACCACCACCCAGTTTGTTCCGAAGCAGTGCCAGCTCTTCCTTGAGCTCGCGAATCATTCTGGCGTTGGCGTCTTCGTTGACAACTGCGTGGTTCTTGATGCGCTTGGCAGAGTCGGCATAACGTAGCGTACTCAGGGTTTCGTCGTAGTTGATATCTGCTGGACTCACGGCTGCTATCATGGCCGTCATGCTGTTGCCACCCAGCGAGTCTTTGAGTAACCAAGTAAGAACACTGTCGCGATATGGTACCTGGCCAGTACCGCCCTTCTTTTTCTTGCCCGTTGATAAATCGGCCAAGGCTGCGATAACTCGACCAAGTGTTGACAACGATCGGTTGATTTCAGCGCCTTCTTTTAATCTCGCGCCTGTCGCTCCCGTGGAGGTGGCTCTTTCCGAACCAGCCAAATCAACCAAAGAGATTTTGGCAGCCTTTTCCATCTCCATCTTTGTCTCAGGATCGAATCTCTTTTGGGTGAGCATGAGAGTGAATACGGCGTGGGATCTACTCGAAGTTTCGTTCATGTTGGTAGCCGCCACAGTTCTGGCTTTGTTACCCTCGTCCATCAGGTTCTCAATCTCCTGGAAGCTTCCTACCACCAGCTTGGCCAAATCTTCCACATACGGACCCGTTGAAGGGTGTTCTCTGACTTTGAGATTTCCCTTGTTCGCTGGGTTCAGCAAGTCGCGTACTCTTTCGTTGTAAATTTCGAGATACGAGACTTCCACCGTACACTTCAAATTCTTGTCCTGCTGCATCACTTTGATCCGTTCGAACATGTCCTGGCAAATCATGGGAATAATACCCGCATCCTTCCCATATCCCATCATCGAGTATGACTTTCCCGAACCGGTCTGGCCGTAGGCAAAGATGCAGTTGTTATACCCCTGAAAGGCATTGTCGAGCAGCGGTCGGCCCAGGTCATCGAAGAGGTGGTTCTGACCGGCATAGTTTGGAGCGCTTTTATCGAATGACCAGTATGACTTGTCGAACGCGAACGCTTTGGGAGCCGAGTCTTTCCCACTTAATTTCCCTCCACCCGCGCTGGCATCTGGAGGGGTGAGGATGGTTTGGTTTCCTTTCATTTCGATGATGCATTTTGCGTTTCGGTCATGTTCTTGAGGTGAGAGGTCAGTTCACCATCTCCATATGCACTCTTGTAGCCTAGGAGGCGGTCGCTTACCTCTTGAATTGAAGGGACGACATCGGACCACCACCTTGATATTTCCTCCCCCTCCCCCCGCGGGGCCCGCGCCCGGTGCCATGGTTAGAACTTGTGGTGTATCTCCTCTTTACAAAGTAGACCTCCAATTTCTTCGTGCGTGTTTGTTTTGTGGCCCTGAGGTGGAGGGACAAACAGCTCGTCGGATGGGTTTCGCTAATCGAGCAATCTAGTCCCTCGTGGTATTTCCCAGCATGTAGTTCCCAGTCTGTAAAACAACATTCGCGCGCATCCTCCACCACGCCAAAAACAAGGAGGGGTTTATCGTCGTGTTTCCTACTGCGGTGCAGGTATGGTGGTGGGAATGCTGGGCGGAATGGCTGGACGGTGGACCTCTTTATCGAGATCGTGTCTGCGGGGGAGGTGCGCGGGGGCCTAGAGGAAAATGGAGTTGTCAAAGTTATTGGGCTAGGTATCGTGGTTAAGAGTCAAAGCGGTGCGCGAAGGGATGTTTGGAAGCTTCGCCTGTGTTGTGCGCGCGACAGGTCAGAAGCTACTGAGGAGATGGCTGTTGGGAACTGTGCGCCTCGTCTATGTCTGTCGGGGTGGTTGGCGATCTCTGGAGGATCTGGGATTTCTAGAAGTGCTGTTCCGTGTCAACAAAACTCGGGGACAGAACGCGACAGCGCGAACGCTGCCAGCGGCATGCGCTCGCTGGAACTCGACGCTGAACCAGGGTTGACAAACTGGTCTGGAGGGTGGGGCCGAAGCTTATTGGACAGCAGAAAGCTTCGTCATGGCTGGAAATTAAGTTTTCTTCGCATGTAAGTAACCGGTGATCATGTTTTGTACATCAAATGAGCAGTTCATGTGTACGAGATCTTTGGTTATTCATCTCAAAACATACCATCATAGCTTCTGTGTACCTGCATGTCTTTCATTTAGCACCCTCTTCCCTGTCTCTTACAAGGCTCCACGGGCTTTTAGGTAGCGGCTGATATTTTTTCGGGGAATACCACACCCAAAACATGATATTGTGCTACAAACAAAATGTTGGAGTGTTTTTGGCCTTTCGGGCAAAAATGTCTGTTTCGTTGGCTACGCCGTGAAGTTGGGTTCATTGATTGGTAATTCGAGCCTGATATAGAATGGCTTAAGCACTGTTACTAGCCACTCCAAGGTCCTTCTCAACCAGCTGCCGGCAAATGGGATGATAAAAGTCCTTGTGCTTCTCAAACGTCTCCAGCGCAAGGTCGCGAGCCACCTTGTTCAAGCTCCGGTACAGAGGGCGAACAAACTTCATGCGCCCTACCTCCCCAAGAAGGTCAGCCACACCCTGATAAGAGCTGGTATCCTGGGCCTTCATGGCGATGTGGTAATAGGCCGACTTCAGCTCAGCATTCTTGGAGTCTGTCAGGCCATAAGTCTCGCCGAGGGATTGCTATTCCTGTGTCAGCTTGCGAAAATAGGGACCAGGAAATGAGAGTACTCTGTTCAGAACATACCGACTGCTCGACAGACAAAGGCTCTTCAAAGTCTTGAACCTCGTTCAACAGAACGAGAATTTGGTTACCAGTCCATCCCTCGATGTCCGACGGGCTGGGCTGGAAATCCTTCTGCTTCCACTTTTCTGCCAGCTTGTAGCACTCATCAACAAGCGATGTGTCAAACTCGGGCTTTGGTGGAAGGCCAGTGTTGTAAAAGCGGCCCTCCCAGTCAATCTCCGCGATCTTGTTTTTCAGGCTGGCGTATTCCGGGGCGCTGAAGAACCCGAGGAAGGTATCTTTGAACTCGAACGAGTCAAGAGACTTGTTCGCCCACTTGCTAAAGTAGTGAGGGATGAACTTGTCAAAGTTCTCACGCCCGACAAGTTTGTCGAGGTAGTAGATGAAGTGGAAGCCCTTCTCATAAGGCACCGTGCTGAAAGCATCATCTGGATCAATACCCTTATGGCTGATGCAGAGCTTGGTGAACTCGTGATCCTTGCCAAACTCTTCGATGGACTCCTCTAGACGATATTAGCAAGGTACCGGGCAGTATATGGCCTCGAGACTTACCAAGGGCTTTCCATCCGCGAATGGCGGAGAAATCGATGTGAGCCTCACTACCGTGAATCGAAGCCTGAATACGACGCTCAAGATACATGGTCCAGCCCTCATTCAGCCAGCTAAAACGCTAGAGTTAGAAGCAGGCCTAGAATAGTTCCCAATGTGCTCGCAGTGACTTACAAGTGCTCCCAACTGCAGCTCGTCACCAGATTTCCGCTCCATGAGTGAGCCAGCTCATGAGCAATGACATCGATATTCTGCTTGTCGCCGCTGATAATCGTCGGTGTAGCAAAAGTAAAGATAGGGTTCTCCATGCCTACCATATGTCAGTCCTTGCATGTCATGCTACCAACAGTTCAACCATCACTCACCTCCGTAAGGGAAGCTTGGCGGCAACACCAAAACATTATACTCTCCCCACTTATACGGGAAGACAATCTTCTCTGCAGCATCCAGGAACTTGTCCATATCACCCTCCAACTCCCACTGCGAAGCCTTCAGCTCATTAGGCCCAGTAGCAACAGAGGATATCCTTCCAATCGGCGCGCTCTCGATATCTCCTGAGGCCAACGCATAGAGATACGATGGAATAGGAACCTTTTGCTCAAACTTGTAAACCTTCTCGTCGCCCTCTCCCTCAGTCTCACCGCCCTTCACCGGGACACCGCTCGCAACAACGACATGTGGACTGGTGATGTTGAAGGTATAGGTGCTCTTTACGTCAGGAGTATCCTGGCAAGGGAACAAACTCCTGGCATGAATGGCCTGGCATTGACTGAACATGAACGGAGCTTTCTTATTGCTCGTCTGGGCGGGAGTCAACCACTGCAGAGCTGTGCACTTGTCCGTGGTAGCAACATCGATTTCGACCTTGACGACATCTCCCTTGGGGGCACCGTTAGGGACGGCAATGTGAACCGGGGATCCGTTGGCTCCTTGGCGGTCTTTGATCTCCCATTTGGTGGACTCCCCAGACAGCTTAATGGCTGAAACATCTAGGTAGCTAGAGTCAAGGATGATCTCCTTGCTGCTCTCGTCCGTCTGAGACTCAAGCTCGAGTATGACCTTGCCGCGAAGGGATTTGGAAGTGAAATCCACCTTGAGGTTGGTAGTGGTGTGCCGGGTGCGCCAGGCATCATAATTAGAGAGGGTGTTCGGATCTCTCATGGTGCCGTTTGTGTAGGTGAGGCGGCTTACGAATCGTTGTTGTTGGTGAGCTGTGATTCTGGTGATGGTGGTGGTGGTGATGGCTGTTTTCCCCGCCTGTCGTCGGAAGAGCGAACTCCACATGAGGAGCTTCCGTCCAAAGTCAATGGTTGATTTGATGCCTGACCTGAGCTACCCTTTTACCTCACGCCTTCCTAGTTCGTCACCTTGAGGAATGGAGGGGCACAATTGCGACAAGCTGATAGGCTACAACCGGTGTGACGTCGAAAAGTGGAGCACGTGATTTGTCACTGGATCACGATCACCTCGCTTTTCATCCTCTCAGTTATTGACCTCAATTCAAAGTCAAGATCTTACACAAACTCTCTAAATAAGATCACTTAACCGCCAAGAGACATGTTTTATTTTCAGCACCTTCTTGATTTAATAAGCTCCTTCGGAATGATAACTATGCACTTACCTCCACGGAGACCAGATGAGAGCTTTGAAGCTCTGGAAGCTTACCTCCGAGCCGCACTCACTCATCCGAACTTCCACACGAAACATGTTTCAGTCCCAAGCACCCATTATCTCTCCCGCTTCTTGGGTCAGGAGCGCTATCTGATTCGCCAATTCTTACAATCCTCAACTTAAACACTGAGCACCATTCGGCTAGCAAAGATCTCATCCCAGACTTCTAAACCATTTGAACTTCGACCCTCAGTCCCTAAGTTTTGACCTGAAAAGCTGAAACAAGGCACAGGCGGGTGGTTACCCTCCTGTTCAAAGGTTCGAGAAGGATAATGTATGGTATTCACCCAGCCGAGCCGAAGTTCTCATCCTATTTCATACCCAATAAACGAGTTATAATCTGTGTAAGACAAGTATCAGCCTCCGTGTCTTAATTGTGCCCCAACTTCATGACTGTACAACCACCTGCCTTGGACATCACTGCTATCTTCTCTCCACTGCCCAACTGAGCTCCGAGGTTACGATCCCAAGTGCCGACACAGCGTGGAGCGACCGCAACCAAGACGGCTTACCTCGTAAGTCGGGGATATGCTGCAGTGACAAGTCGTAGAATGCGGAGAGCCATGTGCTCATGTTGATCTGTATTGTGGTAGAGTAACAGCCTGTTCATGACATGATTCCATTCCTTGGAATTGCTTTACCTGTGGGCATGTATACCCTACCTGGATGGGATTGGTGAAGTGTATGGTGATATGGGTAATAGGGACTAAGCTCAAGAGTCTCGTACCTACCTGTGTTGGTATGGCCAGGCACATGTGGTGATGTCTGCTGGATGGTAGAGCTACCATGACCTTCACATGCTCGTCATTCAACAGTGTCTGAAGCTTCATGGTTTTGATTCACCGTGTAACAACAGGAAATCCAATCTGATGATGTCCAAAAGGGCTCAGCAACATGTACAAGTATGCAACCAGCGTTTGAAGACCTCAAACACCTCCCACAATATGCAAGACGGGGGATAGAGACCACACTTCGTAAAGGGCGATGTCACGATACCTCATATTTGGGTCCGCTACTCTTGCTACTTTAGGAGTTGAAAGGTGGCCTCTCTTCGGCTTGGCTGGGAACTGCTCTGTGACACCAAGATGCGAGTCTTGGTCTAGTATTGAGATTGAAGCAAGATTTGCGAGCATGTCTACGTTGACTTTGGTCTTGGAATTCCGCTCAAGACGTTAGGCGATGTCACAGTGTAAAATAATCCGGGGTCGAGACATATGCGCCATATGCTCAAGGCTGATGCTTCAGATGCTTACTATCTCCCTTGATGAGTATAGTTCATAACTGAAGGTAATATCCCATGGTAGCCCATGGATGTAGAGGTTCAGGCTTGTTTCAAATATAAGCATTTCTAAGTTCTCTTTCTGTCCACTTTGCATGACAACGAGCTTTTCGCAGCATCGAGGGAAAACGAGGCTGTCACGGGTAGTAAATGTCTCTTCATTCTTAGGCCAAAAATACCACTCAAGATATTTGACAGAGTATGTTTGGAAGCTTTTCCTATGTCGTTCCGAGCAGGTGATATTCTATCGACGGGAACGTGCTTATTTTTCCCCATTTGAGGCTATTCCAATGGTGCCCTCCTGCATACGTATAACACCTCCCGTATACCCTCTGCTCCCTACTCTAAGAAGTCTTGGTGGTTCCCTCATCAACACCTATCGCAACCATTGATAAGAAATAGAAGCTTTTTACCAAGACATCATCTCCCATCGTTCTGGATAAGGGTCTAATAGGGGGTTGTCTGACGGCACTCGCCTCTTAATCATTGTTCCGTAGCAGTATGTTCAAACAATGCAGCATTCCCCGCGTCATGTTGCAAGTAAATTGTGAGGTTTCAATGTTTAAATCTTCTTTGCAGAGACCCTGTGTCAATGCTATATGCCACCTGGTGATATGATATGATCATCTCGTGGGCTATAATGCAAAAGCACCCAACATACATTTGGATACAACCTAGTAAAACCCACACTAGCATACGGGCAATTTCGGAGCAGGGAGATTGTGTATCAAGAAATATCATTAATGCTTCTTCCAAGGTCAGGTGATAAAAAGTTTGGAGTTTTGAAACACCGCAAACTTGACAGTTCGAAACATCAATGATAGATCGTGTGGAGTGAGTTGTTATCGCAGGCAGACAGTAGGTACCGTACCGTACATCGAGATGTCTGGATAGCAAATGGTGCAACATGATCCTTGGGGATTCACATATCTGCCTGCTGTATGTAGCAGCGAATGCCGGCAGTGGTTCTCTTGGGCACTTCGAATCGTTGCGACGTGGGAACAAGATTTCGTGCGTTTGGCTGCCGTTGTCCTCCTGTTGAACATTGGTGGTTCCGGGCAAGGAAAAAGCAGGGGGAAAAGCCTTGGAAACAGAGTTGCTTGACCCCGCCGTTGCTGGATGGAGCGCGGAAGAGCTCCCGGGGCCCCACCGTCCCAGCGCCGCGGTGGCCGGGTCTTGCCAAACGGAGACAACCGCCGATTGAGTGCTTGTCGGCCGAAAGCCGAAATATCGGGAATCATCCTCCCGGTTTCTGCTCGCTTTAAACTAAACTTCTTCTTCTTCTTTTCCCCGAGCATTCCGATCAGGCCCCCCTCGCGCTTAAACCTTTTTTTTCTCTCTCTTTCACTAGCGTTTGTTTCGAGACTAAAGAAAAACGTGGTGAGGGTGGAGGCATTTCGTCCGATCTTGAAGGACCTTGGAGGTGATGCTTGGCAGGCAGCTTTCTCCCCCGCTGTTGTCTCAGGAACCTTGCAACACGCATCGAAGCGAAGCTAGTCTCGTGCAGCGATATTCTGTGCGGCGCAGACGAAGGAACATGCAGTCGGAGCACGCCCGAGAGCACGGCCGGTGTGTTGATGAAAGAAAGGTCAACATCACAGCGAAAAAGCTGGTTCAAGTGCTTGCAGAAAATGGTATGCCCGCTCGGACGATGAAGCTATTTATGTCTTGCTTTTCTGCAGATTGGGATGTATCTGTTCACTGCTTTTGAAGGGAATGACGGGCCGCTCGTCATCTTCTCAAGGTGTAACATACCTTTCCCTTTGAAGCGCGCACGTTGACCACCCTCATCGTCGCACTGCTCGTACATAGATCAGATGGAGTTTGGAGAGGAAACGTGGTCCCCCTGTTGAGTTTGTTTGGACCATCAGCGTCAACCATGTCGGCGATGCCTCTTACCAGCAGCAGCATCGCTTACGATCCGAGGGCTTCAACCCCGTCTGCAAAAGAAAACAATATGTTCGTATCGGTTGTCCTATCACCAGCGCTCCCCCCAAATTCCAAACGATCTGCTGAATAAGATCTTGGTGAGGGTTCCCAAGCCAGTGTTTTGGGTTCTGGGAGGCGTGGTTGTGCCGCAGGCCCGGTCCCTGTCACCCCTTTCCCCGCGGCGATAAGCGACCAATGGGGGGCTGTCAAGTATTCAAGACCAGAGCAACGACCACCACCATCGCAAGCGACGCATGGGGAAGGTGGTGTATGGAATATTCCGTGACAAAGCACAGCTGGGCCATCAAATGATTGCCAAAGGTCCCAAAAGTGCCGCGATGGGCGTCTTAAGACGAGCTTTTATCGTGTCGATCCCCGTCCTGAGACAGCGAGACTCGACCCGAGAGGGTGGATGGGCTCCTCGTATGGTTCTGGTCGTTATTCCCCAGACTTAACCTCCGGCGAACGTCAAACAGAAAAGGGCCGGTCCGGATCGCCAATGGTGGTGGTGTGAAGAAGGTGAACGCCAACCACGAAGCTTCAAGAACCGAGAAACAAACTGGAAGACCGCCCAGCAGGTGAAACGTAAACTGCGCCTCTCCCGGCCCGTTGGAGACGATCCATGACGTTAGCAAGCTAGTGACCGGTATCTGTCAGCGATCATCACCTCAAACTTGACCACAAAAGAAACAAACATTATCTTGGGCTGGGGTTTTCTTGCAGTACAGAAAGCGAGCATTGCTTTCCACTGAACCGCAAAGCTGCGGACAGTGGTTGCTCACCTGCACCAAGAACGATGCATGGGCCTCATGGATAGATGTATTGTGTGCTGATGCAAGTGATTGGGGTATGTGATGTCTGCACATGATGGCTGTGCCAGACTGACACAGTCCAGGACTCCCTCGGATCCTTTGGCCATCCCATCGAGGGTCAAGATGTTGAACAGCAACAGATCCAGACGATCTTGAGCCATTTATCTGATCATATTAAAGGCCTTTCTGCAGGTTGCTGTTCGTCATCACATCGAGTCTCGATCATTGTTATCAATTGTTGCTCTCAACCAGTCCATGTGTTCACCCAAGATTTAGCAGACTGCTATAACAGACACGGTGCTATCAGCCTGCATCCGTGTGATAGTGATGGTGTCAAGCTGTCAAAAGTGGTGATGCTCGAATGTGATGCCGCGATACAACGATACCAATGCCCAACCATCGCATGCCTTGGTGATCACAGGATATATCGTGCCCTTGTGCGTGACTCGCGTTAGAATGGACCAGGCCCC